TGTGCGAAACCTTCAGTGGCTACATGTGAACTTGGGTAACCCTAACCCTCGCACCAACAGCTGAACATACTCCCCTATATATGCCAGACTATTTCTTGCGATCAAACATGAGCAGAGGAAAAACAAAGCTTCACCAAACCAAAAGTATCAGATAGAGAATTTACACGTTGGAAGTCATTGGTCGAGCACGGTGCGTGAAGTGTTGGGGTTACCTTTTGTTCTGGAATTTGGTTGGCACGCAGGGTTAGTGGATCCTGTGTGCTTTCCTCACCAAGGTATTCCGCTTGGCACTGAGGAAGCCATATAATCTTGATAACGTGCAGGAACACAGAACAGGTGGCCATGGCGACGAAGAAACGGAGCGTGAGCGGTGATACCTTAGTTTACTTACTTTTTCTGTCACTGCTACGACGCCGGTCGTGGTAAACCTGTAATTAGGGACATTAGTCCCCGGACAAAATTGATTTATTCTCGTAAATATGAACCGCTCTCATCTACAACTTTAGAAGTAATGTCTTTTTACTTCCAAAACTAACAAAGTCCCGGGGCCCTGAATAACCACATTAATGTTATGATATTTTACGCTAAACGTGAGAAGGAGCGCCCAGAAGTGGTTGGTTTAGGGGTCCTTTGATCGGAGAACATTTAGTTAGCGTGGAGGGCATGTTTAAGAAAAATATTGGCAACAGCCATCATAGTCTATTCCACTATTATCAATAAATTTATCCTGGGTCAAGGCTACGTTAATCATCTTATATCGCTCGGATTTTAGTTCGTGAAATACGGGAAACACAAAGGTAATGCTTAAGGCAATCGTTCCAGAACATGATCAGATGGAACCGGCCCTTATCTTCCACCCCTAACCCTGCGCCAAGCATATCACATAACACATCAAGCCGCCGCGACTGCTACAATCACCACTATGGGTGAAGAAAAGCGCAAGGAGGTTGGAGTTCCGGCAATCCCACCTCCTCCAAATAAGGGTGATGGGTAAGGGTGCCTCTTTATGTCTGCTCAACAATTACATTTACTATGCTACATGATGGGCTGCTTGAATAACGGCATGGATTGATAGGGTTAGGGTCCGTCAGTAGGTCCGTGTGTTAACCCAACATACGAAATCTAAAGGGTTAGGTAATGATGGTCTTTGTACACATCCTATACGAGCAGCAAGAAAGTTCTACTTAGGATTAATTAAGGTTAACTGGCCTAGATCACTATTAATGTTATATAAGTTCGACGCAGCAAGTTTTAAATTTACTCATATAATCCAGCCCAGGCAGAACAGAAAAAGTGGGAACTGAAAGTGAACAATTTAATAGACCTCTTAGTATGCATCACTAGTAAATTAGGGCTAGAGGGCTAGGCCCAATGCTCCAATTGCACTGTTTGGAGTTAACTTCTACTACAGCCAGAACCCCCATTCACGAGGCTCTTAAGGAACGATATTATGCAGGGAAAAAGCAAAAAGAAATTCTCAGCATAGTGTTGTAATCATTGGGACTATTCTTTGTAAGAGACAGAACTATTCGCGTACTTTGTGCGAGATATTTGTGGAACCTGAGGATATGGTTTTGTTCTGTTATCGATGAGAATGGTCTGGTTTGGAGTGATTTAGGGTTACCATGCAAAGGATGTCGGGCCACTCACCTTGTTCTCTCGAGTACATGTCTGTCCAACCCTAATCAGGGTGAAAATTAGATTAAGAAAAGAATGTTCCTATTGTAAATCCATCAGCAAACCTGCAGCCTTCACTCGATGTCCGGGGCACTCAAGATTCTAACGGCGCTCAGTAGGTAAACTATCTATCCAGAGATAAGGCAAGCACTCCTGGTGAGTTGTGCTGTACAGTTTTCCACCCCAGTGCATACTATTCCGCTCAATGAGCCCCGACCCCTAATTCTAGCAATTGATATAACCCGGGCATTAGTCCAGTTGCCAGAAAATGCCATTGATCACTGGTATATCCTGACTATCCCTGCAGCACTCCCGACTGCTCCAGCGAGCCCTAGGATAGAATGATTGCCCTGAACCCTTTTCATGGATCGACTAGTGAATACACTGGGTTACGAGGAGTTGGATTAGTCAGAAGGGTTCTATTTGGTTCTATCGGGTTCTGTGTGTCGTAGTGTGTAGGTCACTTGGATTTGTCATCGCTAGAATTTCCTTGGGTAGATTAAGGAGATTTCGCTTTCGTTTTCTGTTCTTTTCTTTTTTTCTTTCTTTTACTACGCAACGTCTTCTGTACCTACACTGTTTATATAATATTATCTTCCTCTTCTTTACTCGAGAAGACCACCGCTTCGCTGCCTCCCTCTCTCATTGACCTTTACCGACGCTAGAGTCCCTCAGGACCCCTATTACGAGTACCTACACCGGCCTCTACTATCCTCTTCATACCCTGCGGAATACTCGCTACTCGCCTCCTTGAGATTACGTTGCGTAGTCATCTACACCGTACGACATGGCCACCCCTGACCCACCTGCATGGGCCCACCTGACGATGTAGAAGAATTCCAGCGATAGTATGAGGGCTGCGCTGCTGACTTATTTAACAACATCGCCGTCTTTGTCCAACGCATCCGCCACGAGAGGGACACCTCCCGTACACAACTCGCCGCGGCTAATGAAACCATAGACAACTTTGAGGAGCAGGTAACCCGGCTCAACCTCGACCTCAACGTCGCTCACACCACCCCCACCCCTACCGTCTCTGTCCCCATCGCTGCTGTTCCCCCACCTACTACGGTCCCCGCTTTCAGGTCTGAAAATTTCCCGGACCCTGATAAATTCGATGGCACCCGTACCAAGCTCCCCGGATTCACCACCCAACTCCGAATGAAACTTGAGGTTAACCATGATCGATTCCGAAACAAGGTAGCAAAAGTTATCTATGCTGTCAGTCGCTTGGAAGGAACGAACCTTGACCAGGTCGTTCCACCCGTTAACGCTAACCCGGCTGCCCCCTTCTCCTCCGTCACTGCTTTCGTCGCCCACCTGTAGGCCTCGTTTGGAGACCCAGATCCCTGGAGTACCGCCAGTCACCAAGTCATCGCCCTAAAGCAAGGCAAAGGGGACTTCACCACCTATTACTCACAGTTTCTCTGTATTGTGGCCTAACTGGACTACAACGAAGGAGCCAAGATCGATGTCCTGGCTGAAGGACTGTCGGAAGACCTGAAGGATGCCATGACATACCGGACAGACAGGCCTAACACCGTCGAGGCATATGCCACCATGTTGATAACAATTGACAACCAGGTTCGGGGCTATAAAGCTGAACAACGGGCCATTCGGAATATGATGGGACAATTTACCGCCTCCGCCGCCATTGCATACCCATCTCACACCACCGGATGCCTCGCTTCAATGAAGCTCTCGGCCCTCCAAGCCTCCTCCGAGTCGGGCTTTCGGTAGTCCTGGGCTTGATCAATGGTCCCTGCCCGGGACCTTCTGATGTTTCTCCTTTGTCTGCATTTTCTATCTCTGGCTTCTCGGTATCGTCTGTGGAGGATAAATTGGATGGGGATCATTTTGTTGCTTCTCGTAAAATTGTAAACAATAAAATATCCATTCAAACCCACGCCTTAATTGATACTAGTTGCTCCGGATTCGTATTCATTGATGAAACATTCGCGCGCCATAACAACTTCCCATTCCACCCCCTCAAATCACCCCGCACTCTTGAAGTCATCGACAGACGGCCTATATCCTCCGGACAGATTACACACCTCTGCTACCTACCGCTATCAATTGACTCCCACCATGAAACTATCCCCTTCTTCATCACCAAACTCGGCTCGTACCCACTTGTACTCGGAATCCCCTGGCTTCAATTACATGACGCCACATTACGGTTCAAGCACAATAGCATACTGTTCGACTCCGAATACTGCAAACGCAAGTGCAACTCTTCCGCAATACCCATTTCCATTAGAGGGGTTGCACCACTGCCCCGTTTCCACCTCGTCAGTTCAGCTGCTCTTTGTCGCTTTGCCCGAAGGGACAAGCTCCAAATCTTTAGCACAACTATTGAGGAAATAGACCAAACCAGGGGCGAGGCCCCTAAGGAAGACTGGAGGAACCGAGTCCCAACCCGGTATAAGAGGTTTCACGAGATGATGGACGAGAAGTTCGCTAATGACATGCCGCCTCGCCGCCCATATGACCATAAGATACCGCTTGAGGAAGGAAAAGAGCCCCCGTTTGGGCAACTTTACGGTATATCCAGTAAGGAGCTCATTGTGCTTAAGCAATACATACAGGACAACCTCCAAAAAGGCTTCATTCAGGTCAGCTTTTCACCTGCCGGTGCCCCTGTTCTATTTGTTAAAAAAGCCGATGGAACACTACGTCTCTGTGTCGATTATCGTGACCTCAACGCACTCACTGTCAAAAACCGCTACCCGCTGCCGCTCATCCGGGAAACTCTCGACCTTCTCTCCAAAGCCAAATGGTACACCAAACTTGACCTTCGCCAAGGATATAATCAGATCCGAATGGCTGAGGGTGAAGAATAGAAAACAGCTTTCCGTACGCATTAGGGACATTTCGAATATACGGTGATGCCCTTCGGCCTTACCAATGCGCCGGTTACCTTGCAACACTTCATCAATGATTGCGTCCGTGACCAACTTGATATGTTCTGTACAACCTACCTTGACGATATTCTCATTTACAGGGACACCTTCGAGGAACATCAAGTACACGTCGAAAAGGTCCTGGAAGCCCTACAAAAAAATGGAGTACTGCTGAAACCAAAGAAATGTTAATTTCATACACAAATCACCACCTATCTCGGCCTTATTATCTAACCCAATGGTATTAAAATGGACCCAAGGAAAGTGGAGACAGTGAAGAATTGGACCGTCTCCAAAACAGTTAAGGATTTGCAAGCATTTCTAGGTTTCGCTAACTTTTACTGCCGATTCATACGCGGATTCTCGGAACTGGCTTCTCCCCTTACCAGACTGACACGCAAGGACATATCATTCAAATAGACACCCGAAGCCCAAACTGCCTTCAACGCCCTGAAAGAACCTTTCACAACCGCTCTCATCCTTACCCATTTCGACCCGGAGAAAGAAATTACCGTGGAAACCGATGCATCTGACTATGTCTCTGCGGGTGTACTCTCCCAATACGATGATAATGGTACCCTTAGACCCGTCGCATACTTCTCAAAAAAGCACTCCCCCGCCGAATGCAACTACGAGATTTACGATAAGGAATTACTGGCGATTATTCGATCCTTTGAGGAATGGCGACCGGAACTTGAAGGGGCTGCACACCCAATCGCCATCATATCCAATCATCACAATCTCGAATACTTTATGAGTACTAAACAACTTGACCAGAGACAAGCCCGGTAGGCGGAATATCTATCACGGTTTAATTTTGTCATTAATTACCGACGAGGGAAACAAGGAGGGAAACTGGATACGTTGACAAGAAGATCAGGAGATCTCCCTGGAGAGGGGGATGAAAGGCAATTACATCAGAGTCAAGTTGTACTGAAGAAAGAGAATCTTGACGCAAAGCTAAGTTTGTTGGCGGGTTCTTTCTCAAATGAGCCCGCTGAAAAGAATGCCTCACTGAATAGACTACTCGATGAAGGATATGGCACTGACCCGTTTCCACAAAAGATACTGGATATGCGCAATAAAGGTGAACGACAATCAAAGGACATATCACTCGCCGAATGCACCGAGGTTGAAGGCCGATTGCTTTACCGAGGCAGCATATATGTCCCCGATTACGACCCTCTTAAACTCCGAATCCTCCAACTTTACCATGACGCTGCCTCTGCTGGACACTCGGGACGCGAAAAAACATTCGAACTCGTCAGTCGAGACTACTACTGGCCCCTTATGCGGAATTATATTGCCCGCTACGTTCGGAACTGCCACACCTGTCAACGAAGCAAGCCCAACACCCATGGAAAACTTGGCGTACTTCGACCTTTACCGATTCCCGAACAACAATGGCAGGAGGTATCAATGGACTTCATCACTGGCCTACCAGAGAGTGAAGGGTACGATGCGATTATGGTAGTTGTTGACCGATTGACAAAGATGCGACATCTCCTGCCCTGTAATACCACCGTCAACTCCGAAGACGTCGTCCAACTATATCTGCGAAATATATGGAAGCTCCACTGGCTACCCACACATGTCACCTCCGACCGCGGTATGCAATTTACAGCCAAGTTCTGGAGAGCTCTCTGTCAACAGCTCGACATCGAAGCCAGAATGTCCACCGCCTTCCACCCGGAGACCGATGGCCGAACCGAAAGGCCGAATGTCGTAATGGAACAATATCTAGATGGGTATGTCTCTTATCAACAGGATGATTGGGTAAAATGGCTCCCTATGGCAGAATTCTCCACCAACAATCAAGTCTCCATATTCACCAAAGCCATACCATTCTTCGCGAACTATGGTTTCCACCTGCGGTTTACAGTAACCATCAAATCGCTTGATAGGACCCCACCAAGCCTCAATGCTAAAGACTTCACCTCGAAGATGAAAGAACTCCACGAACACCTACATTCGAATATCCATACAGCGCAAGACCAACAAGAGCAGGCCATCAATTCTAAACGAACACCAGGCCCGCGGTATGATATCGGCGATATGGTGTTTGTTTCAGCAGAAAACATCTGAACCACTCGTAACTCTCGGATGTTGGACTGGAAGAAACTGGGACCATTCCCCGTCAAATAAATCATATCGCCATATGAGTACCGAATCGACCTGCCTAGGAGTATGAAAGTGCACTCCGTCTTCCACGTATCATTGTTAGACCCCGCTGCAAATGAGCCTGTCTCGGGGGAAACTCAACCACCACCCCTGCCTATTATCGTGGAACAGGAAGAGGAGTATGCAGTGGAGGAAATCTTGGATTCAAGGGAAACAAAGAACAACGGCCTGCAATATTTTGTTAAATGGACACGCTATACCGACCCCACTTGGGAACCCACCACGTACCATGATAATACCGCCGTTGATATTTTCAATGCACGTTACCCTGACAAACCTGGACCGTTGGAAGGGAAGATTAAGGTTAAGGCTCGGAGGAGCTCACGCTTGAAGGGAGGGGCTACTTTCATGGATCGACTAGTGAATACACTGAGTTACGAGGAGTTGGATTAGTCAGAAGGGTTCTATCGGGTTCTACCGGATTCTGTTGGTTGTTAGTATATGAGTCACTTTGGATTTGTCATCGCTGGAGTTTTATTTGGGTATATTAAGGGGGGTTCGTTCTTATCTCTTGTTGTTTTCTTTTCTTTCTTTCTTTACGCAACGTCTTCTGTATCTACGCTGTCTATTACTATACAATACTTCCTTTCTCTTCTTTACTCAAGAAGACCACCGCCTCACTTCTCCTCGTCCCGTTGACCCTTACCAATGCCAGAGTCCCATAAGACCCCTAATGCGAGCTCCCAAACCGACCCCCACTACACCCTTCGTACCCTGTGGAATACTCGCGACTCGCCCCCTTGAGAGCACCCATGCCTACTCCCTGGAGGACCGCCAATATCCTCCCAAGCCTGATATTGCTGTTCTTCAATCAACCTTCGAGCTCCTCTGAATCCGTAATTTGTACCTCCACCAGCCGAACGGTAGGAATAGCTGCCAGGAGGGACATTCTCAATTGCCCTCCAGATAGTTCTGACAGCTCTGCTGGGTACGGTATGCTTCAGGATTAAGTTGAATAACTTGGGGAAAGTTATCTTGGTCAAAATTCCGATGAACTAAGGTTCATTCAGGGGATCATTCAAATCATAAGTAGGTGGTGGGACGAGGATAAGGAATGCCTCTAGCATATCGGGGTCCACCATGGTAACCATTATGGAAGGTTGCAAGAGTTCCGGGGATACTACATGCTCTTTTCCTTTGCGAGAGCGTCTTCCGGCTGCCTGACTACTGCCCTCATCATCATCATCACTATCATCGGCAGCCTCTTTGAACTGACGGTCACCCTGACCCTTGATAACTTCTCCTTCGTACAAGAATCTGCGATGAGCCACTGTAGAGTATTCGCCAGTGCTCTATGGGCATCGGAGTCACCCCCAGTACAGATTGGCAGAAAACCATTGAGGAAGGCAGCTTCATTAAGTAAAGTCATAGAATATTAAACGCAGCCAATCCGGAGGTGTTTTTATTGACCCAACCTACATTTTGCATTTCCACCTTTAGGCTGTTGCAGATGCTGGTGTACACTTTAGGTAGATTGAGTATACCTAAAATCATCTTCTCTTTGGTTGCTTGAATCATCTTAAATGCTCTCGAGCTCAAGGATATCTCTTGAACACTCGGGGATGTCTCTTGGACAATTGGCGATGGCTCAGGTCAAATTCGTCTCTGTCATACTGGTGAGGGGTGGTGTATTAGTTGGGATGGGCTTGTACTAGAAAAACCTGAGAGGGATGTAAGGGCTTGAATATGGGGGTCTCCAGTGCAAGAGCCTTCAGTAGATCAGTGACGGGTACTGGTGAGGGGGTAGTAGAGCCTGCTAGGCCTATTGGTGGACCTGTTGCTGGGCCTGTTGCTGTTGGGCATCTTGAGCAGGCTGCACTAGACTTGGACCGAGTGAGAACTTGACATGGGACTATGATATTCCGGGGAACATTCTTTCGTGGAGCACTAGCTGTTGGTGATGGGGTAGCACTAACTCTAAGTACGGTCGTCCATACAAGGGGTTCTGATGAAGCATTGGTGCGTTCTGAGGAAGCAGTGGAGACTGCTGCTGGTGGGCCTCTTACTGAGCCTGTTGCTGAGTCTTGATCGTCACTTCTGTATGGTTCAGAGAGTTCGGAACCAAAGTCAGGAAAGGAGTCAGAATCAGTTAGGGTTGCTCCCCAGTTACTCGGGAAGATTCCTTCAGTATAGGATGGAGCTAAGTTAATATTTGGCGGAGTCCAGAGTTCAGACCGGATTGGTGAAGGTACGGGATTATGTTTTCGGCTCTTGTTGATCGGGGTGAACTTGGAAAGTACTGGCGATTGCTTCGAGGGTATTTTTGGTATCTTTTCTGGTATAGGTTTGATAGTTTTGCTGGACGTTTTGCGGTCTGAGGAACTGTTATAGGAAATACGAACACTGCTCCTGAGTCAAGGAATAAGGATAATATGAGTGATGGGTTGTGATACGAGTACGGTCGGGTAACGAGGGAACAAGCATAGAAAGGTACTGAGGGGTGTGGGGGCACCGGGTGCAACCACACTAGTATTAGGCTGTTGTGAGGGCACGCTTACTATTGGGTGTCTCACTCGGAACGGAATAGAAGCGGGGCTTACGGCTGCAGGCCGTTCTACTTAGGGAAGTAGCTCTGGGACAATAGTACGATACAGCTCGGTTACTGGCAATTGCAGGGTTCATGGTTACGAGTCGGAATTAGAATGGAGGAACGGAACTATGCGGGGGCGCTTTTCTATTGGGGATTATCTTCGGGTTGATTGTCTTATTCTATTATCGTTATCTCATTAGTATTAGAAAGCGGGCCTTGGCATAGGTTCCAATATGTATAAATAGGGAAGGGTTCCGCCTCGTCTTAGTGGCATCATCAGTCACTCAGCGAGCGGAATCCGGTTTACAATATTACAAGTTTAAAAGCTACAGAACTATCGCTTAGCATTGGCATTTCCCCAAACACTATATTGTACCTTATCCACTACGCTATTATTTTATCGATCGCATATTATCAACGTCCCGATAAGACAACTACTTGCTTAGACCAATACTTGAGAGTATTTTGTTTGTGGCGGATAGTCACCGTGCGCTCAAGTAAAAGAATAAGAAAGTAGTCTATTAGAGGGACTCTTTGATACCGTATGCATCCCCGAGTAGCAACAGCAGCTATCAACAACTTCACTTGCACCACCTCTTTTGTCGTTCGCAGAGGTAGTGCCGAACACCTCTATTGCGGATACCTTGAGTACGCCGGGTTTTTTGCCGAAGCAGGTACTACTTGCACGTTCGAAGAACACGACCCGGAGATCCTCAACTATCCCGAACTCTTCCCTATTAAAGTCACCCTCAGCCAGCAATCCTACGGATTAGCTCACTCCGTCCCTTGGTTCGTCGCTCAACCCTGGTGTAGAAGACAGCCACAACTCAGAATCGAGCAACTTAGCGATGTCAAGGGGTCATCAGCAACAAATGGAGGAAGACTACAACATGGAGAGCTCGATCACCGTGAGAGATCGAGGTATAGTCGAGACCCAGGCGAGACAGCGCCACAGGAGGGATCTGGACATGCCGATCAGCGACCTCTTCAGATCGACTCAGCCGGCCGCATCCTATGGCCAACCCCGCTCCCGCAGGCAAGGGGACTATCGAGATCATTCCCCATACAAAACGCCAATCAGAGAACGATCTTCTATTCCGAGGCCCTCGGTCCCCAGGGAAACGGACGAAGACGAGGATACGGATATGGACGTAGAGGAACGCCGGATCGAGCACCCCTTTGGAGAGATCATCGGGCAAGAAATCGAACGGAGAGGAGCCCCAGTGGTTCAGCAACTGAGTCGCGGACTTGGAGACCTCACTGTGAGCGTCCAAGACCTGCCCGCAATCAGGGAAATTACTCGGCAGCACGCGGCGCAGCTTACCCGGCAGCACGAAGAGCAGACCAAACTCATCCGCGAATTGCAGATGAAGTTCAACCAGGACCAAGAAGAACGGGAGCGCCGAGAAGGGTATATCCTCGCGCAAGTGCGGGCAGAGACAGCCGCAACCACTACGAACCTCGGTCAAGTCTTGGAACAGATCGTCACCACTACTAGGGCCCACCAACAGCGGCAGGAAGAGCAGGCCCAGCATATAACTATGCTGGCTGACTGGATCCAAAGACTGCCGAAAGATGGTCCAGCCCAAGTTCCAGAAGGCGTAGCAGCCACACTAGCACAATTGGAAAGGACCATGCAGCAGCAGGTCTCCTTGGTAGATGGGTTCTCCGGAACAAAGACGGCCTTAGAAGAAATGGTGGAGCAGATGAAGGAAACAGCCCGTAAAGCGGCTGCGGAAAAACCACTGGCCCCAGAAACAGGTGGCGGCGGATCAGGCCCACCTCCCCAACCACCTCCCCAACAACCAGTCGTCCCTCCAGCCGGCTCCGAATCCAGTGAAGACCTCGAAGACCCAGGCCAACAAGGGAAGCAGGGAGGTCAAGAAGCACAAGGTGGGGGTAACGGGAATGGCAATAAGGGAGGAAACGCCCCGGAAGCACCCGGATCATCGCCATCGGATTCCTCAGATTCGGAAGGCGAACGCCGCAGGCGGCCGGAACGCAAGAAACGAAGACAGGAAAGGAAGCGCCAACGAGAGCAAGAACTCTCGCACCCCTCTCGTGCCACCGTAGGTGATGCACCCAAAAAAGCCAACATTCCCTTCTTCGGAAGAGCCGATCAGGACGTAAGACTCTGGATCGATCAGATGGAAATCCTAATCAGTCTCCAGAAGAAGGTCCAATGGGATGATGGTACCAAGATTATGTGGGCATCCCTCGAGTTTACCGGTAGTGCGGCAAACTTCTGGCGGAATTTTACGGAGAGGTTGGCTGTGGACAGAAGTATCGGAACCTGGGAACGGTTCAAGCAAGAGCTCCGCACTCAATATGGCAACCGCACGAGTCAGGAACAGGCCAAGCAGAAGATGGACAGACTCCGGCAAACTGGACCAATCGACGACTACATCAATGAGATGCAGAACCTAGAATGGGACGCACGAGTTGGACCAGTTGTCATGAGATCCATGATTCTAACAGGAATAAACTCCTCGCTGGAACAACGGCTCTCCAATGCGATTGAGGAACCTAATGATTTCGTGGACTGGTTAGCCTGGGTACGAAAAGTCGGACGCAAGGACCACGAGGTGAAGGCGCGGAAAGAAATCCTGCGAGGAAAGGATACTGTGAAACCTCGCGAGGAAAAAACGGAACGGCGGAAATCGCGCAACAATGCAAATCCTCGGAAAACTTTCCCCGCATCAGCCAACAACTCCAAGACCTCGGATGACTTAGGTGTTACCAAGGAAGAGAAGGAGAAATGGCAAAAGGAAGGAAAGTGTTTCCGTTGTGGTAGAGATAACCACTTCGTAAAGGATTGCGTGGCGACGAGCAAGGTCAGGTTAACGAACCTGAAGAGAAAAGAATATCCTTCCGGGAGAAAGGACCACGGAAGGGAGGGCGATAAGAAACGAAAATTGGGGCCACAAAATGAGGCATTTAGGGCAAGGATTACGAATTTGGAGGACTAAATTGATTGGGTATTTCTATTTATGCGGTGTTTTATTCTATGTTGTATTACGGCTTTTCTATTCTGTTTTGGAAGGAAGACTTTTCGAAGGGATCGGGTTATGTTATGTTCTATCGGTTTTGTTATTTTGCGCAATCTAAATTTTCTCTACACACATTTCGAGAAGCGGGGTTACATTCCGAAAACGCCTGGTGCATAAGTGTTGTACTATGATTTGATCAACGCTAGAATTTTCTATATAAACTCCCTCGCCCCGCGCTCGGAACAAGAACTATCAACATCAAGAACAACCCACCTTACCTTACATTTTCAAAACATACGAACATGTCTTCACACAATCAAGAAACCCGACTTGAGATTGAGATCTCTTGGAACCACCCCGCAACTAGTACCCAACATGCAGAAATAGTCAACGCACTCCTAGACAGCGGAACAGAGGACTGGGTTATGTCCTGGAACTGTGTCCATCGTCTCAAGATCCCAACTCAACCTCGACCCAAGCCCCTCATCATCAGACAGGCTGACGGTACCCCTATGCCTAACTCCGGTACTCACATCACCCAATCTCTTACCCTCCGCGTCGACAACCATCTAGACAGAGACATCGTCTGTGAGGTTGGCTCATTCGCAGGAGAAGACCTCGTCATACCACATCGATGGCTCAAGGAGCATCAACCTACCATACATTGGGGTCAGAACAAGGTCACCTTCGACAATATCAATTGTCAAGTGAAGGGATGCTTCAGGACCATGTATGATATATACGAAGAAGACCCAGAAGAGCTGGTCATCAGGCTGTTGAGGACGTCACCCGAGACACAGATGACGATCGAGCAACACCCCTTCTGGGCAAGGGCATTGGTAGGCGAGGCTCTCGCTAGTGCTATACCGATGGAGTACCAGGACTTCGTCGACGTCTTCTCTAAGGAGGGAGCCGATCGACTACCTGATCACTCTGAATGGGATCACACCATTCCCCTTATGGAAGGAAAGCAGCCCCCATGGGGACCGATCTATGCGCTCTCCCCAGTGGAACAAAAGGCACTCCGAGAGTACTTGGACGAAATGCTAGCCTCTGGCAAAATAGTCCCCTCCACCAGCCCGGCAGCAGCACCGATCCTGTTCGTGAAGAAAGCCAATGGAAAACTGAGGTTATGCGTAGACTTTCGTGGCTTAAATGCTATCACGGTCAAGAATCGCTACCCCCTTCCACTCATGACAGAGTTGGCCGATTCGACGAAAGGAGCAGAGTTCTTCACTAAGATCGACCTGAAAAATGGCTATAACTTGATTAGGATTGCTGCTGGCGAGGAATGGAAAACAGCTTTCAGAACGAAGTACGGCCACTTTGAATATAGGGTAATGCCCTTCGGTTTAACCAATGCACCGGCGTCGTTCCAGGTCATGGTCAATACCATATTCAAGGATCTTTTAGATCAAGGCGTAGTAGTCTACTTGGATGATATTCTAATATATTCAAAGACTAAGGAAGAGCATACGACTCTTGTGAGGAAGATATTGGAGCGACTGCAACAAAACCATCTATACGGGAACCTTGAGAAAACGGAATGGTACAAACAGGAGGTAGAATTCTTGGGATTTGTACTATCAGGGAAAGGGAACCAGGTTTCGCCTAAGAAGGTGAAGGCAATCACGGAATGGTTACCACCCACCAAGGTCAAGGAACTTCAATGTTTCCTCGGATTCGCCAACTTCCTACGACGGTTCATCCACAGGTACTCCGAAGTTTGCCGACCAATGACCGATCTCTTGAAGAAAGGTTCCGTATGGCGATGGAGCAGTGAACAGCAACATGCTTTCGACGAACTCAAGGAGAGATTTACGTCTGCCCCAATACTACGACACTATGACGAACACCGTGAAGCGATCATAGAAACTGATGCGAGCGACTGGGCTGAGGCCGCAGTACTCTCTCAGGTGTTCGAGGACGGTATTCTACACCCGGTAGCTTACCACTCTCGCAAGTTCAACGAGGCAGAGGTAAACTACGAGATCTATGACAAGGAGATGCTCGCTATAGTTTCTGCTCTCTTGACTTGGAGACATTGGCTGGAAGGAACGGACATTCCTATCCAGATACATTCAGATCATCAGAACCTACAGTACTTCACAACGACCAAGAAGTTGTCAAGAAGACAAGCCAGGTGGGCCGAAAAGATAGCACCTTTTCGCTTCAGGATTCATTACCGACCAGGCGAAAAGAATGGCAAGCCAGATGCACTCACAAGGCGCCCAGAGTTCGCTATGGAAGGGGGAGTAATGCGTGAACAACCCGTAAAACAGTTGCTCAGCGCAGAACAATTTGTCAGAAAATCACGGACCAGCATAGAAACTGGCCCTGAAATCATTGGCAACCCCGAAGAAGAATGGACTCCGTTGGATCAGTGGTACGACATACCAGGTACTGAGCTGCCTCAGCCACTACAAGACTGGTATGAACAGGACAGACAATGGGTTCGGAGAGCGTTCCGGGATGAACCTCTCCCTGACGCAAACCTTGAAGTCTTCGGGACAGAGGAAGCTGATGCCGTAATAACGGAGCTTGCCACTGAATGGACCCCGGGATCGAATGAGGCCACCCACGATGGTCGTTGGGTAGTGCCAGGATACGCGGTCAGACAAGTCATCGAGGATCACCATGACAGACCCGTAGCGGGGCATCTAGGAAGGGATAAAACCCTCGAGTTGATCGATAGGAACTACTGGTGGCCAGGAATGTCCACGGATGTAGCCAACTTCGTCAAGACTTGCGACGTGTGCCAGAGAGCCAAGCAACGTCGGAGATACTTGTCACTCCCTCAACCCCTAGAGTTAGCCACCACACCTTGGACTGATATCTCAATGGATTTCGTAGTAGAAATGCCAAAGGAGAAATCAGGATTCCGTAACGTATTGGTAGTCGTGGACCGTTTTACGAAAATGGCTCATTTCATTCCAATGACGGGAATCAACGCGGAACAGACCGCTAACGCCTTTGTCAAGGACATTTGGCGCTTTCACGGACTTCCTAGGAGCATTGTCTCTGACAGAGGAACACAGTTCGTATCGGCATTCTGGGCCGCGATCACAGAACGACTAGGGATTCGCAGAAGACTCTCGACCTCGTTCCACCCACAGACGGATGGACAAACAGAAAAGACCAACCAGCACCTCGAATCCTACATCCGGACCTATACCGCAGGAACAGGGAAGAAATGGAAGGACCTACTACCGATTTGCGAGTATGCATATAATAATGCGAAACACTCGTCAACAGGACAATCGCCGTTCTACTGCAACTATGGTTTCCACCCACGAACAGATTGGCCAACGGATGCGAAAATCGGACAGCTGGATGCCAAGGGAAACACCTACCTGGAAGACCTTCTCCTAGCCCATGAGTCAGCAAGAGACACGCTGCAGAAGACCTTTGATAGGATGGCGTCAAGGCCAGGACCAGCAGTTCAGCGGTTCACAATCGGTCAAAAGGTTTTGCTGGATACTCGGAACCTCGGCGGTTACAATAAATGGTCGGAAAAGTTCACAGGCCCCTTCGAGGTTGCCGCGACTGTAGGAAATAGGGCTTATAGATTGAATCTTCCGGCAGAATGGAAGGTTCATGACGTATTCCACGAGATGTTACTGAGACCTTACCGAGAGGATCCCAACCCGGGCAGGCAACAGAATACACGAAAACGACTCGCAACACCCGATCCGCAGGAAGCGCTCTTAGACGAGAACTTCAAACCAACCACGAATATTCGGCCCCATACACGGAGTCAAGGGCCAGTCATCGACTCGAGTCGGCCTCCGAAACGACAACGGACTAGGGAAGACTAGCTCGATACCTTTCCTACTCTATGACTTTTCCCGCAGGGTTTTTATCATAGAGAGGTTTTAACGGTCGAGGGCGACATCTAGGAAGGGGGAGTAGTGTTATAGGAAATACGAACACTGCTCCTGAGTCAAGGAATAAGGATAATATGAGTGATGGGTTGTGATGCGAGTACGGTCGGGTAACGAGGGAACAAGCATAGAAAGGTACTGAGGGGTGTGGGGGCACCGGGTGCAACCACACTAGTATTAGGCTGTTGTGAGGGCACGCTTACTATTGGGTGTCTCACTCGGAACGGAATAGAAGCGGGGCTTACGGCTGCAGGCCGTTCTACTTAGGGAACTAGCTCTGGGACAATAGTACGATACAGCTCGGTTACTGGCAATTGCAGGGTTCATGGTTACGAGTCGGAATTAGAATGGAGGAACGGAACTATGCGGGGGCGCTTTTCTATTGGGGATTATCTTCGGGTTGATTGTCTTATTCTATTATCGTTATCTCATTAGTATTAGAAAGCGGGCCTTGGCATAGGTTCCAATATGTATAAATAGGGAAGGGTTCCGCCTCGTCTTAGTGGCATCATCAGTCACTCAGCGAGCGGAATCCGGTTTACAATATTACAAGTTTAAAAGCTACAGAACTATCGCTTAGCATTGGCATTTCCCCAAACAGGAACTTCGGTATTTCTTATATTTTCAGTACGATTTGTGTTTCTTAATTTTTCGGTGGGTTTTTTCGTTATCGTCTTCATCTATGTCACGCATGTGCTTCTTATTGGGAAGTTGATTTGTGTTCTTGGAGCTACAAAGAGTGGAGTGAGCGGTGTTTGGAGTCTGTTAATGTTAATATATCACGATGATATGTATAGTTCTGAAATTAATTAGATTAGGAGAGAGAAATACCATGTTCTTTATAAATATTGTAAAGGTTGAATCACTTGAAAATAGAGGAACTTGAAGGATGAGATTTCAACAGGTAATGTTGAAAGCAATGGAGAACTTGAAGTGATAGGTGCAGGATAACTTGAAGGTGGTTAAGAATTTCTTCCGAACTTGTAGGAACGGAGAGGTAATCTTATACTGAGTATGATCAACTTTTTTCTTGACCTTATCACACTTCCAAGAGCAGCCACGAATACTCTAGAAGCACTTCAGAGTGGTCGTACTCAATGTTCGCTTCAATATGTGATGTTGATGATCTAAATACTACAGGCGCACTTGGGGATGCTCAGGTGGTACCAATGGTGACATTGATAACGCTCTGGTATTAGGGTTGATGTTTGTGTTCTTCTTGGTGTTGGTGCTCTGTCCTCTAGGAAGCTGATTTGGAGAGAATGTATTCTTTGAGCTCGTAGTCAATATTCGTGTTGAATTTGGCGTTGAGAACACTATCTTGATCTAAAGAGACTCCACAAGTGCTCCGGGAGAGAGTGCAGATGCTCAGGGCAATAGAATCTAGCATAACTGGCCTCCTTATTGGGGTAGTGGCTGTTTCTTTGTATTGGTGTTTGTGTTTGTATTATGTTGATTTATGACATCAGACTCGTACTGAAAGTCAGCCTTAATGACGGGGTGCAAGTGAGAGCCTTATTGGCTGGCAAATCAAATCATTCAAGCAGTCTGCAGCAGTACCTGCAGGAAAGAGCCTCTTCGGACTTCGCAGAAAACAAATATTCAGAGCAATCAGGAGTGCTTTGGTAACATCGTGAGACTTCAATGAAATTGTCTTGCCCTTTTTGCAGCAAGCGGTACAGCTCCTCTTTGAACTTCGATAAACATCTTTGAACTACACATCCACTTGAAGCAGATGAATGGTTGGGAAACCAGTTTTTACTCCTGGAGCGCGATCAAGAGATACCCAATGACACTCACGACAGCCCAGAAGCCAATCACGATTCCTATTCAGATGCGCATGATGACTCGAATAGTTTGGAGAGCAACAGGATCAATTATCATGATCAAGATCCCGATAATAATTCAGATCTGGAATCCGAATCATATTTTATGATGGAAGAGGCAGATAGAGATGCAAATAGGCATGAAGCAGCGACAACGATTTACGAGGGTACTGGGGAGCGTTTCTACCGCTCAAAGGACTAAGATGAGTGCGTACAAAACCTTCTCCAATACTTATGGTATCCATTCTACTCAGCATACGAGTATCGAATGGCACATTATTTCATACTGTCAAAGGCCTCACAAGGAAATATCGACAGTTTCTTTCTACATGCTCCGTCAAGCAGTGGTGAATGCCTGTACAGAACTAGGCGAGGTTTTATAAAGAGGTTGGAGGAAATGAGTTACATATTGGGAAAGGCGAGCTAGCATCATTTGGAGGTGGATATTGGAGGAGAGAAAATCCCTTACTATTACCGGGATCCAATGATAATTGTGTGATATCTTCTACGCTAATGGGCCTTTCAGGAGTCATTGGTGTACACGCTAATGGTAGAGCATAATGGATCTGGTGAGAGAATATACCGTGAAATGCATAAAGGAGATTGGTAGTGGGAGACGCAGGCCCAGTAAGCCTCACAAATGCTCTATGAGCAGTCGCTAATGCTTTTTGGACAGAATACCTTACCGGAGGGGTCGACTGTGGTACCAATTATATGCGCGTCAGATGGCATACATTTGACAAATTTTAGTGGGGACAAGAAAGCCTGGCCAATCTATTTTACTATCGGAAACATTAAGTTATCGGTTCGGAACAAGCCGACGAAGCATTCGTTAATTCTCCTAGGGCTACTGCCAGTCCCAGCTAAGCTCGAGAATAACTCACTCGCTAATTCCACTTTACGATGTCAGAGTCAAATGGCGCTGCATCGCGCCCTTGGAGAGATCTTCCAGATCATTCGGCAGTGCTCTCGGGAAGGAGAGCTAATCGCATGCACCTACGGGGACTAACGTCTATGCTTTCCGGTTTTGTTGGGTTGGATCGCTGATCAAACTGAGCATGCAAACTTACAAAATATTAGTACTAGTTCTTGTCCAAGATGTGAGGTGGAATTCCACAGTCTTGGGAGCACTCACCGGAGCCCTACGCGCAATCACGAGGATTACCAGCAGAGGGTAAAGCTATTCAGGGAGAACTCTAAAAACCTGGAACCGGTGGAATACCTTGTCACGAGATCAGTGAAGACACTCTTCAATGCTTTCTGGTGTGTGCCAAGGTTAATCTATACGATCTCAACAAACCGGATATTCTGCACAATATCTACCTAGGGATGTTGAAGCATACGATGGAGTAGGTTCAGGCTTTCTTGAAGAAGCACAATCGATTGGAGGAATTTGACAAGACTTGGGCCTTGATTGCGCCTTAACCTGTATTGGCAGTACCGAACAATGCATATCGTGCCACAACCCAATGTCCAGGTGAAGAGATGAGAAATCTTTGGCGAGTTGTTCTCGTAGCACTCGTGACTGCTTTGAGAAACCAATGGGTAGCAGTCAGGAGTGAATTTGCAAAGGCATTGAAATGTATACGAGGCTTAATCGACTTCCACTTAATGGCGCAGTATGGAAGTCATACGATGAGCACACTGAATTATATGGAAAGCTATCTCGAGGATTTCCATAAGCACAAGGATATCTTTTTATAATGCTAGGCATACAAGAGGACGGTTAAGGATGCGAGAAATCGGACAAAAGCCTTGAATGCGTCAGGCTCAGAGAGTGCTCAGCGAGGCTTAGAGGAGATTCGCGGGTTACGAGAAAAGTCTCACTTCAACTTCATCGAATGCACGTGTTACCCCACTATCGGGAACATGTCGAGCACTTTGAGAGCATTCCTCAATACTCCACCGACATCAACGAATTCACCCTATACGTCAGATAAAAGAGGCATATGGAACACCCAATAGGGTCGATGCTGCAACGCAGATACTGGACTATGGAAGGCGGCGGTTAGCGTTAGAGATTCAAGTATTGAATTTGAAAGATATTGTTAGAGGTCTTGAAGGCACTAACGATATCCTTTGGAGGCATCGAGATAATCTGAAGGAGGCATTTGAGATTTTTAAAATCGAAGACCGGAAAGAAGCTCCAAATGAACGATCCATAGTAGAAGGAGGGTTGCCTCTTAGGCATCTTTGCAACCCCTCAACAACATCGGAAAGACTTTTTAATCTTGGGAATGGACTGCAAATAAGCCATACCATGTTATATCACCTGATAAAGGAGTATATAGAGGATACGGGATTCTCTCAGAGCTTTGCCAGAAGTTCTGAGAGTATTTTAGGGCACTGGGTGGAGATGTTCACATGTTTTCAAGTTCCGATACCAATCTTCCAAGGACCTGAGCTGTACGAGGTTCCCAATATTATGTGTACTGAAAATGCGGCTTTTAGGAAAGAGAAAATAAGAAAGGATTGGATATGGGTGTCGGTAGCAACCTCAGAGGAGTGGGGAGTGTTTCGGGGACGCTTACCAGTATGTGTGGAGGGTTTGTTCAGTCTGCGAGACAGTGGGGGGTGAGCACACAGACTATGTATGGTGGAGCTACTCGAGGCAAACGAGAGTGGTATTGCTGATAGCTCACATGGGCTCCTGAAGGTTCGTAGGAATAGGAGAAAGAGGATTTGGGTCGTTGATATTCGGAGTATACTGGGAATAACCCATTTGTTTGAGGTGGAGATTGGTAATTGGTTGGTAAATACTAGGATAGACTTGCATACATGGAATGAATTTAGTTAAATGCTTGCAAAGCTGTGAGGGCATTCTTGAGTGCTTTGGTGACGTTAGACGCAAGTGGACTCTCAAATTCAAAATTCGTTTCGTTCTGCTATGCATGTGGATTGGAAGAAGGAGGAAAAAATTCGGCTGCTCAGTATCTGAGTCTGACTATCCAGCAAGCTCGCTCCAGCAGGGCAATGCCAATCCATATTTGATACTTATGCATAGACATTGAGCTTTTCAGATGAGCCATGTCATGGCCTCGACCTCAAAGCTAATTATACATTTCAAGAATCGCCAGAAACATACAACTCCATCAAAGGTTGGTTAGTCGTCACCAGTATACAGGACAGTTCTTGTCTCAATATACCACGACTGACCATACAGCGGCATTGAGGATACCCATGTTAGATATCATTTGAAGGACTGGTGTCTTCTTATTCTTTGACGATAGTGTATCAATACAAACAGGGCAAAGTGAGGGTTACCTCCCCTTGAGTGGGTATGACGAACGCCTCAGCTCTGTGAGCATTGGTGAGTGCTCTTTGAGCATTGACGAGTACTCTGGTAGCACTCGAGTGAGCATTCATATGAGCATTCATGGGAGTATTCGGGGGAGCATTCGCGGTAGTATTCACGCTACGGTGAGAAAAATCACTATGCCGTGCGAGCATTCGTCGTGCCGTTCGAGCATTCAAGAAAACTGTAAGAGCATTGGAAAGTTCTCGCATAGTATTACTGACCTAACCAAAAGAATCAAAAGTTCTATACGTGCTGTGGGCAGGATCACTCCATCCTATCGTCTCCGAGGGGGAAGTAATCTCATGGCAGCTCAGGCGAGCAGAGCATTGGTGAGTACCCTCCAGATGTGAGCCATATCTCCTGGCGGTGCTGGAATAGCAGGTGCTCCTGGAGTGGAGCCGGACTCGAGCAGTATACCCTGACGGTGCTAGACATGATAGGCGCTCAGGGCGCAGAACTTATGCCAGGACGAAGGGGTTGCGCTCTGGGTAATACGCGAGCTTGCTGATTTGGTTGTAATCGAGAGGACTAACAGTATTTGATGGGGTGGCTTTAGAGCTTAACCGAGGCCAGTAATAATAGGTCAGCAGAGAAAGCTGATTTGGGTAAAATGGGTTGCTGTTTCGGGCAATAAAGGCAAGTAAGTCATCGGAGTATCTCATGTAGGAAGTTGAGCAACAGCTTTACGACCATAAGGTAACTAACTGAGTGGACTAACGTGTGCTTTGGGAATAGGTTTTCACTAACCAGCAGGCTATTGACAGTGTCCTCATATAATGTATAGCAGGATGCGTTCTCGTCAGAGGTTTTTACTTACTAATGTGGAAAGAGTCTCAGTTACGGGAGACAAGAGATATCTGCTCCTATAGCAGTCGGGTACAAGGGCGATCAACGTGGTTGTCTATGAGCATGCGAGTCAGAGTAGAGGGAGAGAATAAAGAGCGTTATCTCAAGAGAAAAGTGAGGAAGTGAAGAAAAACGAGAAAAAGAACTCCTTTATATGTTCAATAACTGTCGTCCGAATATTCCTTATACATTCATCCAACAGAAATCATTAGAAAGCAAAAGAAATACTTTTGACAAAATCTAAGCCTATTCTCAAGTATTTCCTCTTTAGCTAATACAATATCCGACCGTAATACTAAGACACCATTACAGCTATAGACTATCTGTACAAGAGTAGGTAATAAACGATTGAACGCTCTAAATACATTAATATCTACTTTTAGAATATACTATCAACATACGATGTTTATAAATATAACTCTGTCAAAAGGCCTTCTATAACTTATTACCTACCATTATACACCTATTATTAATAGTTATTCTATTGAAATAATCAAATCTATAAAGTCTTTGTCCTTACTGTATTTCTTCATTGGAGAGTTATCAGTGAATCATCTAATATATCAGTCAAACCAGTAATAGTCTTGACTTGATAGTCAGTTGAGGTATTTAGTGAATGGAAAAATTATTCAGATTATCAGGAATATTACTAGATTGAACGATCAAGTTTCTGATCTACCTAAATATGCTGTATTTCTTGGATGACTAGAATATCTCCGCTAATAGAATCAGAGGACTTTAATAATTTTAGAAATTAGACGATTAATAAGTATTCGGAGTTTATTTCTGACCGGTATTATATTAATTGAGAAAATAAAAACCCCTCATTCAATACTTTATGCAGAGGCACTCTTAATACTGTTCAGAATCTAGTCTCAAGTGGTACTAAATGATGCTGATGGTACTTGATATTTCATCGCCATTGTTTTCTAATAATAATTTTCAGGACATAACGAGTTGTTTATACTTATACGCCAAACAGTTATATAGTTTCTATTATAGAAATATATGTGAATTATACTATAATGTATTTAGGTGAATGTACAACTCTAAGCAAAAGCTTTTGAGTTTTCTAACTTGAAACATTTTGAGCCCAATAACGCCTATGTTCTGGATACCACTCATGGTGTAAGAAGAAGCTTTCAACCTAATTATATATCAGAAAGCGGTATTAAAAATTTTTTTTACAACAAATAAAATAGCAATATTAGTAGAGTTTGAAAAATTAAAAATACACATCAAATGGAAAAGATAAATATATACCTCAAATTTCTGTCTATTTTAATATTTAACATAAAACTCTTGACAACTAACAATAGAGATTTATTCTTTTTTGGAACTCAAAATATTTCTAAATGGTTTTCATGGATCGACTAGTGGAGGAACGGGGTTGCGAAGAGTTGGATTAGTCAGAAAGGTTCTATTGGGTTCTATCGGGTTCTGTTGATTGTTAATGTATGAGTCATGTTGGATTTGTCATCATTGGGATTACTTTGAGTATATTAAGGGGGGTTGTTTGTACTTCTCGTTCCTTACTCTTCTTCTTTCTTTACGCAACGTCTTCTGTACCTACGCTGTTTATTGCTATACAATATTATCGTTCTCTTCTTTCTTTAAGAATACCACCGCCTCGCTTCCTCCGTGTCCCGTCGAACCTTACTAATGCTAGAGCCCCGTAGTACCCCTATTGCGAGTTCCCATACCGCCCCCTATTACACTCTTCGTACCCTGCGGAATACTCGCAACTCACCCCCTTGAGAATGGTTAACAGTCAATAACCGTTTCTTCTAATATAGAATTCCGAATTGAATCCTTTAGTAGTATGAGTTGAGTTTCAATAGTTCAATTCTAGTTCTGTTATATACCGGATGTCTCCAATATCCAATATTATTCTATTACGATTTTTGAATTATATTAATGTACCACTATTATTTTAGTATATAAGAGAGTAAAATCTATGAAAACATACAGCAAGCTGCGATCAAAATGGGTTGACAAAATCTATATTTAAAAACTTTCGTTTAAGTTTCAATAAAGAAGAGCCTTATGGTATAAATCATTCAAACAGAAATGTGCTAACATACATTTGAATCTAAATAATGGAAACAAAAGATATGCCTACTTGTTTTAATTGTAGTTTGTTCAATCTTGACAGTTTTGAGAATAATACTATTTTTGTTTAATCTTTTTTAATATGAAATCAAGCTTTTATTTGCATAATCAATTAGTTGTGAAGAGTGTAAATTTGTTGAACAGAGTTGATAGTGTAGTGTACTTGATTAGCCCTTAAAAATATCCAGAGTATGAATATAGAAGCGTTACTCAATATTGTAAAACTAAATACATGCACCGTATGAGTAGTACTAGTGTTCGAGATCAATTGAATTTAACGCTCTTTCTTGTATCATATCATATATACTTCAAGAGGTGTCAGACCTAACAGTACCAACTTGTGAATGACAATGCTTTAAACATCAGGCATCATCTGCCAGTGTGAAACCTGGAGGTATGAAGACAAATATTGTGTTTTGTGCTCTTTCAGCACTTATGGCCCTGTGTAATTTTGGCACTAGTGTGTGTGCCAAAAAAATAATGGAAATTGTCATGGTCCTCACTTTTAAAAATGAGTGGCGAACATGTGTTATTCCCCGTGACTGAGTGGTGTTGTTGAGCTTTGGTGAGAACGTTTGTGAAGGAAGGGAGAATGTTGGCCTTTCATAGCACGGATTTTCGCCGCGCTTTTTTTCTATGGGTGCACCAGCATTAATTTAAAGGAGGGGGGCAGAGGGCTGTGCGAAGAGGCGACGTAGGAGGGCAGCGTTGTTACGAATCGGGTGTCAAGGGTCACGAAGTCACTACCATTCGAGGTTTTGCACCCGTACGTTTGCGTCGATTTCTGTCCACTAGCTCAAAAGCCTCAGGTTTATACTTCGTTACGCTCCCAAGATCAGACCCTAGATGGACACGTTTCCTGTACAAAATCATCTAACAATAAGGTCTCGAGGCCTTCCCGCTGCAGGCGTATCATCCAGTAGTACCTCTCACGAATCCTACAACTTGTATCGATTTAACCCAGCTGTCAACGGTTCTCGGAGAGAGCCGCACCCCTTTCCCGTACTTACTTCGCCCCGCACACGCTTGTCTACCTAAACCTCTTTATACGGGTTTCCTACAGTCGCTTGCAGCTTCGTTACTGACCCACGAGTAACATTATATTAGCGCATTCGTGATCCGACGCTACGAGAACGATTAACCCTAGATAACCCTAGCTAACCCTACGTAGCCCTTCATAACCCCAAGCAACCCTCCATATCCCAACGCAATCTTTGAGCTTCGCGACCATGAGCGCTACTCCCGACGCCAGAATATGACAAGTACCCAACTCACAGTTCCAGTACAATACTCAACACGGTGAGATTCCCAGGCAGGGAGAGTATATATACTCACGAGCTCGGCGCACTTAGAAGTTCAAAAGGGTGAGAGTGTTGCAATAGCGCTTTAAAGCCTAGGGTCAGGGCTGTGGTGTTAGTTGTGGGTCGTGGTGTCTCGCTGCGGTTTCGGTGGTGGGTGGGGTCGATAGCCACAAAGTACGCAATTGCAAGAATTATCTGGCGTTATGATGATACCTATCTGTACTGTGGCCGAGAATAGAATAAAAATATTTTTTCTGCTTGTTAAGAAGTTAAGAAAGCAGCCAATACCTGCCAATAGTGGTAACATAGACAAATATTCAGAGACACTGCGATAGTTCACGATTGACATGCGTAGCAACAGCTCTGCGTTACCTTAGAAAGCTGCTAAATGGGAAGTCCTGTATAGTACAATTCGATATTCCGGCGCTTCCGCTCTTGATTCCGCCGCGGTATCTTGTGTATGGGAGTATGGTTCCATGTCTTACATCCCGTTGTTGTATCTCGAGTATTCGGACGAAACCCATTGACGCAAGAAAGTTGGCAATACCCTTTGTATGGCTTAGGAAGTATTACAGATGCATAGTTCCCCGGGGGGAAACGGAAGACGACGGGAGATTGATACGCGGCAGGCTTTTAGTAGAACATTTAGCCCTCCTAACAACCTATTATCGTGGCTTACGGCTCCGCTCCCCTCCCCCGCCTCACGGCGGAGCGGATTGAAGACTTCAAGAAACATGCCTGAGAGTCGCACTATCTTCCTAGAAATATGAACACCGAGGTAAACAGTAAAACTACATCCTGAAGTCTATTATGGATCGGAAGATGACGTCCCTACTTTGATCGATCGACAGCGGTAGAACCTATCCCTACAAGGCAACCGCCCACCACAGCGTTGCCTGTTTGATGATTCATTATTTATTTGCACCTGAGGGCTAGACAACATCTGTGAACAGTACCAGCAGTAACATTGACGAGATAACGAAACAACGCATATGAACGTTGAAAAAAGCAAGACCCGCAAAGCGATCGAAGGTCCTCGATTGATGAACACAGGATGGTAATTAAGTAAAACCAACATATATCTGACAAGGGACTTACAGGAAAATATCGTTTGAGTAATTGCAAGAACTTCACAGGCGCATCATCTACGTCTTCTTGGCTAATTAGAGAGAAGGTTGGGAGTCAAAGGGCCTCCTTTTATTCGCTGAACTACTAACGACCGGGTGCACAATCAAAGCCCACGAAGTGGTATTTCTTAGGACTTAATTAGGAGAGGATTCAGCTCAGGGAGTGCGTAGCATTTTTCAATTAGCCGGGAAATCAAAGATTTTTATTAACAGGACAGATGGAAAAATCAAATGAACCAAGTGTGTAACAAAACGAAAATCCCTGTTAACCTGGGGCTAGAAGGATTAGGGTACGGAAAAAGATAGTTCCTTGTACATATATGTGATTTAAGCAATATTATTAATTAACTATGAAATGAGGTTGGAATGACCTATTAAATTCTCGAACAACAGAAGACAGTAACTCACGAGCAGGTAATGGACCAGCCCCTAGCATACTTTATTGACTTACAATTATCTCATGAAATACCATACCCGACTTACTATTTTGCAGCTGCCTACTATCATTAGTTGCACCTGTTACCCTGTTTCAATTATTAGTTCACTTCACTTCACGCGATCGCACAATGCACAGTTAATTTTGAGGCTAAAATGCCCATTTTCTTTTCATTTCTTATCCGCGCCCTATTCAGGCAGGTAACTGGGGAAAACTTCCAAAACCCAGCTCGCGCGGAACACCTAGCTAGGAGGCTGGGGAACAGGGATCCCCAGTCTCGATAAAAGTTTTGCTATAAGACCAGAAAGACTATATCGTCCGACAGGGAAGGAAAGTCATGTCGTAATAAAATCATTGCCAAAGAAAAATCATTCTACCATAAAAGGGCAGGATGTTCCTGCCACAATAAAACCGTTGCCTAACCAAATCAGTCTATAATAAAAGGTTTCCATAATCAGTTCCAGGGAAGAAAGGTCTTCCCAATGAAAGCTCGCGCCTCAAACTTCCTCAATCTCAAGTCCCTGCAATTCCATCGAAAACTTCGCCCACATCTCTGCCGCAGCCTTGTTGATCCTTCTCTCCCTTTCCGCCGTAAGAGAGCCCAATCCCTGCTGTTCCAAAGCCTTCACATAAGCATCTTTCGCCAAAAATCTGCACCTCTCGTCCCCGTTCCAGCTCTCGATCTCCCAAGCGTTGAAGTTCTCCTCATCTACAATATTGCAGTCCGCACCTTTCTCAAGCAAGATCTGGACCATGATGGGTTCGTGAAACTGAATCGCATAGTGCAAGGCAGTTCTGCCATAGCAGTCTTGCACATCGAGATCAGTTCCAACCCATTGATTATTCGCATTGCGCTCGCACTCAGTGACACTGCGGATCATCGATTTATATGCTTCACCGATCGGGATCATCTGAGGATTGAATGCGGAGGTGTTCTTGCGGTTGCGGCGGCGATGAGCTCCGTGTCTTGCAAGGTGGTGGAGGACAGTGCGGCCATCAAGATCAGTCGTATGAACGTCCGCGCGACGCGAGATCAATCTGTTCCAGATGCTAACAAAGTGGGCATGTCCGTAATAGTTACCAAAGCCCCATTTCGCAAGCCAAGAGAGGGGGAACGTTGAGTTGGCCTCATCGATACTGTACTGGAACTTATCATGAATGTCAGCATCCCCATCGATCAGGAGGTCGACCATGGGCCCGTTGAACGTAGTGATTGCGCACTCGATCAGGGGTGTGGTGAGATCCTCCCAGTGGTCGCTGTCGACCAGATCGAGGAACTCGATGGCCATGTTCGTGTTCAGAAAGAGGCAAGCATACGTGAATGCCTCCATGAACTGTTCCTCAGTCGCGAACTCAAGCAGATCCTCGGCGGCGGTCCAGCTATCGATATTGACAGTGGCCTTCAGGGCAGCAAGTATACTTTCGTGACCAGGAGTGAGATACTTACGTGCCAGGTTATAGACCGCGCGATCATTCTGGACGATCAGCTTGACAATCGCGTAGGTCTCTGTCGGGAACTCCCAGGGGAGTGTCGCCGCATAGGTAGGCGGCGGAGGGAACCAGCAAGCCATCTCGGCGTGGCCGGCATACTTAAGTCCATTGCTAAAGTTCTCAACGCCGAACTGATTGAGGACCAGGAAGATGTTATTGAACTCGAGGGACCGGATCGTCACGTAGGCAGAGACGATGGGGCTGGTCCGCGGGAGGAGGATCGAACGCAAAGATGCGCACGTGTGGGCCAGAGTGGCTTGTTCCTCGACTTCGTCATCGTGCCTGGCGAGGTGTTGGATAACCTCTGTGGGGAGCGTGATGACGATATTCCTGGGGGACATCTGAACTGAGGACTGCATAGTAATGAGTCCGATCAGTGTTAATTAAGCAGTTGACAAAAAACGCAGAGACGAGAAAGCGCTGATGAGGAGTAAAGACAATGACTTTGGAAGATATCGAAGTCAGAGTATATTTGATGCTTAGATGAGTGATGTGTAGAGGAAAGGGAGGAGAGGGAGAGGAGGGAGATATATATACGGGCCAGCATTAGCCCTAAGCCGCTTGGCATCATTCGCCGAAGCACATGGTTAGGGTACGGCGGCCAAATCTCTGCTCTAGTGGTGGCCAAATCACCGCATCACTGGCGGCGAAATCATTGGCCTGGGGGGGCGAAATCATTGGCCTGGGGGGGCGAAGCCATAACCCCAGGGGCGGCAAAATATCGGGCCGAGAGTCGGCTAAATCTAGCAAACCTGGTACTGGGGCCATCAGTGAAACAGGTTGTAATTGAACAAACAAGCAAACAAACAAACAAAGCATCAGTGGATAATGCATCAAGCAGACCGAAGAAGTCATTAAAGGAAACCGGAAGAAGAGAAACACGGATGAAGAGCGCCGGAACATTCAGCGAGGCCTTCTACTCTTCGAGCTCTGGGCATTCAAAGCCTAGTAGAATGTGTTGGAAGATGACTTCGGCAATGTGAATGAATAGGTCAGTCGTTGATGTGGTTGCATGCATTCGGGACGAGTGAGAACCCATGACCCGCCCACCCTCGCATAGCGGTCCGATGTTCACCCGAAACGATACCCAGGAGTTCGAATCCGCGGAGAAATAACTCGGCTAATGATAGACAGAATGAGGTAGAATACGCTAGCACACCCTGTTGTTTGCTATCTCGATATTCCAAGCCGTTGTTGAATGTTCACCGCCAGTGAGATGTTTGTAGTGTGAAACATCTAGTGCCAGGGTTTTAGTGTGATGTTTCCATGCAGCATCCGTATTTTGTCCGTGTAGTAAGCAAACACTCGCTGTTTGTTTGTGTGTTGACGGGTATCTTCCGTCTCTGGGAAACCTGTTAATTTGTTGTGTTTTTTCCCGGCTTTCGATTCCATGGTACATCAACAACGCTTCGGGGGAGCTGGTTGAGGGTCGTGCATTCCTATTTATACCTCCACTATTTCCGAGGAATATTAAAATATCCGTTTTTCAGAGCCCCTCGCAGAAAAGACGCAATCGGCGGAGGTATCCACCACCCCTAACCCTGAAGAATATATGCACCCCTACCTTGTACCCGCACTCGTGCCTAAGCCTTTCTCATCATTGGAAACAGCTCTATATGATTAGACGCTAATGATGGGGGAGCTTCTACACAGGGTCTGTTATTGAATGAGAACGAATACAACAATACCTAGCATTAGAAAGCCCCACAGGCGCTAGCTATTTTCCATCGCTGTTGATCGAAGCTCCCATGCCTGGCCTCCCCCCCTAACCCTGCCGATAACCCCCGTGAAGTTTAGAAGCGTAGCCTAAGGCAACCCCGGCGAGCACAGATGTGAAGATCGACCTGCATGCTGCTCCGCGTTTGGGCCCCCCGCCGTTCCCACTGTGTGATGAGAGAAACATATGGCCGAGATACTCCCGCGGAGGCCGGGTGGGAGCGTGGAGGAGACAGCCAAGGAGTAGACGGAGACCTTTTGCTCTCAAGATCGGTGGACTGGGTTGAGGTGGATGTGTTGGCAATGGACATCGGTTTGGCGGTATAAGGCGGTATCAAACTAAATAAAAATGAGATAGTTAGGAACGTTTGAACCTCAGGCTACGGTGGCCAGACCGAGACTCGACCGATCTAAACCAACTGACACACCGGCACGGAATATTGTTTTTCCGCACCTTTGCAGCAACATTCGGCTTGAAATGATTGCCAAGAACCCTAACCCACATACCAGTTAGACAAATGGTATCTCTGGTTTAGCCATATTACGAGAGGTGGTTGGGTAGTTAGTACGGTCTTGAGGCCGTGGTAATACAGTTAGTAAAATACAGGGACGTTCTTTTGCGGACGTCCACCCCCCGGGGGGGGGGTGGGTGGGTGGAGAAGACGTCAAAGCAGTGGATGGAGAGATCGTTCCGTTCCCATCAGGGGACTGGGTGGTGAACCGGACTGTATTTTGCCGAGAGCCGGAAGTGGTACTGTAGCGTTCGTGGCTTTGTGGGCGCAGGTTGGCGCAGGTTGGGATGTAAATGATTTTAGTTGTGGTCGGGAGATCGACGGGTAATTTGGTGAATATATTTACGCTGATTTATTTCACAGGAGAGAAATAATGTGGAAGTTGGAGTAATTGACTGATTTATTTAGAAACTGGTGCAGGCGGGGCAGCCCATTTCGTTAATTTGACTTTTATCCATCCGGAGGTCTTCCTCGCGTCTGAGACGATTTGAAATGCCGGGAAATAAACTTGAGATTGAACGCCATCAATGTGTAATTTCTCGTTTTTGGGGGTGGAATTCTATAGCGGGTAATTTCTTACATCAGATCATGTTAATTTCTCTTTGTCTTGTTTCATGCCGTAATAAATTATCAATCGGTTTCAGAGTAATGTTTGTGCGTGGGAATTTTGTGGGAACTTTTCTCTTCGAACAGTATAGACTGGGATAGCTCGCTGTTTTGGAGAGACTCCTATTCATGTAAGGCAAATCTTAGCACTTGTCGATACTACTTCAACATCTAGTGGCAACGTTTGTACTTTTCCATTATCCATCTAAACCCATCCTACTACACCAAACGTCACAGGCAACGGTAAGGAAAGAACAACATCACAAAATACAGTTTTTATTGGAAATAAGTAGCTAACTAAAGCGATGCCCTGTAGCTAACTCCAAGTGCACCCTTATTTCTAACCCCCAACTTAAGCGCGCTAGACAGTCGCAGTCTCGAATTTCTCCAGTTCCAGTGCAAACGCAGCCAAACTCTCTGCAATCGTCAGGTCATCTCGTTCCGTGATGAACGGCCCCGAGTCGCACCACTCTTTCGCGGCCTTCACGGGAGTCTGAAGCTGCTCAAACGCCTTCTCCATCAAGGCACGTGCGAGACCTATGCACGACCTATCCCGATTCCAATTCAGGAGGTCCCAGGCGAAGTTTCCATCCTCGTCCTCGATGCAGCAGTCGGCACCCTTTTCCAAGAGGATCTCGACAAGGATCGGCTCGTACCAGGCGACTGCCAAATGGAGTGGTGTACTGCCGAAGGCATCCTGGTGGTTAAGGTCGGCACCACAGATATTGCCGTCCTCGTCCTGCTGACATTCGAGGACGCTGCGAATCATTCTCCTGTACGTCTCGTCGATAGATGGCCCGGGTTCGTCCTCCGAGGCCTCCGAGGTTTCTGAAACTGCATTTTCCGCATCACCAGCCAGGTCCTCCACGTCCTTCCAATCGTCCTGGGTTGTCTGCGAGGAAAGAAGTCCCGGATTGTCCTTCGCGGATGTCGAGGATGCCTCGTTCAAATCCTGATCGGAGGATGTAGTGGTCTTCTTATCGGTATTGATGGCTGACGATTGAGCGGGCTCAACTAACGGCTCGTCCGGATGACGATCTAGAAGCTTCATACGGTGGAACTGATGGGCCCCGTGCTGGGCCAGGATGTGAAGAACATTCGATTGTCCATCATCTTCATCCTGGACATCAGAGAAGGCGATCATCTCTTTCCAGATCTTGAGGAAGTCATAACAGTAACCAGGCAGATCACAGATAAGCTCTGCGAGGTACAGCAGCGGTTTGAAACCGTCGACCAAGTCCTGGTCGATCTGGAACCTGTCGTAGACCTCTCCATCGGCCGCGAGGATATTTCTCAGCATCTGTAAATCGATGTTTCTGACAGCTCGTGAGGTAATATCCCAGGCAAGGTTGGTGGCACGCTCAGGCTCCATGTACCTAAGCATATTCATCGCCATATCGATCCTTTTGAACCGCAAAGCCTCGATCACGGCTGCCTCCTGCTGCTCCTGGTTGGCATATTCCAAAAGGGTCTCGGCGATCTCCCAGGACTCCCCCTCGATCGTCATCTTGAGGGCAGCAAGGATGCTGTCATGTCCGTACGTGAGGTGTTGATAAAACAAGGTGAGGATGGGCATGAAAAGGTGGTAACGATCGATCACCTCCAAGATTGCGTACATCTTCGGATGGGGTGACCATGTGAACCCCGGCATGTAATAGCACCCTGGCCCCACCCAGATAGTGTCATCCTTATGGCCCGAGTACCTTAGCCCCTCACGGAGGCCCCGGGCACCGAACATGCTGTAAGCCAGGAGGATATTGTCCATGTCGAGTGATCGGATCGCGACATAAACCATGACCGCGGGGGGGGTCCTAGGGAGGAGAATGGCCCGGAGCTCAGAGCACGTCCAGGCGAGCGTGGCACGTTCTTCGGCCTCATCGTCCTTGCCACAGAGGAGTTGAATGACCTCAGTGGGAAGAGTGATTATGATATTGCGGCGGGGAATCTCGACTATGGGCTGCATAGTTGTTTTCGCGTCTTTTGTGTAAATTTGGTAAGTTGACGTCGATGGTTTTGGGGAAAGGTGCATGTCATGTGACGGAATCGGTTGCTATGACTCATGAGAACCGGACGGCGAAGTGAAGAGAGAATCACAAAATACAATTTTTTTTATTCCGAGATGACTAACTAGCTAACTAAGTTACATGATTTCGATCTTCCCACAGAGAACACCCGTAACTCATCTCGAACCCTCGCCTCAATCCTCCACCATCTCCGGCCCCTGCAATTCATGCGCAACCTTAGCCAAACGTTCAGCAAGCTTTACGTCGTCTCTTTCCTTCTTAGGCTCGGAGTCGTCCCCTCCACTCTCAGCCTGCACAGGTGTCTGAAACTGCTCGACGGCCTTGCCGTATGCCGCACGTACAAGGCACTTTGTTTCATCGCAAACAGCGTAGCCGGGCAGCTCCTAGGGAAAGAGGCCACTGTTGTCTTCCATGAGACAATCGACATCTTTCTCCAAGAGAATGCAGACCAAGATCGGCTCTTTGTATTCGATGGCGTAATGCAAAGCCGTCTTTCCGAAGATATCCTGGACGTCGAGTTGTTTTCCGGAGAGAGTGCGAATTCCGCGAATGGCTTCAGTATTCACGCCTGGTTGCAGCATATCACGGATCATCTGTCTGTAGGTGTCCTCGACAGACGGCTCTTCTTCGTACTCAGATTCCTTTTCATCCCCGGAGTGTTCTGAGGATGACTCGCTTGTGACATCCTCTCGGACCTCTGGGAGGGACTGGCCTGGATCATCCTCGTGAGCTTGCATTGGGGACTCCTCCGTATCGTCCTCGGAGGATGTCGAACTGGCCACTTCCGGATCGGCAGCTAAGGACTCAGCGGCTTTAGAGCGTGCGTAGTTGGCAGCTCCGTGCTTGGCGAGATAATGGAGAACCTGCGCGTGCTCTGCATCTTCTTGCTCCTTGTCGGCGTATTCGTTGATCAGCTTCTGCCACATCTTGAGTAGGGCCCTACGGTCACCACCGTTGCTAAGGCCACACCTTGCGAGGTATAGCAAAGGAAAAAACGCATGGACACGTGCGTCGGGCATGGGGAATCTGTTGTAAGCCCATGCATCAAGTTCAAAGATGATTTTGAGCATTTTCAAATCGATGCTGTGGACCGCACGTTCCATGATATCAAGGCAAAGGTGTGTACCACGCTCGTGGTCCATGACCTCGAGGAGGATGCTTGCGGTCACGATGCTTTGGAATAGGCAAGCCTCAAGGAAGGCTTCCTCGAGCTGTTCCTGGGTGGGATACTCCATGAGTGGCTTCGTAATAATAACCCAGCAGTCAAATGGCATTGTAACTTTCAATGCGGCGAGAATGCTATCGTCCCCCTCTGTGAGATGATCGTAGAGAAGGTCCAAGAGCGGCATGCGTTCCTGGAAGATTACCTCCATGATCGCGTAGGTTTTTGTATGCGGTGACCAAGGGAATTCGTCAGTGTAGGGGCCGGATGGTTTTCTCCAACACTGGAGGTCCTGATGGCCGGCATATTTGAGACCCATGCGGAGGCCCGCAACGCCGAACATACTCTTCGCTAGAAGGATCTGCTTCATGTCCAGGGACCGGATGGCTACATACATGATGACCATCGGATCAATCCTGGGGAAGAGAATAACCCGCAGCTCTGAGGAGGTCCAGGCGAGAGTTGCGCGCTCCTCGGATTCGTTATCCTTCCCAGCGAGCAGCTGGATAACCTCGGTGGGGAGTGTGATAATGATGTTGCGTTTGGAGATTGAGGACTGCATTGTTCGTTTCGGTGGTCCAGGGCACGGACGATTGGAAGATACAGGGTAGAGACAGTCGTTTGTGTTGACTTGTATTGATGATAGATACACAGTCGTATTCGATGATGATGATGATGATGAGAAAGAGAGAGAACGGCTGACAGATAAAAGGAAATACAGGACAGGAGCCCCCTCTGTTCCACCACGACCCGGACCCCTGTCTGGTCAAAGCCCCCTTTCCTCCTGTTCGACATCCAGCATGACACTACAACAACAGTTTGGAGGGTTATCATCAATTAATTTAAGGTTGTGGGAAAAAAGAGTCCGCGGAACGGCTGTGTGGTCTCGCTTGCCAAGACATAACAAGACAGCAAAGCTAGCCATGTCAATAATATCAGACACCGGGGGGGGGGAATGTTAGAAAAGGAAAGTAGCTAGCTATAGCATATCTATTAACTAGATTACATCGAGAGTTAGAGGATCATTGTAGGACGAGGAGTAGGCCTTTCGAACTCACAGATGCCGAAAACTAGTACCGCTTCCCTCTCAAATATAGGTGTTTTTGTATCTTGGCATAGTCCAATCTTATAAGGGTATGAAGGTTGAGGATAGCTCAAGTAAGGTATCTTTTATATAATTGCATCTACTGGTGGGCACAATCTTGACTAGAGAACGTCGGGATCAGCAGGCCCTTTATATTGGTTGAACATGAATACACAGGGTGTCACGAGAAAATCTATTTTATTACCACCTGAGTTCGTCACCTTCTCCATCAGTAGCCTATCTTACAAGCAAAGCGTAACGGAACAAGGGCTGTTGTAACAAAGAAATGGTAGGTTCTCATGGAATGAGCGAGAAACGAGTGAGAGACGATGACGCAACTATCACTGTATATTCTGAGTCAAGTTAAAATAATCACCGAGAGTTTGAGGCCGCACATGATATCATTATCTAAGCACAGATCGCGTTGGGTTCCCCTATCACGTTCGTGTTTCGTTGGTGGTGTCAACCACTCAAGCCTAGAGTTCCACCATAAACCACTCGGTCACGTGCAGGTATGATCGTGATTGAAGGCACCTGGAGTTTTTTTATTTGGAGATGTCCCTAAGTAGGATACTGACAGAAGAGAGTGGACTATAATAATTGTCCTACAACGGTTCTCCAGATCTCGATATGCCAGTTCAGCTTTCATTGTTCACAGCATGTCCTTACCCAGAGATGCAGCATAGCTACATGAGAGGCAGCACGATCTTTGGTCCTTTATGCCTCTTTTGTTTATTCGTGGGCTCTTTACTAGGTGGGCGTTGGTCGCCGCGTTCATTCAACGTCTTTGTTGTGGATTTCGCGCTCTTCGTGTCTTTCCGGATTTTCTGCTTGAATTGAGCTTTTCCGGTGGTAAGCGCGCAGATTGTTGCAGCTTATTCTTTTCGTTTTGTAAGCATGCCATTGTTTCTTTATCCCAGCATTTTTTTTTCTAATAATACTACATACTGCAGTCCTTTGTTGACATCCCCGTATATGAAGGTAACCTTAATTAAAGTTTACTAGTGATTGATCAATAGGCCTAGGTGGATATGATAAGTATTATATTTATTGAACTATTTATTTACCTAATACTACTCTTACAAATCATTTTCACTGCAAACGCCCATTTTGACACTCCCTTATGCCACTTTAAAGTCATCCAAGCCAACCGCATTGATTCTCCTCTCTTCAAGGTCATGGAAGGGAACTTGCAGAAAAAAGGTGGAATCCGATGGACTTCTCATTCAATACAGGCAATAAAATCTCCGATTTTACATCTCCTCCCAAATTAATGCCAGCGGGAAGCCTGTATAATATCGATACCCCCTGCCTTCTGGTCCTCCCCTCCTCTCTTTAATCCTCTCCTCCCATTATCGTAAATCATCTTCTGTCTCTCGCGCGGAAAGAACAAGAAGTCCGCATCGATGTTCGTAGTTGTAGCCAGGCGGTAAAACGCATCTCAGGCCTTAACAACCTCCAGCTAGTAAACAACGGACAGAGGAATGCACAACTGCCACCATCTAGAAATGTTTCTGTACTACTGAGTAACATAGCCGATGTTGTCCTCCACGACTGTCGACGGAAGGACATGTACCACCACCGATGAGAACTGTCCTCTCCGAAGGTAAATGTGACCTTTCATCGCTCCCGCCATGCTGTTCTATCAAGGCCGGAAGAATTTCCAGGGAAGTTCTACGGGTAGTCAGTGCCCATATCAACTGGGCTATGCCAGCAGTACATACCGTGCAGACACGAGTTATATCTCTCGATGGTGCTCCAAGCCGCCCCCAATGGAACCCTACCCCCCAGCCTCCCCCGATGACTCCCGCAATTGAACAATCTAGCGCAACAATCTAGCGCGGGGTACCTCCTACCTAGCCCCAGTGCCAATCTCATGATTGACGTTCTTGCGGATGAGCTTAGACCGTCTTCCATCATCGATCCGGTACGATGAGAGGGAAATATCGATGATGTCTCGGCAGACAGCCCGGAGGAGTGAGCGGAGAAGAGAGATAACGAGATGTCCCGAGATATGATGTCCAACATGCGAGCTGGCAATCTATGAGTGATCCACGGAGTAAACATCGTAACCCATGTCGGGTATGTCGCTTGAAGGTGTTCAGGAAAGTCACCCCCCCGGAGTCTGTTATCATAACAGGTGCTGTATAGGTCTTCCCATCTCATAGTGTGAGGTCGGTACCAGATCGCGCATCTCAGGATACGTTGGAGCTTTTAGAGCTCGAGAAGCACGGAGAGCCAGTCGTTTTCCTGTCGGTGAACGATGTGGATGGAACGGCGCGGATGGAACATGATGGCCGATCGGGGATGGTTGGTTAGGACGTTAGCCTGATTTGGTTGGAGTACGGAGCGAAGGATAAAGATGTTCCGTTGATACCTTGTGGTGAGGATTCAGGGTTCGTGGTGGTTCCGCAGGATATCACCGATTTTCGGATTTGCACCCAAGCGACGTCGGTTGGCCTGGGTGCCAAGCCTGAGTGATGATCTATGATGCGCCGCCATTGCAAGCACAAGAACCGTTGCCAAGCCTGAGTGATAATCGATGATGCGCGCGACAACCGACGACATCGAGAACCGTCGCCTGAGCTACATCGCTAACCTAAAGTCACCCCATCCCACACAACCCCGCATACACTCTCACCATGACCGTCCACCAACTCAATATACACTACACGCTGTCCTGATACTCTCTCTGCTCTACTATACTCTGAGAGCGGGCGCTGGATGTTCCACCCATGTCTCCCGACCGTCGGTCGAACATTTCCTTCATGATCTGCCTGCATCTAGCTCTCCCCTCGTTTGTTGTGCGCCTCTCTTCGCTCCCCAGGCCATCAGCTCTCTCGTTTCCCTCGACCACCAAGCGACGTAGCACGTAGGGGTGGGCGAGAAGCGCTATTCCATCGCTGTCACATGCCCTGGAATCAATGTAGGACTTATGCGAACATGAGGAGCGGAGACGAGAGGGACCACCGCAGATATCATAGGGCGGCATACATGGATTTCGAGATCAAAGAGCCACCAGGTAGCTGGGAGAGACCACCGGCGGGGGAGAGAGCGGAGAGGTTTATGATAGAGACCAAGGCAGTTCAAGTGCGGCTTAAATTCCCATACAGCGCAGCAGCAGAGAGGGAATAGACAAAGTGGAGAGTTATACGCAGACCGGAAAAGGGCAAATACTAATGCGGTGGAGACGCAAGGCAGGCGTGGTTGGTTGCTGGCGATGGTCAGTTTGCTCTGATATTGTGACTGTTGACTTTTACAGGGTAGACCGTGATGCTGACTATAGTGACAGATATGAGATTGGTCGTACCAGAGGCGGACTCTCTGAGGGAGGTATTTCTCTTTGATAAAGGCTACACAACTCCTGCTCCGACTGCGAGCTCATCCTCTACCCGGCGTAACTAGCAACCGATGCGAGAGCCGGAAGGGAATGCAGTATTATCGTGGTAGACCCGCATGAATAGAGTAGACACGGGACCTGTCGGTGTTACAACGACGAGGGTGCTTGATTTATTCCCTCGAGGAATGTGCGTCCTCGATCATCTACTGGCACAGCTGTTTGAAACGCCAAGAAGCCTCGAGGCACACCAGAGACCTCCGAGATAGTTCCGGAGTATAATAAGCACATAATAGTATTGATCTTAATAAGGTCAAGGACAGAATACGCTATCCATTCAACGAGGAGCTCGTTTCGCTCCCCCGGAAAACCCCTTTGTCCCCCGTGTTGCTCGAGAAACACCGCTAATTCTTGACTAGTTCCACTCAACCCGAATGTCTTTGTAGAGTACACTGCCGGGCTCGGAATGCTTTCGTCAAACGGTATCGACAGGCAAACCAGACCTTACCCACCGACGGGACGGCGAGCGAGGAGACCATCAAAGGACGCCCGAGATGCAAAAACCCGACTGGTTTGTACCGCGGAGATAGCTTGATCGCAGAGCCCTGGCGGTCCCTACACAGTCGTGGAAAGTACGGAAGACAGAAGATAATATCCATCCCGGATGCATTTTTCATCCAGGACGACTGTCCGAATATTCGTGTCCCGGAGCATGAAAGGCGAAGCGAGTGGATGAGAAGGTTCGCGTACCTCTCTAAGTCACAATGGCAGTTCTCGGAGTTGCTGTTTTCTTTGATTACATGCTACGCTTGGCCCCCGAGATTCGAGTCAGACAAGAAAACAGCTAGGTTGCCTGTGTTTACTAGGGTTAGGGTTTGGCGGTTCGCTCTGTGGAACCAATGCAAATTCATCTTACGCGTCCCTCCAGACCTTCCCGCGGCTCTTACTTCATTTGGTCTACTTCTGTTCCGAGAGTTTGCGCAGCTGACATTCTTATTAGGAAACACTTTATTCTTTATCGACGCCAAGTTCGGCTAGATTAACGGAGACACTCGTGGAAGGAAACCTTACTACCGGTCGCTGCTGCAGATTAGTCTTCTAACGATAGGAAAGAGAAAACTCAGTACCTGCTGGAAATCCTCAAGGTGAGGGCATCTTTGTGCCTTACAGGCCACACTTGATACCACGGCGGTCGGCTATGCCATTCTACCTGCATTATGGGCATCATGTGACCTTCGTGGTCGACATGTTGTTAAGGGTTCGTCCCAGCGTAGCAGGGCTCCTAGAAGAGCATCGATAGCCTTCGTAAGACCGCTACTGAGAGTGTGGCCTGTACCAGTGTCCGGGGCATCATATGGCCTTCGTGGTCCCTATGGTGTTAAGGGTTCGTCCCAGCCCGGCGCTGGCCCTATCAGATGGCTCCCGCTTCGGGACTGACGTCGCATTTCCATTGCCGGCTGTGGGTGGGCCAGCCTATTTCGGACAAGACACGCAAGGTCTTGGTTGTCAAGGTAACACCATGCTTTCGCCGTCATGTTATTGCGCGATTGTGGAAAGGTTTGTGCTGTTACGCTGTCCTGAATCTAGCTTTGACCCTGATCCGGCGCGGGGGATATTTCACCCTTCACAGGCTATGACTCGATTTATTCACAGGAGGTTTCAATGTTGGACGCAGCGATGGGCGAGCAGTATAATTGCCTGTGGTCTTATGGACAGCTCGACTTGAGAGAGCTTAAGCTACCCGGATGTGTATGTTAGATGTTCGGGCTTGGTGTGGTAGTTTTTGCGCAGAGCTTTCTTATGGTCTTATTTCCAGCAGGACTTAGGTACATTTTGCTTCCAGTTCCTATCTTAGATTTATGTAATGTTCTTTATAATTAATCAAAATCAAATTCTTTCAGAATGAAAAAACCACTCATCAAGTCGTGCTGAGGTAGAGCGCTTGACGCTTTCCCCACGAGCACGAGCCCAACCATCTACGAGATCGAGACATGTCACAAGTCGGCTAGAGCTATGGCGGATAGACTTGAGGCAGGTCACGAACCGCTCGATACCGTGGTGAGCCGTGAGATATAACGCTACCCTGACCGCGGCCCTAACATTGATGCGGGGGAAATTCTGCTGCATAAACTATCATTCGGCTTCTTCTCCGGGAAACCCCAACGTTAGATGGAGCGACGGGCAGAGTTCGGCTTACGCGGGTATCATTGATAAGATGTAGTTCAAGGTCTTTTACCTTTGGAGCATAGCCGAATATGTATAGGTGGTCTAGGATAAAATAAGGTTTAGCCTGTTGTTTTCCGATTGAGTGTCAGGGGATCAAAATACTGCAGGCATAAGCTGCCAGAGTTGCAGCCGCATAATTATATAATTGCTCATTTAGAACTTAAGCTGGACTATCTAGGCCATGAGGGAAGCTACTGGTCCCCTGCTATACTAGTATATTACGTAGGATAGTGGCAGGAAAAGATTATCTAATATTTGCCCTTCCCGTGATGACCAGTACCTGCTTTGCTGCTAGAGAATATTGTGATCTAATCGATAGTATAACTAATAAGCACCCACCCGACTCTCTTTTTGGGTACTCATTTTCCTTGATTAGATGACAATTTCTTAATGAAATTCTTTATTTCTTTATCTCTTTGTGAGCTTTTCTATCGCCACTTGTTGCTTAGGCCTAGGTATTTCCATTGTATTTATAGATTTTGTGATTCACCATGGAAATAATATCCTAGTGAATCCATCAAATTCTGATTATATTTCCTTACCATAAATTCTTTGCCAACGTCGATAGGTTAATAGATCTTAGACTTTCTAAAATACTTATACTGTAACACGGTATCCGTAAGCGCCAATTGATATTTTCAACGAAATAATCCGATACGTCCAAGGTGAGCAGGCGGAACCTCTTGCTTTCTCTGCGCCAAAGTATCTCGAAAACGTAAAAGACCACGACTTTACCTAGCTACGCCCATTACTATATTCCCGAATCGAATAAAAAAATTAATCACCTTATACCAAAAATGATCATACAGAAAGGCCATGACGGCTCCCCCGCGCTTTTGAACCTTTTGACCGCGAAGGAATATAGCACAAGATTTGGGTATACGATAATGTCCAATTCGCAGACGATTTCAGTATACAGAATGGGAAAAGTCATGGGAACTTAGCGTACATATAGCAAGTGGCGTGTAGGAGGATTGTTAGCTGTGGACCATGGTCAGCTATATAGGGAGGGGAAGGAGAGACGAAGAGAGAAATAAATGCTCTTTCTTACAGGGAAACCGCTTGCTTTGTAGTCGATCATATTCTTCCCTGACTGGTGGTTAAGTTAGTTCTCTGGTTTGTCCTTCACCTCTGTTCGCTCACTGTAAAGTGATAGTTACGCCCGGTGGGTGCTATCCCTGAATTCGCTACCCCCGCCTCAATTAGTCTTGATTCCTTGACAGGTCTTATACACCTAAGACATCCCACACCTCAGTTAAAATAACCTTCAATTCTTTATCCTCCAAGCCGGCCTCACCTCAGCTCAATATCTCAAGCGAAAGGTAAGGATATCTAACACCAATCACTTATTCTTATGATTTACTAATATATCACAGATTACTGCCATAGAGATGTCTTCATTAACTACCACAGACCAGTCAAGGGCCCCGGTCCCTGACCCCACGTTCCTCGCCGAGCTCATAGCCGAGAAGATATCCCTCAATTCTGCTCTCATTTTGAATCGTCGAGAGCAGCTTACATCGACTCGCAATTTCCTTGGTTGCCTTCACGAAATAAACCTCATCAAGGAGCAACTCAGGCAGCAGGGCTACTACAGGTCGACCACAATCACGACTCTGGAGGAAGGGAACGAGTTGGTGGGACTCATGCTGGAGGATCTCACGGAGCTACGGGTTTTGAGAGACGAGCTCGAAGCCCGCAAGGATGCTGCGAGCCTCCTGGTCATGGAGCTCGAGAAGGGTATTTTCGAGCTTGAGGAGAAGATCAACCACCAGAAGGCGCTGATTGACAACGAGAAGGAGAAGAAGCAGAGGAAGAGGGATTGCCGTGGGTGTTCCGTCTCGTTTATGTTTGCTGAGATTTCATTTGTTGACATTTTGTGCAGAGGAAATGATGGATGCTTAAGGGTGGTGCATGATACTGAACAGGAGGAACAAGTGGTCAGGAAGTGGGTGATTCAAGTAGCAAGGAAGCTCTAGTTAGAAATGAAAAACTTTTTTGTCTGTTATATTTAAATATTTCGCACTTCTCTTGTTCTGTTTAGATATGAAGCCGAACACAGTAGTCTCAGTCTCGATGGACCTTTCATATTTGCTATATAATTGGACGTATATTTGCTTGATTCAACTATTCCGGGAGCGGAATTAATCCCTTGAAATACCAGAAGCCAAGGTAATAGTAAAGAAAGAAGGAAATAATTTGTGGTGAAAAGTAGGTCAGTGAAGTGATTGCTAGACGCGTATTCATCGTGTACTACTCACCCGATAGATCGCTGTTAGCTGGCGGTTGTTCCTCCTTGGCATTCCACACGATCCATGTTCTTCACCCTTACATACCCAGACCACACGCTCCACGCACGTTAAACAATCTTAACGTCAGGTCACTCAACCACGCACCTACAGCCAACTATCCCAGCCCACTCAACTACGGAAAGCAACCTTATTAGCTGTCAAATCGATAAGAAAGGTACATTCACCTAGCCCGCTCTAATATATTAATAAGAGAACACCGCTCATGCACCGCTCTGGATATGTCTCATCGCTCCTCCTCCACCGGCCTCCCGGGTGGCCCGGCCGTCCGCCTGGCTTCCATCTCTGAATTGATTGCCGAGAAGAATGACTGCGAGCTCGCCCTATTCCACCATCGTATGGAGCTTCAGGACATCACAATGACCATTGACCGCATCCGTGAGCAGTCCGAGCTGCTTGACGCCGCTGTTAGGCGCGAGACTACTACGATCTATACACTCTTTTGCTCTGGCCAGTGCTTCAGGCTCATCGACAACGCGCGCGCGGAGGCTTTCGGCGGTGCGCGAATTGGAACGGTTAAGCGCTTCCCGACGTCGGGAGGAGGGCGGGCGCAAGAGGATCGAACGTGTCATCATTGACATCCAAGAGATCATCTTTGAGTTCGAGATGATGATCAAACATGAGCAGGGGCTGATCGACCAGAAGAGCGAGCTCGGCAAGGAGAAGGAGAACGACCTCGAGAAGAGGAGCGCGAACGGTGGGTGCTCTTTCTCACATGCTCTCTGAGTAGCGTTGTTGACCCTCTGGATAGATGAAGTTCGCATCGCTGAAGGCTGCCCTGATGGCGCTGCTAAGGAGTAACAAGGTTCCAGAGGTACACAAATGACTAGCTACCTGATGAACCACCTCTGTAGATCTAGTCATGAATAAAATTCTGTTTTTCTCTATTCCTCGTCTTCTTTAGTAGTATTGGAACTGTGAGCCAAAACCACCGGCTTAGGCTTGGATCCTGAAATAAAATAGATATGGATGAACATATTACTCTCTTCAGTGTTTCTAACGGCTTGACGGTTTACCAGTCCGAATTGGTTCTCTACAACCGTTTACCAAAATAGTTTGATTTAATTTTACCTTTCCACTATTCATTTAATTCAGGTCAGCTTATAGCTTGTTCTATACGCAGTTAGAACTCCTCACATAAAGTACGAACACCCTACATATTCCGAAAGAGACCCTAACCCTGAACCCATTTGGCCTAGAGTTTTTGCTAGACTAGTGCCAAGACTCTAGAACGGTTCTGCAGTTTAAAAAGATTCTCATTCGGTGGGTTCAGTTACCGGAAATTTTTATCCAGTTCGGTTCGGTTCAGTGCGGCACGTCCTATCTCATATATATGAAAACCGGTTACAGCCGTTCCAAACACTGACTCGCTTCTCCATCGGCAACCGGCCCCTTGAAGGCCCTTTTACTCCGATGTTATCGTGAAGAATTCAATAAACATTGAACATATCTGTAAATCAACAGGATATCAGAGGGCCGCCAAATCTAAACCTATAATCTTTTAGAACACCCGCTCATTATATTCGCTTCAACCTTTGAAGACTACATCTATGCATAGGATTCATGACCAGAAAATTAATAAAACATTCACTCGCAACACTGGTTATAATCTTATGTTTACACATGATCAGGAAACCCTCGTCGTTATTACCCCCGGAGGGTCAGTGGCCGGCATTAGATGAGGACCGGCGTTGGGTGTGCAGGACTCTTGGGATGATTCATCGTGACCACCTTCACGCCATAAAAGCTTTGGCACCTGTGATATTAGGGGGTAGCTGATACAGCACCCCCGATCATGTGACTTACATATATATATAGACCTTGTGTGATCATCCCCCAAGCACCCGACTATCCACATTTACCCACTCCTCCCCCAAATCAAAGATAAAGACTTCTCACAAACAATTACTAACCACCAATATCACAAGTAAGTACTCCATCACGTATCCCAAGTACAAACATCCTTACTAAGCTACATTTCCATAGTGCCACCAATTGTTCCTGACGCTGCCCTGATTGTAGCCATGGAAGATCGCTTGACCCTCCATCAGCTCGATCTCGCGGACAACGAGACAAAGCTTGAATTATGCCGTCGTAACTTCGGCAGTGCAGACATGGATCTCGCTGTCTGCCGCAGCCAACTTTACCGCCTCGGCTATAACTTTCAGACAAGAACCACTCCCACTCCACTTGGCGATGATGAGACGGCGCGAGTCGCACTGTTGTTGAGCATCGCGAATGACTTGATATTCATGAGAACGACTCACTTGCACACTCTTCACAACTTTGGCAGGATGAACAAGGATATCAGATGGGATATCATGAAACTCGAAGAAACGATGGTCGATTACAAGGCAATGATTGAGGAGGCAGAAAAGGAGCGGAAGGAGAACGAAGGATGTAAGAAAGTCGTCTGATCATTCTGTTTTACACAGCTGTACTAATCGTGAATGAAAGCCGCCGCCGCAGCCGCTGCTGCTGCCGCCGAGGAAGGCACCTCTTCGGCCTTGACAGATTAAATATCACCCTGCAGCAAAGATGCGATCTCTCATGGCGAAAGGTTGAAATACAACGAATCGGGGTCTGATTGGATGATGTTCTTTATGGGATAAGGGATATCACTCCATCTCTTCTCATAGATTGGGATTATAACATTTGTTTTAAGAAGATCTCTGTAAGTTTACATCAAGGAAGAAATTAAATCTCAGTGCTTCTTTCATAATCTCGATTCCAGTATAGATTCGTAATCCAAAACGCGTGAATGACCCATTTTCAATTCTTGTTCTCAGTTACATTCCAAATTTGAATATCTGTTGAAAGAATATCGTACCGGCAGTGTTTTCTAACCTTCCGGGCCGAGTAATTTCACATATACACCTGGCCTCGCTCCTCCGGTGATGGGAGCAATCAAAGGTGCAATCCTTGACGGCTGTGTAAGTTGGAAGTCGGGCAGTTGGCATGCTTGGTAGACGAATCATTTATTCTCATGTGACATTACTGATGGAATCAAGACTCATACACTTGAAAGGCCTGGTGTCGGAAGGAAGGGCCTGTTTCGGACAAGAGTTGACTGGTATGAAAAGAAGTCACTGGTTTTAATGGAAAGGAGGAAGGAGACGTTGACTGCTAGAAGAATTAGAATCTGTTGTAGATTAGTTTTATAAGGAGCTCTACGATGTAGGTAATTAAAAGATATATTAGACATAGGTCTCATATTACTTCTGTCCAATCGGTCCTCTTGCTACATCTGATACTATTAAAGATTACTATCCTATACAGAAGTGCCAAGGAACGCACCCTATAAATATTGGCTCACCCGGACGTCTCTCCTAAAACCCCCACCATCCACAAAACAAACATCACAAAAATTAAAACGTTTCCCACTTCTTCTCTTGACCAACCGACAACCTCAACAGTCCGTATCAAATGCCCAGGTTTATTATGCACACATGACTAACCTACATTTTCCTAGCAACCATGAATCCAAACCCCACCTACCTCGCCAACGCGGCCCGTCACATGGCCACCCTCGAGCGGGACCTCCGATGCAACAAGGCAGTTCTGAAATGCCGCCTCCGGGAGCTCCGCCGTGCCGGCGAGGATCTCCGTAGCCACCGCACCCTTCTACAAGACCACGGATACCTCTTCGATGTAGAAGCCACTCTGTTCGAACGCGATGTACTGACAGTCCGTTTTGAACTTACCGTCCGTTCACACAACGATCTCACAATCCTGGAAAGCGAGGCGATGGATATCGTCCACGATTTACGGAGAATCCAGCACATGATCCTATGGGAGATCGAGGGCCTCAAGAAGCTCATGGAGGGAAACGAGGCAAACTGGGTGTATTCTCACTGTTCTTCCAGCCTGTTCTGGCTCTGCGTCAAGATCATCTGTGACCCGACCGGGAATTCCTCGAACTAGGTCAATCGGCGGTCATGAACAGATACGAATGGAACCGGCAACAGGAATGCGGGAAAGGGGGAAAGCTATGATGGAGGAAGGGAATATCTGGTGTCGGGAGTGGTAAATCTGCTTTTTGTGAAGGAATAAATCATTCTTCGAGTAGCTTCCATGCTTAATTCAATAAGATACCAGCAGCATGCTCAATATCAATTGTTTTTCTTATATCTCTTCTTCTTCATTAATGTTGTTCTCACGAGTGACTTCAAAAACCATGCGCGTTCGTTACCAACTATGTATCAAATAAATCACCAATCTGTGTTTTATACTTGTTTATTATGGCCTTCGATGTATCTATATCTGCACCTAGGATCTCTAGTTTCTACGGATTTTCAACCTATCCATCCTGTCAATAAATATAACGATGTAGAACTAGCATGATCATGATTAAATACGAGAGGAAAGGCCTGCAAATATTGGCATTTTATCATCTCCGTAAATAATTTATGCAACCTAAGGCTGTCGAGAATCCCAGTTCCCGGGGGTGTCTCTGAAATAGTGATGGGCACGAGACAAAACGAGACCACATTTAGGGTGGTATCGTCTCGTCTTGTGTTTAGGGGTAGTAGGTTTCGTCTTGTCTCGGGACCTTTCGCAAACTCTCGAGAGGTCTCGAGACTTTGTGAAAAAGGCGAAATATAGGAAAGCTAATGATATTTCTGCAACTGTTTGTGTTAATTATAATCTCGTGGAAGAATTATCTCCCTCGAAAAAGTAGAATCCCTCCAAAACCTTCTCAAAGCGCCTAAAATGATCTCGCGAGACGTCTCGAGACCAACCCACAATAGTCTCGAGATAATCGTGAGACTATTTTCACTGATCTTGTCTTGTCTCGTTTGGAAAGCTCGAGACCTGGTCTCGAGACCTCAAGTCTCGTGCCATCACTACTCTGAAACGATAAGAGCTGTTGCAGGCAGGTTCTCAGAATAACAAGACTCAAAAGCTCTAAAGTACCATTGAGAGTCAGCGTTTACCATGAATCCTCCCGAAGGTATAATTAATTACACCATCTCTTCACGCCTTAGGGGAAGCTTCTGTCTAATGGGCTAAGTATAGAGGGAATAATAATACCTGAAGATATTATCACAATAGTTTCGGAGGATATATCATCATTTTATCCTTAGTTTGAGCCTATCTTACCGTGGAGATAACTACCGCACCCGAAATGTGCAATTACGACCAGGGAGACCAAAAGGTACGTGGTAATCTCACTAGAGAATGATGTAAACAGTACATATAGTGCAATTGTGACAACATCTGAGCAGAGCTAGAATACAGGATTTAATTGCTCTTCCTAGTGGAAGAGCTCAATGTAGATACATGCGGGTTGAGAGAGCACTGGACACATAAGGGTGACCTTTGAATCAATGGTTCTGCTTGCTTAAGAAAAGAATAACATAAATTACTACTCTCCCCCAATCTCCTCCCTCCGGTCTCAAAACCTGTAGCCATTATGGTTTTCAGTAGCACCCTCGTATAAAGAGGGGAGGATACACCGAATAAAAAGTTGGTTTAACGGTGTGCCCCGTACTTAGCTGAATATCCAGGTAGGCCCCGTTAGCTAAGTGGAAATTGCAGGCTTGATTCAAGACGCGCTCACACCCTGCTAGGTGCAAAACCTGCTAGGTGCAAAACCTGCTAGGTGCAAAACCTTTTGTGGCACTAGCCTGGGCTCAATAAATAAAATATTCGACCCAGACTTTCTATCAATACATCCACACTCAACAAGATCTGAAATAAATCTCCCAAGTCTCACCTCTTTTCTTTTATCAACTCATTCCTCAACAGTAAGTTTATTCTAAGTCCTAGTAATAATATTCCTTCATTAAACTCTCTCTATAGTGTCTCCTACTCTGACCTATAGTACTCGCGTCCACAAGTACCCCACCTCTACTGAGCGTCTCACAGAACTAGCTGCTCGCAGAGTCAATCTCGAAGGCGCCCTTACTATGAGCCAGGCCGAGCTCATTGTTACAGGAAACACGAACACTGCTCCTAAGTCAAGGAACAAGGATAATACGAGTGATGGGTTGTGATGCGAGTACGGTCGGGTAACGAGGGAACCAGCATAGAAAGGTACCGAGGGGTGTGGGGGCACCGGGTGCAACCACACTAGTATTAGGCTGTTGTGAGGGCACGCTTACTATTGGGTGTCTCACTCGGAACGGAATAGAAGCGGGGCTTATGGCTGCAGGCCATTCTACTTAGGGAAGTAGCTCCAGGACAATAGCGTGATACAGCTCGGTTACTGGCAATTGCGGGGTTCATGGTTACGTGTCGAAATTAGAATGGAGGAACGGAACTATGCGGGGGCACTTTTCTACTGGGGTTATCTTCGGGTTGATTATCTTATTCTATTATCGTTATCTCATTAGTATTAGAAAGCGGGCCTTGGCATAGGTTCCAATATGTATAAATAGGGAGGGTTCCGCCTCGTCTTAGTGGCATCATCAGTCACTCAGCGAGCGGAATCCGGTTTACAATATTACAAGTTTAAAAGCTACAGAACTATCGCTTAGCATTGGCATTTCCCCAAACACTCATCGTCTCCAATAGCGACTATGAGAAATTGAATCTCGAACTTCAAGTCAAATACGACATGCTTCTCCGCCTCGGCTACGATTTCAACGCCGGCATTACCAATTCTTTCCCCGGAGAAGAGAGGATTGCCTCTGACGAGGAGATGGCGGGGATGGCTCGGGTCGTCAAAGACCTGGCGTTGTCGAGGAAGGGGCATTTGGAAACTTACTTTGTGACTACCCATCAGAATAAAGATATTCGCTGGGAGCTGATGTTGATGAGGCGGAGTTTGCGGAACATGCTCGAGCTGTCGAGAAAAAGGCTGCCAGAGCTATTCGCAAAGCTGAGAGGGAGAAAGGTATGCCATCTTCGTGCTCAAAGAGTTCACAGATCTCTTTACTTACTGCCTAGAAGAAAAAGCGGAGAACAAGGAGAAAGTCAAACCGTACGGATGGGAGAACTACCAGGACGATGAGATCTCTACGGATTCGGGGTTCTCCGGTTATTAGACGCATCGCCGAGCCATTACTACCCTTAGTAAACCCGGTTTCATTGGTTTGGAAAGAATAGTTCAACATTTGATTTTATTGCGAAGTTTCGATCTAACTTACTGTCTTCCTCTGTATTTGAAGCCTAGAATCGCCACGTCATCTAGTAGTTCAAAGGCTACTGAAACTCGCAAATAAATTCAGCGTCCCTTCATGTTTGCTCGTTTCTAAAAGATTTTGACGTGAAGTGATTGAACACCTGTGCTTGTGATATATGAACTAAGCCCTTGCTACTAGAATTTGTCAAGAAGACGAATCATATGCAGTTTTTGTCTGTCACCAACAATTCATTAATTGCGCCTGGCCACACAAACAAAACCAACAAGTACAAGTCGCATCAATGCAGGGAATCGTTTTCCGGTCCCAATTAAGGACCCGTAGCAGATCATGTATGTGGGCGGGTTGGGGGCCAATGGCCAGGGGGGGGGATAGTATATATATCGGAGTGAAGTTTGGAGTGTGGGAGAAAGTGACTCGAGTGTGGTTTGAACACGTGACCTTATGAAGGAATATGTTTTGTAGGTAAGAGATTATACTATTGCGCCGCTGAGGATCCAGCGACAACTGTGGGAGTTTGTTGCTCTTTATATACAGATAATTCTAATACCAAGTGATCCCATATTACATAATCCGTGGCACTAAGCCTAATCTGAAATCCTTGTTCCTACTATGAGTCATCACTTATACATGAGTAATTACTATACATAACCGATATCGCAATGCCCTATTTCTACACGGAGGTCATCCCCCGTTGTTTATGGCTTTCAAGTGTCGTGCTTTTGCTAAAGTTGCCCACCCAACCGCTCCTATCTTTTTCTTTTCTTTTTTCTTTATTTTTGTGCCTAAATACCATCTCGGAGGCCTGGAAGCAGCAGCTATCAGGCAGGGGTGACAGGTCTGGCAGCCGGCGAAGGGCGCACACTCGTCCCTCAATGGTTTTCTTTTATTGCTTTTGTACTATACACTGTTCTTCTTATTCTGTTTCTATTTATGCAATCGTCAGCACTCGAATACAATCTGCTATCAAGCTCGTGGTCCAGCAATTGGCAACCTACGAAATTTAAACTGTAACACTCCCGACACATAAAAAAGCCCTATCTTCTTGCTTGTAAGACACGTTTCGTGCTCCCATTGCCCTCCTAAGTCATGAACTGAAGACAAAACTGACATCTGTTGTATTTCTTACAATTCAACTATCAACTATTGATATGTCAAAGCTGTAGTACCAGGCAAGTTACTTTGACAGATTGAATCACATCTATTTCGTGAAGCACCTAAAGTAGATTCTCAAGACCAATATCCCACACAACCTAAGTTGATAGGTGGAAGAAAACGGAAAGATGTGTTGGTTACATGTTTTCAAGAAGCTCTCGAATCGTGTATTTCCACTCAAAAAAACCCCATGAGGCAACACTGAATTAATGTTATAAAAAATGTGATTATGTCATAGCCTCTTGCAGATATGTACAAGCTTGAACCTCTTACACCGCCAATGTCGATACATATCATTTGGGTCACTTTACCTTGAATGGACATTGAGGTGATGTGAACCTTTGCGTAAGCTAGAATCACGGGGTCTAGCATAAATATGGAACATATTAATTGGGCTTAAGACACGTATTGTCATTTTAGTACCTGTACTGTCGTAGCTTCGGAACCATATGACTCCATAAATGGTCTAGCGCGTATATTAAAATTACACGATTAGTAAGGTCAAACCCGAGTGATATTCTACGATTCCAAGCATGGTCCACCATGAGATTATTAGATATGTGGTATTATAAAATCTGGTATGCGCGGATGAGAGATAACTAGCTGAATAATAATGACCCTACCCTACATATAAGAACCTAAGCTGATAGTGCTAGGGAGATAGGGAAGTCTGGGACCTCTGGCAACAAAAAAAGCGCTTGAGGATGGAATGAGAAACACCATATAGTTTCAAAGGCAGGCTTGAAAGAACAAAGAAATATGAATTCACATGCTCATTCCACTGAGGAAGTGCTAATAAATCACTGAATACTTTAATTTTCATTAACTACAATCAGCATTAACACACTGGGAAACACATCTGGCGCTCGCATTATCTGGTGACACTACTAGCAATGTACATGAATCAATTGATGCATTACCCATTAAAGGGAATTGACTAATTGAATCAATTGATTCATTTACCGGGGACGCTGTTAGTAAATGATACAGGTGATTTATTTACTGCACCAAGTGATGCATTTACAGAGTTACATTTCGTGAACAGTTCACCGGTCATGATAATAATGCAGAGAATAGAGTGTGATCGGATGTTATCTGGCTGAAGTATATATGAGGCAGGAGACCAGACTGCAGAGAATTGTGTGAGCGAGGGAGTAGAGTCTAGGGGTACAGTGTTGGCAATGGTACAAACCAGTATTAAAACCTCCCCTATTGTACCAACTGTACCACAAGGACCTCAATACCATACCAACTATTTAACCACATTTTCTAACATGTTTAAACCGGTAATACCATTTATCCAGATGGTATATGGGTTAGGGTTCTTGGCGGGTGTTTTAGGGTCAAATGTTGCTCTGGAGGGGTCAAAGGTGGCGGAAAAGCAATATTCAGAACCATTTAGTTAGTTGGTTTGTGTCAGTTTAGGCAGCACCATGTCTCAGTTTAACCACCATCACCTGAAGCTCAAACCGTAGTAACTGTATCATTATTATTTTGTTTTGTACCGGTTTGTACCGCCAAACAGACGTCTCATTGCAAATGCTGTAGGAGTATACCAACATACACCTATGTCCCTTATTACCTTTTGAATACCTTATGCTGGTACTCTAAATACTGCAAGGGAATATTTTCGGATCACTGGATTTGCTGCCAAGTTGGTGCCCGAGGTAATCACATTCTGCTGGTAAATAGTGGGCCACTCTTGAACTGCCTGGAAATATTTACAGAGTACGGTATATAATTTGTTCATTGCTCGCCTAGGCATTTGCCGAATAATTTAGTTTTTTTCATTGATTGCCGGCGTTCGTGGGATGCCTACAACATTTACCTTTGACACAATGAAATATCTTTTTGAACGTATGTATCTAAAGATCGCCCTCTATACCAGTAACAGAGAAATCGATATCTGCGTAGGTGGAGGATCTGTCTCCATCAATCCCCACGCGGAGACCAGGAAAGACCGCTTGCGGGTACGTCCTGGTAGCGACGTTGACATAAATAGTCGTCAATAATAGACACTAGTGCCATATCGGGGTTTGGTGCAAAACGTACTTGCGCTGCCACAGTAACGACTGCCACCACGGTTCTCAATTCCATCTGAACCGGTGGTAACCCCACGTAGTACCTTTCCTTTCTCAATTCCTCCACAATATCATCTCACATCCACCACATCTGAAATAACCACCAACAAGAATCCATCACCAACGCTACACCTGCTATATCTCGCAGTATGATTCTACCTCCCAAAGCTAAGTAGCAATACTCATTGACACACTCTCTCTATCAGATCAAATGCCTAACATGAGCATAATGGTCGACTACGACCTCATGGACGAGAATACCGCCGACCCAATGTACCTCGAGTATATAACCCAGAGGAAGGCCTACCTTCACTACACTCGCCTCAACCATAAAGCGGAGCTCGCCGAGTGTCACGAAAATAATCGGAAGGTAGAGGATGCCATCCAGGCCCACATTGGGGATCTTGATAACCTAGAATATTACGGGGACACCAAAGCCACTGCATCATTTAAAATGATACTTTATAGGCTGGAGGAGTTGAAAGCAGTTAAGGTTGATTTTGATAGGATCACTGATGAGGTTGAGCGACTTATCAAATATCTGAAGACCGAGGTTGGGGAGCTCGAGGTCGAGGTCGAGTATAATGAGCAGTTGGTAGATGAGGCGGAGGCGCGTCAGATGGAGGAGTATGATGGTGAGAACGTCCTGTTAATGACATTTGATAAGTTGGCTAAAATCTTGTAGCGGAGATCAATGAGAAGTACATTATCACCAACGCTCCCTTCCACCCAATCCAATCGGAGGAGATAAACCAGCACGAGAATGCTCAGATCATCAAGAAAGAAGGTAACGTTTACTAATGTACGCCTTTGAGGAATTGAGCTGACTCCTTGTGAAAGAGGAGGATTATCACTACAAGAACGGCATCAAAGTGGAGGACGTCGACTAGGGAATAGGTGGAAGAAGCGCAGGCTGAGGAAAATTTAGTTCCTCTGCTTCACATACCTTCCTCCTAATTACGTTTGCAAGAATATTGAAGATGAAAAATGATGAATATTGTTTTTATAGTTTGTCGTTCATTCAGTCGGAGAGTGTTTTTATAAATCCTTCTGCTCGATAGCAACCTGCGTGATATATAGTAGTCACAACAAATTATCAAATTGAATATTTAAGAAAATACAGGTTCTTTTCTCTCTACGTATAATAACGAAGGCTTTGCAAATAGGATTATACCATATTATCCTATCGCCTTTGATCGATCCTACTAACCCATCACTGATTGTTCTTTCTTTTTGTATTTGCGCGTTCGAGCTTTCAATCCTTTGCAAAGAAAAATTTGAGAACCCATTCTTGTGTAAGGGATAGATAATTCCCAAAGATCTGTAGGAACGTTACAGTCCATTTAATCCCCAGTGACCATGTGTATCCGTTCTCACTCTATAGGATGGTGGTTGAGAGATAGTTCACACAGATATCCGTAGAATTAATTTTGAAATTTCCACAGCATTTCTCCCTCGAGATTAAATGCACAACAAATGTGACAATCGAAGAAAGAGTTTTTCCGCCAGTGATAAAAATGCCCCAAATATGCCACTCAAACAAGGCTACGACAAACCCCTCTTAGGATTTTCGGATACAAAATCCGGCTGCGTGCACAATTGTGGTGGTGTTCGCGTATGTACGTATACCAAGCCTGAGAGAGAAGCCGGTCCTACACCTCACCATCCTGCGTCGACAACAGCTTGCCCACTTCACACAAACACAAACACCCACCAAAGCATCGACAAAAAGCCGATTGGCAAACGAAAACATTATGGCCACCAATCCAGCCCATTCGCTCGAAGCCGATCTCGCTGTAATTACCAACTGGCTCCAAGCAGACTCCGCAACCGTCATGCAGGGAGTGGAATCTACCCTTACCCCCGAAACAGTCACCGCGGCTGTCGCCAATGTCGACGCTTTTGCCGAAACCGCTGCTGTCGACCCTACTACAGCTGCTGTTGGCAGCGCTGCTTCCGTCAAGGAGGGGCCTCTCCCACCTGCTGTTCCGCGCTCTATTGGTGACATCGACTACACTACGACCGGAGGACCTAGCGGTGTTTCGCACGATGAGAGTGACGCCAGCGACGAGAGCTACGAGAGCGAGGACTGCAATTGTGTCGAGTGCACCGAGCCTTCTAAAAAGCGTGTCCGCAGGTCCACCCACGACTCTCCCACTCCAGAAAGTAAGCTAATCCTTCACTTCATGAACCTTAATTGGTCTTATCTCAATTGACCTAACTGGATCCAACAACAGCTGAAGCCCGGATACGAAGCTTTGACTTCATGGGCGAGATCTACAGTGTACCCTACAACGACGTCACTGAAGCCGGCTCCCACTTCCTGCGGAACATGGTGCTCGCGAGCAGGAACGCGGTTTCGCGTGATGGGAAGGATAGCACCCGCTATGATTTCGCACTTGGGTTTGGAGGCCGGATTGAGTTGTAGGTAGCTGTTTGCAATTTCACGGGGGAAAGCGAATATCGGTGGGGGTGGGGGGAGTAGACATCACGGTAAACCTAGCCCAGTCCCTTCCATTTGTAAGCTACAAAGATGTCCGGAGAGAATTGAAATGAGTCTACTGTGATATCTGGATACTGCCTGTGCGGTGTTGTCCTCGGACGTAAACACGTGCCTGGTCTTGTAGTCCCTGTGCAGAAGAGGGAGAAAAAATGAGGCTTAGCTAGGTTTCCCGGTGATACTTAAGTTAGCTGTAGCAATCTCAATGTACCCAGGGTGTCCGAAAATAATGCACATTCTGTGATATCTTGAGGGTGAAATTAATAATGTTCACATACATCAGGTGATACGGAGGTTCTCATTCTTTGAACGATAAGAAAATAAAATAAAATGAGAGTCATCAATTCCCTTCCGCGATCCAGGTTCTTTACCAAGTTATTCCCCTGCCTCACAGTCCCCGCCCGGAACCGGATTTCATATCGAAACACTGCCTAATGGTTTCCTAACCTTAGCAGAATTTACCTCCGAGCCCGTACCCCAATTCGAAATCTACGAAGTGTATTGTGTGTGTAAATATAGACAGACATCTAGGGGTTTATATTTGGACGTAGTTACGCCAAAGGTTGCAGCTTTCTAAATTTCTTCATGGCATTGGAATGTTCTCATCTTATGGTTTCTGTTCGGAAACAAGCATTGCATCGCTCGTCTCTCTTTCCAGCCGGAAGGTGGTGCTTCTGAACAATTGGGTAGATTCGATGATTAAATGATATTAGGGGTGGAGCTATGGAGGATTTATATATAATTATACAGGTTTATGTAGTTTTCTACAAACGGCCAATGCTTTGTAGTTGTTTTGAGTTCGAGCATGTAACAAAATTATAAAATAACTTATTAGCATGCTTCATTTTCACATTTTTTCCGGACTTATGTAATTAACGTCATTGCTTGTATAAGGAGTGAGTGGGCAATAGCTAGGTATAGCCAGGGTTCTCAATGATACAGATCGGCGTAATTTTCGTGCCATATTGCACCAACTGCGATGTGCTCAGATCATTATCGAACTGCATGATATTTTGCGAACGTCTTATTGTACTAACTGTGATATATCGTAGTGGAAGCGAGTGATGCGCCAAGACTCTATCATGATATTATCGATACAGATATGTAGGATACCATATCATACTCACTATTACCTAAACATATCGTACTTTACCCACTGTACCACCAGAGAAATTTATCGATACATATCCCCTTATCGGATTATCATTGAGAACCTTGGGTATAGCGGAGTAAATGAATTGTCATTGGTCTTCCTTGGTGTCTTTTATATCATCAGGAATATTAGACTTTGATCTGCTTAAATGGAATATCTTTGGTATATCACAGCCTATGATTCTCCGCATGCAGCGGTTGATTCTTTTTCCTTTTTTTTTTTTTAATTTTGTACAATAGTAAGGCATCTCCTGCTATCGAAAGGCGAATTACCTTCTGCGATCATATACAATATACTCCCAGTGAAACAAATTTAGTAAATGACTCTTGAAGAAAATATATTACTCTTACGAGCTTTCATTATAAACCCCTCTTTCAGGTGTACATGTACCGAGTGGAGGGCCACCCAGTTTTGCGCCGTGCACGTTAATTAAGAATTTGGGTGGTTTCAGTACGGGTAGCACTTACAATTACCTAGTTAACACACCTTATAAGCCGACTCTCTTCCTACCTCCTCCACTCACTCTTCTTCGAACATCTCATCACAACTCAAAACCCTACCAAAAAGAAACACCTCAATAGCAACTAGGTTAGCTCCAAGTTAGCCTACTCCTCTGAGATTAATAGGCTAATATACTCTACAGTCATGCCTAGGATTTATTCTCCAAATCCTCAGTGGTCCGAATACCTGGCGACATGCTAGCCTCACGCCGCCGCAGAATGGATCTGTTTACTCAGGAACTCGGGTCAAACCACCGGCGGCGTGAGTGCAAAGCTACACATCTTACCTTTAACCGTACTAAGCTCTACCAAGCCGGTTACAATCCAGAACCACCAGCTGCCGATGTTGCTACTAATGAGCCATTCGGAATCAAGCTAAGACGTATAGAAATCGAAGAGTTGAGGCAGGAGGTGAAATTTCTAGATGATTGGCATGAATACCTCGCAAGGCAGATGAAAGAAATGAGGGTGGAAGAGCTGTCAATGCTAGAAGACATCAAGGAGGATAACGATGTTCTCGAGACGGATAGAGTCTGGGTGCAGTTGGGTACTGATAAGATCTTGGTTCGTTCTGTATGTGTTCCTCTACAGTGATAGGTTTGGCTAACCTATTATAGAGAGAGAGAGGTTGCTTCCAGAGACTCAGGACTCGAAGTATCTCGAACATTGATATCTTCGGCACTGTCGACACCACCAATCCTGGTTCGTCCACTGGCCATCCCGCGACTACCGTTTTATCTACTGAAAACTCGATGAATGATAGCTCATCCGCTGTTGCTTCCACCATTGATGGTTCACCTACGGATATTAGTATTTAATCCTCAACGAGGAGCAAGTTTTCAAAGAGATTCAGGTGAAGAATAGGATTGGAATACTAGGGAAAAATTGGGTTATAGCGTTCATTGGTTTTGTCTTTCACTACCCTTCAGCGTATGGTCTTTCCTCTTGTAGAACCTGTATTTCTGAAAAATGGACTAGTCACGTTTCTCTGAGAAGAAAATTAAAACTCTTTTTTCCTATTTCTCTGTCTTCTCTCTAGTTACCTCAACACAAGTGACATTCATAACGTGAAATATGAGAAACGAGCTTCGCTACAGCTCGCAGATACCTCTCATAGTTTTTAGAAATATAGCAATGCCCCCATGAATATACTGGATATGAATCCCGGCTGTTTATGAACGATTCCAATTACGCCTATGACATATTTACCAGAGTAGCTTAGGATGAGTTTGTTGAACTGTCGGTCATTAGCTCAGTCACTAGTGAGCGGGGGGCTTCAGTGTAAAGGGGGCTCACATGAGCGTACTACAGTTTTGTCTTTGACATCATCTCCTTCCTGTCCATCATCCCTTCTGTACCTTAGCTGAAATACAACGTACTGTCGTCCTACCTTTCATCAGAGTTTAGTTCTGACAAAAAAGCTCGCGGGAGATAAATTCAAAAAGGATGTAAAGTAATTGTGCGCGCGAAGGCCTCTATCCTCCGAAGGGGTTAAATACGGTAGTCAGAAGAACATTAATTCTTACCAGGGCACGGCGCTCCATGGATAGATCCAGTCAAAACCCTTACAGACCGAGTGATCAATCGTGATGCAGAGTATTAAATTCGCAAGAGGGCAGTCCGTCAGGGCCGGAGGTCAAGACCAGACCGACTACGGGCTGTAGTCGGTCTTGTGCAGGTATCCGGGATTCACTACCAACTATGGGGCTAGGACTACCGACTATAGTCTGGATTATAGGATTGCAGCTTGGCATAGACAATGCTGGCGCTGCCACGTAGATATCTACTGTCCTGCATAGACATCTGCGGTTCTAGCACTTATCTGCGGTCCGCAAGGCTGAACTGTTTTCCAACCTACAAGCTGCGTATATGAGCCCAATATACTAATCCCCCCACATGTATATGTTCTGACCCATACATCCGTCATGCCCCATCTTCTGATATCGCCATATAGGCCGACCCAATTGACTGCTATCATCGGATGGCGTTACATGTTCATCAATGGGTAGCATCGGCTGAATTGGATACCCAACCATGGCACAGCGAGTGGTTGGGCTACCCAAATATTGAACAGTAAACGGATGGGTGCCCTCTCACCCCGAAATCACCTCATCACGAAGTGCATACGCACACAGTGGATTGTCAAAAATAGTGAGATACAACAGGCACTTATGATTTCTCAACCACGACGGACCACTAGGTGGCCACAAAAAAACTAACTCATAATAAGAAATACTAGAGACTCGTCATTTTTTGGTGGCTAGATTCGGTGATCGTTGCGGTGTCCATTCGCCCATTGCACCCCATTATTTTTGACAATCCACATTCATAGCAAGGTAAATAGAAATATCGTGTAAGAACCTTTAATGGCAGGGTATTAAACTTTCGAGCTTTAATTAAGGACTGAATAAACTGATTTAGTTCGCGTGCGAGTAAATTGCCGAAAAATTGGGTATACATATATATGAGGTTACCGAACCTTCAGTGTACTTCTATATGGTTTGCGATATGAGCATGTGTTTTATGTGATATCTCTGAGTAGGCTACCCATCTGTAAGCCACTACCCGTCTGTGAACAGGGCGTGCCATATGACGATATCATGCTGGCGGGTAGCGTCCTCAATTGGGTCAGAACATATACTTCTATATTGTCGCCAAGGCCGAGTGATCGTTCATGATCCATTACGTATCTAGTCTGGCGCCTTATCTATAGTCCTGTCAAAATCAGGGACTAGACAGACTACGACCATATACTCCGCCCAGTCCAGAGGTACTGCCCAGGGATCTATAGATATCTATAATCCGGACCTGACCGTTGCGAAGACTGGCCCGTCCCCGGTATTCGGGTCCAATCGAGTGATAAACTGTGATAGGAACTATAGAGAGAGATTCATTGAACCTGCGTTTTTTAAACGCAGGCATTATGTGTTCGATATCAAATTTAGGCCTCGCATATCTAGTGAAGTGCAAAACCTATTTAGGCTGTCCAATGTTTAGAACCTATCTTCGTCACGCACTCACACCAATAAAAGCTCAACGACCTTCGAAACTCCCCCCTCTCACATTATATTACACCAACTTTCTCGCTTTACCAAAGCTCAAAAACAACAACAGAAAATGTCTGAACAAGTGAATCCCCAAGAGGAAAATAAGTATACTTACCATTATATTTTCTATTTATCTGCTATACTGTCTCAGTCCTAACAGCGCTCCGCAGAATGCCTCCCACTCCCAATCTCGCCTTCGCTTATCTCCTCCGAGACCGTCTCTACTGGGTTCGTCAGGAAATCGCCCGGAACGAGAACGACCTCAGTGAGGCTTTCGAGAGGAGACAAGCGACAGCCACCAAGCTCGCCTTCCTTCGTTCTGTGCTCCGTAGCATGGGATACAACCCGATGACCCGCAGCACTGGGCCCAACGTTGGGGTACCAGTCCTCATCCCGTGGATTCTCACCCAGATGAGAAGGGAGAGGAATAACCTGGCCATCAATGATGACCGTCGTAGATCCTTCCGCAGGATTATTGTCGCTGGCAGGGTCGAAGAGCTGGAGTGGTTGAAGCAGATCAGCGCTTATGATGCTCGCATCGAGGCATATACGGTCGCGTTGCTGCTGGCTGGTATGGAGTTTCCTCCTCCTACTTCTTCTTGTTCTTCTGCTTCTCCTTCTCTTTCTTGTTATTCCTTCTTGTCTTTGTCGTCATTACTAATATAATATCTTGCTTCTAGAGGAGAAAAAAATGGAAGCGGAGAGTGTCTCGCTCCGTTCCGTCAACGACGAGGACAATTCCGGTACCGTACTCCCTTCGGACTCCCAAGCTTAGGAACATCATCACGAAGGAATACGACAAGGAATAGACTCAGGCGTGGCTTAGTCATGGTGTTGGAAATGGGAATTACATTTTGTCATCATGTTTACTAGAGTGCTTTTGCCATTTGCTCTAATTGTCGTAGTCAGAAATCAAATTACTTTAAGGATACACATTTCATTCCTTGTTCTGTTTGTTCTCCATATCCCCTAATCTATGAGTATTTCCAAAGTACGGTAGAGGACCTTCTCTCGACCAACTCCTCCATACAAGTGGCCTGTGATTTTTTATACGCAGCGGTTCTATCCTTCACGCTTTATGTACTAGTACCTTTCCGTTTGTTGTCTCAATTTCCATTTAGTTAGTATCGTATCATACCATTTTTCGCATCACTCCTCGTTAATTATGATCCCAATACACAGTATGTTCTATATCATGTTTTAACTCCTATTTTATCCATATTATATAAATAAATAGCTGGGCTAGAACCCCAGTCCTTGCGCCGCATGAGTCCGTGATCGATAGTGGCTACTCACACTTGCCAGACAGAGATCTGTGCCCAGGCCCTACTAGCGGGTCCATTTTTCATCGTTCCGGAGCCAGATGATCAGGTTCAAAATATCCCACCACCTATGAAAGCCTGACCCCGCAAGGGGTGATAAGCTATTTGGGTGTGCCCGGGTAAGTTCTCTGTGGGTTGGTGAGCCCAGAATTGTGAGTGTGTTGGGTTAGATGCGAGCAAATATTTACCTAGCCAGGTAGCCCATGAGTTGAGTGATAGACTATGATCAGAGATAAATAGGAAATGTTACAAGGATTTGGGACAAAGAGGGATCAGAACCCTAACCGAATATCGTATATATGAAGGCGGGTCATATTACAATACAGAGCTCTGATATGTTCGGTGCGGTTGGCGTGCAGGGGTATGCTAGAACATGTTGTCTATCATGACTCATCAGCACTGACCCGTACTTTCTTTCACGGTTAATTACATATATATACTCGTAGTGTTTTGGCGTTTCCGGACGCAACTGCTAATGCATGCCATACAAAAGATAGCCTTGGCGAGTCTTTTCTGTGTATGTAATAGCAGTTGCGTCCGGAAACGCCAAAAAACTACGAGTATATATACAGCCACTCAGCAGAAGTGTTCGTGATTTAGTTTTATGTCAGTGCGGAGTGTGGTGCACCCGTAATGTTGATGTTATTAATGTTGAGATTCAAAACAACGAAAAAATATAATGTAGTTCATAACTATATATAAGAGAAGATATATCATTAATCTTATTCTTCATTGATTCCGGGCGCTATTGATCACTTGGAAATTCTTCTCTTAGAGTCTTTTTGATGGTCCGCCACGGTTACCTACGGAGAAATGTCTTACTCCGAAATCGGAATTACGAATAACTTTGCAGAGTGGCTGTATATAGTCCGGTATTTCTTTATGAAGAGCAGAAACTTCTTATTCTTTTTTATATCTCTTTGATTTTCCTTAATGGCTTTCTTTACTTGATTCTATTCTTACATTTCTAGATTCGCTTTAGAGATAATATCCTAGTGAAGCCAGCGATTACGCATATCATTATGTGACGTTTGCCTAATATCCCACTGGCCTATCCTGTCTTCCATCCTTATCCTTCACGACCCATTACCTATGATCAATCACACCACCATTGAGAAAGATTAAGTAAAATCCCCGTGATCCGTCCCCCTACCTATATGTACGAGTAACGCGTTAGGTGTCGAGTAAATGTCGCCCAGAATAAAGAAATTGCAAGCTACCCCCGGCATGGCGTTCCAACACAACTCCACCCCCACACACTCCTCACAAACTTCCGAAGGATGCTTAGAATACCCCAATCCGTCGCCAACCGACATTTCCCCGCATGTTCCCCTGGTGAGATGCAAACCAAGATTGTGTTCTCAATGACGGACGAGTAACTGCATCACCTCCGGTCTTTCCACTCCACGTTTGTTAATCTCACAAAGAATATATTAATTGAAGAAACCAGTTCGTGTTATAATCAAAGGCGGTTTATTTCTGTCTCTTAAATACACGAATTAGGCCTTGAGTCCCTAAATAACCGGCAAATAACACGATGTTTTGAAATTCTGCTGAGCGGGGAAGAACAAGCTATCTCTCAGGATCGCACCGTTCTTTCAAATCCTAGAACGGTCCTAGGTCTCAATATAAAAATAAAAAGTCGATGCAATATTTAGCAACGCCGCCCGCCGGCAATGCCGTGGGCTCAACCCTCATGGGGCAGTGGGGACCCAGGGGCGTTCGGTTTGGGGGACTGGGGTTGGAATAACAAATAACATTATTATCGAGATAAAATTAGTGATATTCAATTTTCTTTGAGATATTTGCTCTATTCCAGTCACTTCATTGACGTTGAAATTCAAGTACAGCTAGCCAAATCGGGCTAGGGTGAAGTATTCAGACGGAGACTGCTGGCTCGGGATATTGCATTCCCTCACCACACAGTCTTCCGTGTCGACAAATTCTAGCCTTGATTGATATATTCATATATAGTATCCTAAGCACAAAGTAACATATATGAGCAATAGCGGACGTTCTTGTAAGCACTGCCATCAGAATATCTGACCTCTACGCCGAATTATTGTTCGACGTGACAAGACATCTACTTTATCTTCACTGCGCGTCCTCGTGTCATTCGCTGATATTATTTTGTCAACCATTAATAAACTACTAAATCCCCATAGCTCTGATTCGAGATGTCCATACCTGGTGTTGACATTCCGCTATGTCTATCATTGGCTGGCAGTCGGTCTATTCCCAATTAGGAGGAACAATTAATTGATCGCTTATCGTTTGAATGATAGTGAATGATAGTCTGTGTAACCTTCCTGGTTGAGCGAAATAGCCAGTTGTTATCAGTTGCTTAGGCTGTTATCAATTGGTTGACCTAATCAATTGATTCACAAGTTAATCAGTGATTCGCTTATCAATTGGATTGCGCTTATCAATTGAACAAGCTAATCTCTTTTCAAATAATAGCTTATCAATAGCGCTATCAATCTCTCCCAATCCCAACCCGAAGGAGGCCAGCCTCGAGTATCTACTGACGGACAAGACGGTAGCGTATTATTAGTCTGAGCTGGACGTGGGTCTCAGCCCTGTGCTTTGTGTCCTTTAAAAATGATTTCGAAATATGGAATGACGGTGATAAGCTCCTCCTGAGCGACAAGCGCAGAGCGAGTTGCAGCAGTTGTGGTACCCCTACCCCGGAGGCTAATGTATAAACAATATAGTTGGGGCCCTGTTGGAAAGCGTATTAGGAAGTCGTAGGAGGGCGCAAAATGGTGGCTCATTCGGGGAAATTTGTCGATCGGGAGTGTTGACAGATGAATTAACAATGCCTGATGAGTGTGGCCATTGATTGATATTGTGGGATCTCGCTCCACCGGAGTGGGTGTAGGAAGGAACAGAGCAGGGACTACGGAGAATAGGCAGCTAATTGCTACAGCTGTACTTCATGTGAGGATCCCTTGTTCAACAGCTACCGGAAAAATATGGTATTACCTGCCTCAACGCGCCTGATGAAGGAAGAAATTGACGGACCATTTCTTCCGGCAAAAGGACGCTTGCATGTGAGGTAGACTTGAAGAAGGCTTTGGCGGAGACCCGTGTATCGTGTAACTCTCGACGGTCATATATCAGCAGGTATGGACAAGAGGGCGTCGGCGTTGCAAAGGAGGATGAGTGTGGCCGGATCTCAGTGCGTGAGGTGAACTGATTTTGTTGAGGATGTCAGGAACGAGAGGTCTACCAAGACCGAGCCATGTGTTGTGTTTCTAGGCGCCGACGGTTCCACTTCGGACAGAGAGGGGAAGGCCCTGGAACAAAATCGAAAACACGCAGCTCTAGCTACGCTCTACGCGATGTAGCAATCAGTCCTCCGTAAGGGGAATAATAGGAACGAAGCAAGAGAACCTGAGTAAACTCAGCACAAATCGAACAATCGAGTCGAGTTGTGCACCGTATTCCGAATAAAGATATCATCCTACCGCTATTCCGGAGGTGAACGCCCCCTGGCTCAGGAGCAGAGGTAACGGTGTCGGTGGTATCTCGTAGTAAGGTTGACCATCTTCTGGCTATCTGTAAGCGTTGTGAAGCGGGGGCAACCGATGTTGTAAGAGGGGTGGGGATGCAACTAGCTATAGCTGCATTTCTCTCCGTGAGGATTACCTGTGTTCTACCTGTGTTGACAGAGCTTACGTTTCCTGCCGGACGAGCTCTCGAGCACCTCCATCTTGACGCAGCGGCTCAGCCCTAACACTTGGCATCTCTCTCTGCGGCTCAGCGAGGAGGAAGCTGGGACTCTCAGTGTGTGTGGGTGGCCCTGGTACGTACGTCATGTTACCCGTCGAACCAGCTGGAGCCCACTAGTAGCTCTCCGCCTGCAATTTGAGAGATGGCACACGCGCTAGTAGACCCATGGGCCATACCCCTCTGGGCTATATAAGCGGTCCTGCCTGTTGCTTCACCCCACTATCTTCTTGATCTGTTCTGTTACTCATCATCCATCGCTCGTCCCCAAAGCCACAACTTACTCCAAAACAACCATCTCATCGACAGGTACATTTATTACCAGCTCCCTTCCCCTCCCGTAAACATAACAGATAGAATCGACAACCAACCCCTCCATCAGCAATGGCAACGTCAGACGATGAAACCGACCTGCTCACCCTCCTCGACGAGGAGCTCACCACCCTCCGCGGCGAGCTCCTCCGCTTGCAAGAATCCCTCACTGTCAGCTTCGGGGACCGCTTGAACTGCGTCCACCAGATCGCGATGCACCGCAAGCGCTTGAGAGACGCCAATTACAATCCCATCACCGGGACCACTCCTCTTGGCGCAGCCGAGACCGTCCCGGTTCAGGACCTCATCTCGCGTCTCAACCAGACTACTATATATCTCAGGGCCCTCGACGTGGACCGTGCGGAGATGGGAGCCGACTGGCAGAGGATATCGTTTGAACTGGGGTATGTCTTGAAGGATATCAAGGAGGAGGAGGAGAGGATTGAGAGGGTCAGCAGGATGACGGAGGAGGAGCTGGCGGAAGAGGCGAGGAAGGCCAAGGAGGAAGCTGATGGTGAGTACTGCCTGAGTTTGATAATAGCTTGTCGAAAGGTGGCTAACGGTTAGTAGAGCACGAGGAGATCATGCGTAAGGTTGCGGAGTCAAACGCGCAGTGTGTTGATCCGGGTGAATTCGATTTGTGGGATCTTTGGTCTACCGACGATGAGGAGGAGGGGGTTGAGGAGGAGGACAAGTCCTCCACCGAGACCGCTATCAAAACCCCAAACGAAACCACCACAGAATCCTCTACCGGCACCTCCGCTCAAACTGTTTAAAGTCGAATACAACCTCCCGATCACATCAAAACCGAGTTGTCAATAAATGGAGGAAGGATGGAATGTCGGGGAATGAGGTTGCCTTTCAGATTCGTGTTTTAGATTAGGGTTTTACTGTAGACTTTCAGTCAATGATAGTCAAATAACGTTTACAAGATTGAAAAATAAAATCTTTTGTTCCATGATTTACCGTTCTTCTCTCCGTGATGTTTTTTCTTGTGACCCATCTTGTGACCGACAGCACCAAACCTTGAGTTACTTGTAGTAGCTCCAAGCTGCGCATAAAATAATATCTTTTCTTAACATGGTATGCCGTCCTTTTCTCCGTGTTTTCCAGACTTGTCGAACATGTTGTACGTGAACTTGAAGAGTACACCTTCAATTACAATTACCAGTGAAAAAGAAAAAGCTTAAAAATGAATTCATCCGTCCGTGCTAGATACCGTCCGTTCTTCTCTCCATGACTTTCATCCTTTGGAACCTCTCTTAACCGTGGGTAGTAGACTCTCAGTTATTGACCGTGAAATAAAAACGGTGAAAAATGAAGTCTTTTACAATGTTCTTTTCCCATGAGCTTTCTGCTTTTCGGGCGTGTTAATTGTAACCGCGGGGCGAAGAACGTTTGTAGGGGCGAGGTCCATCACTAAAACCCCTTACTATTCTTCTCTTCATGATGATTTGCATTCTTAGTTCTTAGACGTCGGATGACCGTGGCCCGTGGGCGACAGATCTTAGGTCACTGATACAGAAATGACGCTCGTGACGATATCTTTTTCGTTCACAATATGACCCGATCTACTAGGGGTTTTATTTCATCAGGGAAACGTGAACCTGCCGCATCTAAGATTCTTTGAGGTAAAGCCGTTCCAATAATGTGTATTTAAATGTGTACCCTTACATAAAGATCATATGGGAAATAGACATCGCAAATCCATCATTTAATGCATTGTTGAATGAATCCCCGAATCCATCGTAGAATGAATCACTAAACGCACCAAAGATCCCACCACTTTAGTATCAACAAAAAAATAAAAAATAGCGGCAGCTGTAATTTTAATAATTTGCATCTGTCGGGGTCATTTGGAAAAGTCGGTGATTTTTAACTTCAGTTCTGGGGGGGTGCAGTAGGCTGTTCCTATGGCCAGCGGTAGCCAACCTTCCCTATACAGCACATAAAAATAAAAATACATCATGAATTGCATCAGGAAAGGCATCCGAAAATCATGTAAAAATATAGAAAAGACCCAACAATAAATACCTATATCACTAATCAAAGTAAATGCATCAACTAATTCATTTACCAAAAGCCTCCACAGTAAATGCATCCATGGATCCATTTCCCTCACTATAGGATTTCAGAAATGAATCATAACATGCATTAACCCCGTAGTAGAGGACTGACCTTTTCCACCGCGCCGGCTGACCTTTGCTCGACCATTTGCACCCAGCCCGACCCCTCCCCCCCAAAACCTAACCCACTAGAAAGCCCCAAGAGACAGACTCTTAAATGGCGTGTTATTCCAAATTTTAGCAAAACGCACCTCGGTTAAGTATATCTAACCGCCTTTTTCACCCAACTCACTTCGATCTTCTCCTCACCAAAAACACATACCTCAAGGAATCCTCACCAAAAAAACAAAAACATAAAAGAATCAAAATGGCAACCCACCTCACTATCCCCCATGCTCTCAAGTCTCTCACAGAACTTCATCAAGAGCTCGATGGCCTCCGCATCGAGATCGAGATGCGGCACATCCACCTCGGCAGCACTCTCAGGCAGCGCTACATCACCGACCACAAGTTCACCCTCCTTTGTACCCGCATGTTCCACGCCGGTTACGACAAGGAAACTGGTCTTACCCGCCTCGGTGACCAGGAGACTCAGCCGATCATTTCCATTCTCAGCCGCATTGATCGCTACGCCAAGCAAATTAAGTTAATCGATCGTCTTAGGAGGTTTACTGGTCAGATTTACGAAAGCCTAAAGAGTATGGAGAGGGAGTTGCTGGAGGCGATTAAGACTGCGGCGAATATCATTGAAGCGCAAGAACTGGCCGCGTATGAGACTGGTGGGATCTTCTCTCATTAATGTCATTATCTGAATAGTTTCCAGTTGCTGACTACTTACGTTTAGAAGTTGAAACAGAGCGTGAAGAAGCTCAGGTTCAGGATACGGAGGAGGAGTGGAGCTTGATGGATTGAGTTACTCGCGGGCGTGATTAGGCTGGAATTATGGAGTCTCAATAGTCGATCGAAATCATAAAATCCACTTCCTCGTGTCATCGGACGAGGTTGTAGATCGATCCTACTGGGTAGCAAATGGGAAGTTTAGACAGCTTTTGTACTGGTTGCAAGAAAAACAGTCTCTCCTTTTAGTTCGTCACATAGTTATGACAATGAAATTCGGAATTTTTTACATGAGCTTTAAGTTTACTTTCTTCGTAGTTCTAGTTTAATGGACGGAACTGTTGTGGTTGTGACCAGTGAAACAGCCTTTCCTCTATTTTCATTCCTCCTCACTAGCTTTTCCTCCTCCGCGTACGTCTATCAAAGCAATAAAAACCCACATCTCATTCCGTAGTTTCAATTTTTCCACTTTTTTTTTTTCTGTGGTGTACAATGAATAACGACTACCCCACCCTGCTTCCACGCAAAGGAGATCAGACATAATTCATGCATGTAGGGCTCGGTGGTGCCGCCAGAAAAGATTTGCATGCAGCATGCCCCAGTCGGAAGGTTTCCGAGACACCTGTCAAAGACTGAAAGGGCATGGTGTCCAGAGAGAAGAGAGATTACCTTTCATCTTTTCGAACTCGGCTACACCAGAGGGAGACCAACTTTGAGGCTTCTACTTCCTGCACTGCGGACCGCAGACAAAGGTGCTATCCCATGGACCGGAACTTGGGGATTCCGAGGGCTTGAAAGCCCTCGCCCAAGACACCTCGCCTTATTGCCACTCAACCATGACTGCCAATGAACTCAGAATTTGATAGGTCATTGTTATATATGTGAATAAAATGTTTCCGGGCGTAGCTAGAATTTGAGAGGAGAAAATCGTATAAATTATGAGCTGTTCTCCCTGCCCCATTTCTCACAGTAGAGCACTACCTCAACAATTATTATATATTCCTCAACCACCATGACAGGGCGAGCCCTCCGCCCATGCGCTGTCAATACTTCATACTGTGAAGCTCAACCTGCGAGCCCTTCACCTCCTAGGACAGCTAGGAAGCACATTTCTAAGGCCACCAAAAACCGGATCTTGAAATCTCACTCACCTATCAAAAAGACCCATTCCAAGGTGAAAATCCCATCAAATCTCCAGTCCAGCCTACCCAGAGACCCATACTTCGCACCCTTTATACATACTCGCCCACTACACAAGGCACAGAACCGGTTGCCACCTTCTATTACAGATCTTGATGTCATTATACCACATCATATCTTTGACCTCTTCTTCTCTGACGACATCTTGCAGCGGATGACCTATAACACCAACCTTTATGCAGCAGAAAAAAGGAAAAAAAACCCGGGGCAGGAGGCCTCTATGCTAGCTGGGCACACATGGTTTCCAAGAACGATTGGAGAATTAAGATGCTGGTTTGGTATCATAATTTACATGGGTGTAACACAAGAATCATCAGTTTCTGACTATTGACGCAGAGAACATAATCGCCTATGGCCACGTCATGATTTCTGAGACTACATGAGTCAGATACGGTTTGAGAAGATCAAGCGATACTTTCATATTTCGGAGATTGACGCACCTAAAGTTGGAGAGGGTGGGAAAAGATTATGGCACGACAAAGTAGGCCCCCTACTGGAGAAACTGCATCAGTACTCTCAAGCATACCGGATCCTCAATCCAACGTAACAATTGATGAAGCAATGATGCGATTTCTTGGTCGCTCTATTGATACCTGCAAGATACCAGGAAAGCCTATTGAGATTGGCTACAAGTTTCATTGTTTAACTGACCACGGTTATGTGTGGGACTTCTGACCACATTCCGGGACGAAGTATGGTTAGATCCTTTATCACCTGAAGCGGTACAACCAGAAATCGATGGTCTTACCCCTACCAGTGCTATGTGTCTGTACCTCGCTAAGCAACTACTTTACACATCAATGTCATTTAATATATACACTGATAATTATTACACTACCCTCGATCTATTATCAAACCTATGTCAAATTGGAATAGGAGGCTGTGGTACTACAACGCGAGACCGTACAGGATATCCAGCTGAACTTAAAGTCCCGCCAAATTCAGAGAGGAAGGTAGAGTATCATTTTACAACTGGTGCAGTAAACCGTGGTGTTGCTACCTTACTCTGATTTGATAATACACCTGTTTCACTCATGACAACTATTCACACACTACGAGGCAGGCAGGCTAAAGTCAAGGCTGATAGGCGGAAACCGAGCAAATCTAATCCAATAGCAGTCCGAGATGTATTTAAAGAGGCGGCTAGGCTACTGCTTGATATTCCGGCATGTGTGAGTGACTACAATCACAATAAGGTGGGGGTTGATGTTGCAGATCAGTACCAGTGCTACTATTCAACCCAACTCATCACAAGAAGGAATTGGTTTCCTATCTTATTCTGGATCCTTGATACAGCTCTGATAAACGCCTTCATTATCTATCGGGATCTAAGGGTATACAAGGGGTTTCAACACAAAGACTTTCGGATGCATGTTGCCTGGGAATTGATTATGTCTGGACAGCGGCGAACCATCTCAAAACCCCAACCCAAACAACAACCCCAGGAGAGAACAGCCAACGAGATTGTAAACAGGACCACTGCACACATTGCTATATGTGTTCCAGCTCAGGATAGAAGGGTATGTCATTTGTGTAAAAAGATAGAAAAGGAACAGGGTGGGGTGCGAGAAAGCAGACTTTTGCCTAAGACTCAGTGGAAATGCGAAGCCTGTAATCTTCCCCTATGCCTTAATACCTCGAGAAATTGCTTCTATATACATCACCAATCTTTCTAGACCTCTCCTATATCTTTTCGATTTTATTTGGTTTTTATATAAAGAAATATATACATGTTCGTGGTGGTTGCCATGGGGGTGAAACACGCCCGAATCCGACTACGAGCCATGGGATAGCCGGAAAGGAACGTGTACTCAATATGTTAGATCTATGACCCATCAAGCGACTCACTCACTGCCTCCTGTCATGACCTTCGAGATTTCCTTTACAACGAGATTAATTGCTAATATTTCCAGCTAATCACTAATTCTCACTCGGCCAGCGCTCTTGTTACACGAACTATCGACCTAGTGTAAATGTGGAAGATTAAAAACGCACCTATGTGCAACAAGTACCGGATCATTAGAAAGGGTCCAAAGCATAGTTATTAACCAGGTCGTGAGTTCGACTGTACTCAAATAGGGAAATCCCAAAGTGGAAGGTCATGGTCGGAGAGCTGGGCAGATACCGTGATCGCTCCGAGTCACAGCTACATAATAATTTTGAAAAAGATGAACTGGACCCATATTTTGTGAATGAAGAGGGAAGTAAGCGGGAAAGAGTGAAAAAACTAAAAAGACGATTTGCCATCAGATTACGGCCCTCTTTCAACATGAAGCCACATATTTATTGAGAAACCTAGGTGATCACTCCCGCGAACTTCACGGGCTGTCTGTTAGGCTGTCTTCAGCTTTCGGACCCCTGGCTCTTCCGGGTAAGCGCAAATCATTGGCGTGAACAGTAGGTAGGATTAGAGTCGATTAGTGACAAGTAGATGACCTGACATGGTTAGTCATCCCCGAGGCGATATCTTGTGGAAACATACCTTTAATGATCCACACGATTTATTCGGGCGGTGAGCTTAGGTAGAGGAGTCGTTCATTCACTTCCCCGCGCGCAATGGCCTACCCAGAATATGGCAAGAAAGGCGAGCCAATTAAATCTATATCTGCATATCGCCGATCCCGAGGGTAGAGAGCGATCTCATACCGCAGCGGGATGTGCACTTCTTTATGGGGAGACACCCCGCATCATTAACCTCCACAGTATAATATACAGTCGCACCCCGCTATGCCGGATTGCTAACATTCAGACAATTTAATACGAGATAGCAGATATTTCATTGATTTTGCAGTAAGAAAACCAAAATCCCAGAGAATTGGAATCTGGGGTATTGAGTTCCGGAATATCGAGTTGCCAGTACTGTATAATAATTGAAAACGTACATACGTCTTTGACGCACCGGCATCAGAAACCGCACTTTCATGCAGTCTTGTGCAGACTCAGCCCTCGACACAAACGCCAAGAAAGCTGCATGCATAATGTTCGGTTGCCAAGAGCCAGTACCGACCTCAATCAGAGGAATTCGAAATATCATATCGTATGTCAGTCTTTGAGCGCGCTCCGTAAGGTATATGCGGTGATGGATGCGCAGGGGATAGCGCGCGGGGTCATAGGAAATTTAAAAAAAGGTAGTTATTGCGGAGGTTATATTCGTCTATTCACAGTGCCAGAATTCGGGAACCAATATATATGCCCTTCAAAGTGTCACAATTGTCTAGCTAGCCTTTTTTTTTTTTTTTTTTTTTTTTAAATCTTGGTTTCATTGACTTCTGGGTACAAGAATGTCACATACAGCTAACATTATAACGTTAACAAAACCCTAATTATCCATCTAGGCATTAAACGTATTTATATAGTGTTCCAAATGAAAAGTAGACTCGCAGGTATCAAGCGGTGCGGGGTGCAGTACTCATGATACTTAGTAGACTCAGCCGAGTTATTATTTAACGAGAGCCAGGGTTAGGGTTCCGTTACTGTCATTGATCCATGTGGTAGTTATGTACCAAAGCGGGCGTTTTAATTTATATGTCAAAAAAATAGACATTTATTATGAATATTGGTAATCCTTTGGGAAAACTGAAAACCTAAATACTAGTATATTGGAATATTGTTATCGAACCTGGACTAGCTTAGAGCAACCAGGACTATATACATCATATTTATATTTAAGGTTGATTTGAAAACCGTGTAGATTTTAACTTGAACTTTAACAGGCTTACTTGAGCTTTATGAAAAACTATGCCGAGTATAACTGGGCTTTTCCATTCTTTACATTAAACACTACCCTGTTAATCATATTCAACTGTAGTGTAACGAGCAATTGCAAAGTGAGAGTTGACTTCGTGTCTTAGCCCTTTTCCCGAGAAAGCGACAATTGCCCAAGCTCGACCCAAAATGGAAAGGACCTACCATATTTACGAGAGAGTCATGAGAAGGGGGGGTTTCGTTTACGACGGAACACCAACAATTACTATATCTAGCATATTTTGAAATATTTGCTGCAGGTTTTGGAGTGACCGTGACACCTGTTGTTGCTTTGCAATTGCTCGTATAGTAAGGAGTTTAGCCTGAACTTGATATCGTTGAAACTAAAAATGCCAAATTTACTTGTTTGTACTAAACCGTACAAGGCTCATATATATGATTAACTCACGCAAATGTCGGATTTCTATTAAACGTTCCTATACGAATTTAGTCTCTGGATAGTGAGGTGGGCTATTAATTCTGGGAACCTCTCGCCCATTACTGGCTTTAGATTCGTCACGATGTGCTGTAATTTTCTAATCCTATCCCTATATCGGACTCTTAAATCTTAGATAGATGGGTGTGAAAGGTTCGATAAGATCAGAGTTAATCGCAGACTATCACTCGAGATACTGGTCGAGTGAGAGTTCATGATCGAAAATGGACTTAGAATACCTATAATCTCATTCTCTATGGTCACGGTTCGTTTTAATTTCGCTCCAGGTCTGTGGGTCGATGTGCTCACTCGGTTCTGTGATTTAACGAACTGCTCTACTCTTGCGTGTTTTCCTGGTTACCTCCGGTAGTGAGTGCTCGTCACCTGGAAAGCACGATTTCGGTGCTAGTTTCTTCCTACGTAGAGCATAATATATACTGGGTGCTAAATTCTTAATCGCTCGTGTAACGTGGAATTAAGTGTACGGGTACGGAACCCCCTACCACGATCGCGAGCAGCACGTGTAGGCCGGGGGTGCACTGAGTTAGAAGTGCTAAACCCCGTCTGGCAAGGCTTATGCGTGCGACGAATATGCGCAATGAAGAATCTTACGTTGGGTGTTGATAGGATCTCTCTTCTTTTTATATCGAGTTTGGCATAGCTTTTCTCAACACAGTAGTCTTGATTTTGTTACGGGTGGTGGTACCACGGAGAGCAGAGACACAACTTTATTTAACCTCTTAATTTATTTAATAATGATCACTTAGTTTCAGTAAGACATTGGCCCGTCGTACCCTTGATCTACCTAACAGTCTCCCCCATAATCCCATTGAACTAAGTGATCTCCCCCTCGTTTCCTTTCCTGTGTTGAAATTCTTCCAACTCCTCAGACAGACGCATCATGCCCGCGGGCAACCTTTCCGGAACCAGTGTTCACCTCCCCCTTAACCTTCTTGAACATCCGTTTCCCGAAATCCTTAACACGGCCCATGCTACTCTGGCCTCCCTCCTCATGATGGTCAGTATCGGTGGCAGCTACGCCCGCATTCTTGTTCTCGTCACAGTGATCGTGAGTAGCAGCGTTCGAGGAGGTTGACTTAACACGATCAGAATGATGGCGTTTGAATTGCTGAGCGCCAATCGTGCTGTTGTTTGTCTGATTGGCTTGTTTTATGCCGACCTCCGAGGTTACACCGACACTGCGGCTTCTGTTCTGAGGCAACTGTGCGTTGTTAGGATGCCTCAAGCGTTGCGTGAGCTGCTGGTATCTATTTTGCCGGAAATTTCCACGCCTTTCGGTACCAGAACCTTCCACACTATCGTTGTTTGACTCGAAGGAGATTTCGTTGCGATGGGATTGGTAAGCTGAAGAGCGGGTATCGCATTCGGCGCCGATTTCAGTGTTCATAGAATCATTTTGATATTCCATGGAGGACTGACTATCTCCTAGTTTCCTCGACTTGGGAACATGACGAAGAGGACGGGTGTTGGCAATGCTGGTAGGTGTAAGAGGGGGAAAGCGGTGCAAGCTCGGAGGCCTTGAAGACAGGAGGGGGTTTTGTTGAGTCGGGAAGTTAGATGCAGGTCCGTCGACCAGTGGGAAAGGGGTTCTTGACTCTGAAACCTGGATGTTGGAAACTTTGGTAATTGCATTTCCCTGTACAGACTCTTTTGCGACGTCTTTGAACTCGTTCTCGTAATCCCTGTCGGAATCGCTAGCAGAAGTGGCACCACAAAGTGCCGTCATCGAGTCGGTCAAGACGAACTCATACGGGTCTTCGGCGAGGGCCGCAGCATATTCGGCAACAGTATTGAAATTGGCTGATGAGGACGACATTTTAATCCTAAATGTTTTTATAAAAGGGAGTGAGGTGGTTGACCTGTGGAGGTAGTGGGCCTTCTCCGTAGCATAAAGTTAGGTTGTTGACGTTTGGAGGTTGCGGATTTTCTTTGTTTTGGTTAGGATAGAGAGTGCCGGTGGAGTTAATGAGTAACGGGGGAATTGGAAGGAACTTTGTGATTTATGTTATTTTCTTCATATACACCAACACTAGACTGATGTCACGTGTTTTGGCAGTTTCAAATTAAGCACCTCGTCCATCAATATTGACTTTCATTGCTAGAGCGAGCATGAGGCCAATACTAGTATAAGAAGAATACAACTACAAACGCCCCACAAGGATAAGAAATAGTACTCTCAGGACGGCCATCTCTGCTTGTTTGAGATCAGGAGCTACCACCTATACCATAATCTATGGGACGTTGTTATTTCCTTTCATGTATATACATTATTCCACTACCCGGATAGAAATACTTCCCTCTGTTTTTACCATGGTATGAATTCTTTTCTATCTATGCTTCTTTAACGAAATCGATAATGCTACTCATAAAGAAGGTGTGTTGTACTAACTGATTTTTTCTGAAGCTCAAATTAGAATATTGCATAAAGAACGTCACAGATCTCGAACAGATTATAAACACATATCAGGATAAGAATCATATCAATATTAGGGGCAGTTTTAGATCACACTACTAAACACGAAGTCATTAAAGGATATGGTTGGCATTTGTTATTGTTTCAAACCAGTACTAATCTCATTAAGCTAGGGATATAGTGCTCCGATCACAAGACCATTTTCATCCAAGCGCATTAAATTTAAACGCCAGCACCGATTCCTTCCGTGGAGAATCGCTCAGAGGACAACCTAGGAGTCTCCGAAGCACTCATCCCACCCGGAAGACCTCCTCGCGATCTTCTCGTGCTTCCTGACAGCTTCTTCCCAGCGCTCATCTTTCTCCGCCTGGCGAGTGGCAGTCTTTTCGGCATCCGTAAGGTTGTCGTACGACCTCTTCCATCCTCTGGCAAACTCATCACTCCCGGCCTCCACATGCTCCTTCACCTTCCTGTAGACCCTGCTCCCGATGTCAACCAACCTCTCGATAGAGCGATGTCTCGCGTGTCTACTCTTTTCACGAGTCTGACTTGGGCCAGCAGGTGGGTACGCGAGCCACTGGTCGAGGTCGACGTGGTAATACATAGTGGCATTGTCCTTTGTGTATTGTCCGGCCGCATAGACCTCTTTGATCGATCTTCCGGTCCCAGCGATCTGAGCACGTACATCATACATGGTTTGGGTAACCGGAATGTAGACAGCGCGGGGCTCGTCGCGATTGGCGGATTCTGATCTTCTGTGAGATCTTTCGCCACGATCGTACGGAGCCTTAGTCTCGTGAGAAGGTTCGGCAACCCTGTGAGAGTAATGGCGCCTCGATGAACTCGCAGCAGCCTCTTCGCCGTGATAGTGCGAAGTATCAGTCGTTCCGGGATGGTCATGGACCGTGTGAGAGCGGTGGCGCCTCGATGAACTATCGATATCCTCTTGATCGTAATGGTGGTGGTGATGCCTTGCAGGACTAGCCATAACCTCTTCGGAGTCGTGGTGACGGTGACGGTGTCTCTGCTGGACATTCCTTGGGATATCTCCCATACTCACACTGCGTTTATGCCTCAGAGTATGGGGACCTCTGTCATATCTAGGTTGGCGGTACTCCTGATAGCGGGGCCTCTCAGTAGGGACCTCAGCACCGTGCCTCTGTTCACGTCTCACCACCGGATCTCCGCCTGTGCTATGACGATCATGGTGCCGGGAGTGTTCCCAATTCTTGGAGCGTGTATGGTGCTTTATATCCTGCTATTTCATTAACATGTGTGCCCAATAGAGCTCACCTCAAAGTTAGGAGGGGGACAAACCTCGTCGACGTTGTGATGTATGGAATTATGCCTCCTATGGTCTTTCCGGTGGTGATGGCCGTCCGTTTCCTCGACCCTGTAGCGTCCTGGAGACTGTTCACGCCCGCTCCTTCCGCGGTGAACCTCCTTTTCCTTGTTGGACGAGTTTAATGGCTCATGTTGGTATTCAACGTTCCCGTAGTCGTCATAAAGCCGAAGCCCTTTGAAGTCGACCGAAAGTCCCTTGCGGGAACGTCCACGGGGGCGATTGGAGTCCGACATTTATTCAGGATAATAATTTGGGGAGGGAGTCGGTTTTATTGGGCAGGCACGAAGTAAAAAAAAAAGAAAAAAAAAGAAAAAGGAAGAAAATCAGGCGTGTACGAATATTCTCCCTAGAAAGCAGCAGTTTTTGGCACTGGGCTTGGCGGTGCTGAATCAAGTAAGCAATAACTCTCAGACACTGCTCAGGAACCATCGTCCCGTGGATCGAAGATTTTCTTTCGCAGATCTGAAGTATTGAGCTCCGTCCCGGAGGATTCTAGGTGCAGAGATCCTGATAAAATACAGGTTATAGCTCAGGCTTTATGGAGTATTTTACGGTGCATAGCAGTGAACGAATATCTCCGATTCTCATACATTTTGCAATCATCCTAATGAATGTAAACAAAGTGTATTGTTTTGAAAAAGGAGTTGCTGAGTGTATTCAAGTGGAATAAAAAAGTCCAAAAGGCCTCGAAAACCTACCATTATATAGATAAGTAGTGGTTGGCCCTGTGTTGCCACCGCAAAATGTAGTAATCGATCACCACATGTAGGTGCCGAGTGAGGCTGAGAGTTGGGTAACTGGCATATAGATTTGGTTACGATTATATGTAGGGCTAGGTATAACAGTGCTGTGACCGGTAATTTTGATACTGATGGGTCCAGTGCCTTAGAAGAGGATTTACCCTTCATTTATAGCTTTCTCTGCGGAAAGTGACAACCCCTGCTTCTAGGCTTTATGCTGCGAGTATGCTTGTTAGACTCCACACACTCAATTTATCTAGTAGCGTCAGGTCTTCCTTCTTTCCTTTGTGAGGTTCACTCTCTCCGTTAATTGTTTCACCAAGCAACCAGCCGCATCACTTTAGGAAGTTCTGGGGCGTCGGAATATGGATATTGGCGTTTTTCCTTGCATCATTTCTTCCTTTCTTCTCCCTTTTTTTCCTTGAAACTATTTCTCGCCCTAGCGTTTTATGGTGTACAAGATTTTTCTGTTCATCAATGAACAACGAACATTGCCAACCCACGGAATTTCGTTTCTTTAATCCTAATTACGTCTGAGCCTACCTCTGGATTGAACCCCGAACCTTCAAGTACCGCACGTGTGGGCAAGCAGCCTATACCACTACACTACTCCCCTTTATCTTCCAATTAATGACGCTGTTATTTGACCTGGTAATTAATTTTGACATGCCACACCCGTATCCCACACACGGGCAAATGCTTTTAACGCGACAAACAGCAAGAGGAGGTGAGCGTACTTTGATGTTGGAGAAGAAAATTGCAAATCCATCCAAGGCGGTCTCCACACAGCGATACCTGTCTTCTCTCGCCAAGATTACAGACTGAAATTAATGCGTACGTTGAATTTTCTGACTTTTTTCTTTTCTGCTTCTTTTCTATCCTTTTTTTTTACCGAGAACCCTCGCAACGGAAAAACACACCCCACCCAACGGTGCAATCCTCTTTCCAACCCAAATAAGTGTGAGGACACGAAGACAAATTACAAAAACGAAGACTAATTCTATAATTATTTAATTTCACGTCAGGTTTGGAAAGAGCACATTAGTCAATGTTTATTATTTACTAACTCGTTTTTCTTAATACGACTATCTACTTCGATCTACAACAATTTAACTAAAACAGTTAGTTTCCTCCCAACTCGAACCCAGAGCAGACAGAGACCATTATTCCGCTGAGACCTAGCCTGGAGATGACCTAACTATCTCCAAATCACTCGTCCCATCTCGACGACCTTCTAGCACTCTGCTCATGTTTCCGGGCAGCCTCCGCATGACGCCGTTCCTTTTTCTCGCGCGCCTCGGCAACCTTCTCGAGACCGGTCCTGTTGCCCTTGGGCTCCTTGAACTTCTTCGCGATTTTGTCACCGAAAGCCTTGAACTTCCCGAACGCGCCCTGATAAGCGGGCTGCTCCAGGGTTACCACGCCGCCGAGCCCTTCAGTAGGCTGAGCGGGCCATTCGCAGGTCGCAGCCTCATAGTAGATAGGAACGCTGTTCCTATCCTTGAAGGTCGTCCCCTCGTCGGGGTCCTCACGCTCAAATTGTTGAGACGCGTCGGCAGGGACGACTTCGTTCCGAGTACGACGATGGCGGGAGGAGAGAGGGGCACTGTTCCTGTTATCGGTGTCGAGACCACGGTACCTAGCAGGCTCGGGGTATTCGCCCATTGTCCGGCTACGGTGGTGTCTTAGGTGCTGGGGCCTGCTCCCGGTGATGTTTCCTTGTCCGATATCCTGATTGCTCGAGGAGGTGGACGGCCTTCCGAGATCCTTCGAGTACTTATTATGTCTGATATCATGGCTTTTATGCCTTCCGTGGTGGCCTTTTCGTCTTTCATCCTCACCAACTGGGTGTCCATCCGCCCAGACCGATTGTGCACGTTGGCGCTCGAGGCGTGCCCAGGAGGTCTCGGTTACGGCCTGGAACATAGGATATTGGGAATTGTTCCTATTCCCCTCGCTGTGCTGACGATGTTCACGGTGACCATTAGCGCCATGTGTGGTACCTTGGCCGGGATCCAAGTTCTGTGAACCTTTGGTCGCATCATTAGACCCGACAACAGAAGCTACTGAAATAGAAGTAGAGTTAGTATTAGCCGAGTTCGAATGGATTAGGAAAGGTTCCAACCAGTAGCGCCAGCGTCCACCTTCTGTGAGCTCGTTTCCAGAATAGGAAACAGGAAAGCAGAAGTAACTAAACCAGATGGAGGGTTAGAATTATACGAGCTAGGACAGAACGAAAATGTAACTCACCATGATCACCACCGGAAGGGCGGGGAGCTTCCTCTTCACTATTCTCGGAGGACGGAGAACTTATTGAAGAATCATCCGAGGTCTCTGCAGCGATGGAAACAGGAGGATCAAGGTCTTGGAATCGGAGAACGGCCATGACACGCTCTGCCTCCTCAGCCAGATCTTCCCAATATTCAATCGGCTTCGGCGGCGGAGAGGTTGACCGAGGGGCACGTTCCCTCGCCTTGCGATAGGCTCCATAAGGATTGATATTGATCTCTTCGTTCTCACTGTCACTGTCGCCGTAGCTGTGCAGCTCCGTGACGAATTCGGAGACGGTCAGAGGCGCTCGGAGCTGCCTGATGAAGTCGGAGATTATTGGATCGCCCCGCTCCATCTTTCCGGCGGCCTCTACAGCGTTGTGTAAACGAGAATTTGAGTTGGAGGACATTGTGGTACAAAATACTGTTATACAGGGGTAGGTAGTTCGTACTTTTGCGAAGTCGATTTTCTCAAGATCTTATATTGACAGGAGAGTAGGCGGGTGAGAGTTGGTGGGTGAGAGTGACAACTTATGTGTCGAAAGACTCTGCGCTCTGCGCTACGGACATGTCTGAGCACACATTGACGAAACCACAAAACTACGTCATCATGAGCGATACCAAAAAGAAAATTTGCGCCCGTGAAAATCTCAGTGGTGGTATGTGAGAAATATATTTTATTGCTTTCGGTATTATTTTATTTTATATTGTCTAAGGGAAAATCACAGCTGTTATTATGAGTTCGAGAAAAAATGTCGATCTCGCGCCTGCAATTCGGTTTACTGGCGGAAAAATAAAATATAGTGATTTTATCAGCCCATGAGAACTACAATGTTTACCGAGGGTGAGAGGTTTCGTGAGCTCATTTTTTTCTTTTTTTTCGCTCTGGTTTCGCCCGATCGGGAGACAAATTATCCTCTCCGGGGGTATATGAAGCCGAGCATTACCGCCAAAACCTAAATATAGCCTAGATATAAGGACCTATTACAAAAGGCAGTATGAGGAAGTTAAATATGCCAAGGTAGTTTTAATCATTGTGTAATTGAGTCTACAACTTCTTTTTATAAATACCTGAACGTATTCAAATTTTCTATCTATAGGCGGGGATGAGCGCTCTCGTCTGATCGGGATCATTGTCAGGCATATATTTCAAACGACATACGAAGAGAAAACTAGATTGACAGTGAAACAGCATACATGAGAAGAAAACATTTTCTTTAAAATGTACGCAAATATATACCAAATTCATTCTACTGCGTTCTGCCGAGACACCACACAAGTGTAGATTCAGCCTTGATTGATTTTTAAATGAGGAGTCCGAAAGGTTGAATAGCGCCGGGAAGGACGAATAGAAAGTGGATCTCGTACAAAAACTCATGCGCACCATCATAGATGCAAACCTTTTCGTTGAATAAGAGCTCTGCGCCAAGCCTGAGTGATCATCCATGAAGCGGGTGACCATCCATGACGCGAGTGACCATCCATGAAGCGCGTAACCATTTATGGCGTACACTTATGTAAGTGCAAAAGCTGTTCCCGCTACCACTATTTGGTTTGCAACCAACAGTGTCGCGCGCAGCTAATTACAACGAGTCACCTGACCTGCCTTCTTGAAGTAGACTCTCTAAGCGAACTTTCTCGTAACCCCCGCTGCAATGTTTGGCACCGAACCTAGCGCCAACTGTCCCAGAGCAACACATGATCAGAAATCGACGTTCTCAACGCTGTAGCCGACCACACAGCAAAATGTTTCGATCACAAACGTTTCAGCGCGCATGTGGGACGGATTAATACACCGCCGAAAAATATCTTCCTCAATTTATCCGCCTGCCGGAACCATAAAGCTGAACTGTTTCTCTTTCGCCGGAGGTGTTATTCGCTTAGCTAGATACGATGCGACTGCTCGGAACGTTGCGAAACATGCCAGGGTTGCGTACGCCTTCGCGGGAGAGGGGGAGAAGTACCGATAATAGTTCCGTATACTGAATCGACATTTTTCTTTCGCCGAAAAGAACAAGACGAGTGATGAGCCACAAGGACAAAGACGGAAAGAAAAAAAAGGGATTGGCAGGCCTTTTCCTTACGGTTACCTTCTGTTTCTTTTATTTCTCTTTTTGAAGGAGGGGGTGGAGAATGATGGGAGTCGTTCTTTCTTTGGTCCAAACACAGATAGCGAAGATTAATGAAGACTACGGGAGAGGTTTATCTGCACTAGAATATTCTCAGATAGTTAAAGAAATAGGAACCTTCGTGAACATCCGTTCAACACAGGGACCCTTTGGGCCTAAATATATTCTGTTGTTTTCCAACGCACGTGTCATCACACATCACAATGCGCCTTTTCTGACGCACATTATTCCGACCATATGCATGCAAGGAACGCCATGTAAAAGACGAAGGATTTTGGCTGCGAGTCGACAAGCTTGGACGATTCTCTTCCGCACACTCTGTTGGCTTTCACAGCAATTATAACTAATACAACATGTTTTACCGGAATACAGAACAGACTAAGTTCCCCTGCGCGTCTCACCATTTCTGTATCTTCCCAAAGACGCTATCGACCCCTAGCTAATAAAAACCAGGCACTTATCCGCATCTACATCTATATAAGAGCCTACAGCCGTGTCTCAAGGGGGTTGAATTGCTGGTCCGATCTAGATTAAGAAGGCCTACTATACTGAATTCGTCTCGATCTGGCATTCTTTCGGCAGAGCCTTTAACATTTGGATCGGCCACCTGCCCTGCCCCCGCCGTAATTAAAGTATGCCCACCTGCCAACCCTAGTGGGTGGTCTGGACTAGTGTTTATCAGATTTGACCGATGGTGGCAGGGGCGCCAATGGGCCGTGGCCCAAACCGTGAAGCCCGGGCTCACTTCGGGCTATCTGGGCCGGGCCTTCTGGTAGATAATATGGGCCGGGCCGGGCCTCATGGGAATCAAAGCCCGGGCTATTGGGCCCTCTTTGGGCCCATGAAGAATGGATATTTCCAGGGTGAATGTTGAAAATCATGTCATATTCTTCATACCCTGACCTCCATATCTAGGTGTTCCCAGTCATGAACAGGGCATATATTAGATTGGGCCCTTCAGGCCCTGAGACCGGGCATGCCCGGGCTTATGAACTTGGGCCAGACCTGGGGCAACAACATCGGGCTTTGGGCCGGACATGGGGGTATTTCAAGCCCGGGCCGGCCCATTGGAGACCCTGGATGGTGGGATCTATTAATTAACGGTTGGCTGGCACAGGGTGCACTGCCTGTATACCTTCTGAACTCAGCAAGCTCGAGCTCTGGATTTAGCGGTGATGTAGGAACAATTCAGCTCGGCGGTAATCTGATATCCTCGCAGGTTCTTTGCTCCGTTTCTACTGTTGGGCAATACAGGTCAGCTCACGATGTGGTTGTCCTGGCCTGGTGCTCGGGCCTTTCCACTAACCGCTGCGCGCGAAACAGATCTCGTGGTGTGTGACTTGAAACACCCCAGCAGATTTCATAATTTGACCACTCCAACCATAGACGGTTGGCATACGGGAGAGTTCTCTCTTGCGTCGTCCGGGGATTTATTGTTTAAATTGGCCGCCTAATCAGTGAGCACATCTCATAGGAAAATATCGATTATTAGCTGCTATGCTAACTGTCAGCCTTGCTCGTTGGTCGGTCGCGCGTGCCATTGTCAAAGTTTACGGATGAGAGGGGTTGACAGCGGGGCGCGCCAGAGCACATACCACAAAGCTTGTGACAACCACTGTCCAAAAAGAAGCGCGTTATCTAACTACGATGGGACTCTGGAAATTCAAGTACCGAATTAATTCATCCTTTTAAAAGAACTACGTACTGATACTGTTATCGAATCGTGATGAATGAGAATAAAATTAGGCGTATTACAAGTAAGTCAAAAAAAAGAAAGAGAATAGGCCGTAGCCCTTCTAACATAGAAACAAGACAACGTATCTAAGCACAGCAAGACAAGCCACGAACCATGAGCAGCCAAACCGCCAACGTTCAACAGATACCGTATCTTGCTCTATAAGGGGTTCATGCAATACGAGAAGTGTTCTGACCCATTCACCCGTCGCTCCCCATCCACTGATATCGATATATAGGTCGACCCAATTGACTGACATCATCGGATGGCGTGACCTATTCATTCATGGGCACCAACAACTAAGCGGTATACCAATCATTGAACATTGACTAGATGGGTAACCTATTCATTCAACACGAAATGCAGAAATATCAAGGTACCCATCATTGGACCCATCAATTAAGAAGATTTTCTGCTTTGAATTAAATGATTTAGAGCACCGCAATGCCTGGCGTAATAGGGACACCATATAGACGAACAAATTGATATATGGGGATATTCGAGAATGATTATATACTACTTCATCTTCCTAGAATACCTGATCGTGCAAAGCTGTTAATTAATGGTCGGGTATCGTTGCAACTGAAATTTCAGACCTTCAATTAACGACCGAGTACTACTCTAGTGCGTTACTCAAAAGGTCGGAGTTCAGCGTGGGGATTTGGTTGCAATGACCCCGGAACCTTTAACGGGTCGCCATATGGTCAGGTATTTTATGCGACATCCGTCAATAGGCTACCCATCTATATGTCACTGCCTTTCTGTGAATAGGGCAGGCCATATGATGATATCGTCCCGGCGGGTACCATCCTCAATTGGGTCAGAACAACAACAGATCCAACACCTAATTCCATTCGTGTGGTCTTACAACTGTGCTAGACCTCATACGTTTGTGCTAGCTCTTGGGCTGGTGAGAGCTTTCCCTGTGGCAGCGGTTACAAAGTGGGGAGGACTTCAAGAGCAGTATTGAATAGACCATCGTGTCGAGGGTAGTATGTACCGAAAGAGTGGGTGATTCGCCCCGATGAAACACTGTAATGGAATTGAGTTTTCGTTGGAATCTGTGCTGTAACTTACCGGAAGCCATCCACTATATAGAGAGCAAGGAGAAAGATCGACATGAATCGTGTTAGCTTCTCCATTGTCCTCTGGTATTCCCTTTATGATCGATTGCAACACATAACGTTTTACTCTGCCAGCACTCATTTAACACCACTTCAACGATGCCTATAAGCGTTTCTGCAGCTTTAAATTCCCGCGGAATTATATCGGGAGGACCCCCGAATATTTAATATCACTTGTGAATGCCGGTGCTTGGATCAGTCTATCGACTAGAACTGGGGGATGGCTAGTATTAGTTGACGGACCAGAGGACTTTCTCCCTTCGTCGATCAGGCTTACTGATGGGGATAAATTACCAGATATTGTACCACCGGGACCTCGGTAGGTGTCATGGCCTGGGTTATATTGGCCCTACCTTTTTATTCATTTTACAAATAGGACTCAGATAGCGTTGACCCATAGAGTAGACAAATAGAAAATACATTTAACGTGCACTATTTGCGGTAATAAAAGGGACTGAGAGTGCTCTCTACGCCTTGCCAGCAAGACTTCTGATGGTTTGAATAGTTCTCTACTACGTACCGTGACGTTTTATTTGATACACTGTAAGAATGAGTAGAACTCATACGGTGCACAGTGGATTTGGTTGCGTGTGGAACAGGAGACAACCTCTGTGATAGCGGGTGATAAACCATGAAGCGAGTGATATTTCATGAAACGAGTGATTCTTCATGAAACGGGTGATAGTCCATGAGGCGCTATAAGCGAGTGACCAACTATGACTGCAATTATCCTAGCCACCGTCTTTTCTTTTGCTTTCCCAGGACCTTTATATGTTCAACATAGATACATAGATAGAACTCGTACCAATAAGTAGATGCTTCGGGCCGTTTTTCATGTTATGTAGATCTCCTACCCACTCCCGCTTAGATCAAATCATTAATATCCTGCGTTCAAATTACTGCTATTTTAGCAAAGGGTTTCCACCTCACCTGGAATAACCTGAGAAATCGAACTTATCATTCCTCTGAAGGTATATTATATATCCAACCTCTATTATCTCCTCCGGTCATACCTCCAGTCAACCAATTAGAATGTAAGTTGATAGGGAGGGCTCGAGTGGAAATCGAGTGATTGCCTATGACACAAATATGCACCAAACCTTTCGCGCAAGGACAAAATGATAGATGCGAAGATTGCGGATAGATAACCTGAGCTATTCTATAGTTTTATACCATATTGCAATATCCAAACCCAACTGCCGAGTTTCCAACTGTCGAGTTTCCACCCGCCGACAATGTCTACCCGGGCCGATCAATCGAGCGGGCAAGTACGGTGGTGGACCTAGTGTAGAGCAACGCTATTTTTTGACCGATCAAAATTACGAATTCAATATTACTTAAGTAATCTATAATCGGAGAGCTCCTGCTTTCATCTGCAATTTTATTAATCCATAGATATGGGGAATGTAGTCGAGTGATATGACATGATGTAGCTTTGAACCGATCTTAGGCCCAAGAGCGTGTAAGACGGCTAGTTTACCTATTGGGCTCTCTCTACGTCTCTAATAGCACCAATAGAGGATAGAGGTATCATCTCTAATGTACGTTTTATCTGTTGAGAAAGGGAGTCGCTAGAGAAAGGTAAATAGAGGGATGCGGTTTTAGAATAGTGCATATATATGGTGTTTTGTCCTTAAACCTTATCTGAAAGAAGAATTAATCTTTAATAGTTGAGGACACAATTGTTTGCAACAAGACAAAAATAGCTGTACAGTCTGACTCTGATTCTCTCTTCCAGATGCGGTTGGCAATTTTCGACCCGTTGCCGGCAACTATTTGCAAGTGAGAATAGCATTTGATTCCTTGTTGTGAAAACATCTAGGGAGAATGACTTGGCCGTTTATGTAATCTTTCTGAGTTTAGGAACTAGAATGTGATAGATAGATATTAGGACTAGGTAGATATTAGAAAGGAGCGGCGCATAATGGATGCGTCCGCTACTCTGGCGATGATCACCGGTGATAAAGAGGTTATGCCGTATGATGGTATTCACGTATTCATTTTTTGTACCTGGGGTGAATGGTGGTGTTAGAAAACTCCGTAGGGAGTAGGATCGATGTTGCTATTATGAAGAAGGATGAAAGCCTATCGACTTATACATACAAACGTGACACGTCCAGCTAACCTAGACTGTGTATACCGTTACTAGGACCACATTATAATTGGCGTATAGATCTATAGACCTACCGGGCTATGAAAGGTGGACTAGGACTTCTCTCCAAGGGCCTGTCTTCCTCCGCCACGAGCTAGAGATTGCGGAAACGGTTCACGTTGTCCTTCAACTGTCTTTACCCATACCCCTACCAGGCGACTGTAATGGCGGATCAGGTTACCGTTGGAAGTAGGAAAGGCCAGGTGTATCCTTATCTCATAGGTGATCTATACAGTTTATGTAGGATAAATAAACTAAGTGTTCACAGTTCTCCGAAGACACTCTGTTGTCGGGGCGGAGGACCCGTGTCGTTTCAATAAAAATCTCCGGTAAAGCGCTGGGTATTGTAAAAGAAAATGAGTATCTCTTCTCTGCTCAAGGTGCATGAGATGCGTGCATACCTTTGACGGAGTGAATATCATCATAGGAGACGATCGCGAGAGTATCCCCTACCAGCCAGCTTTATCCCATAATTATGTGTGGTATGCGTCTCCGTTGCTGAGATGACCCTCTCCGGATCTAGGCCTTCCGTAAAAGCAATTCTTGTTGAGAATTGCTTCCCTATGTCAAGTCAATTTGGGCGGTCGAATCGTTCTGTGCATTCTGTCAATGTGGGGCTGTCAAGGTAGACCAGATATAAAGTGGGACAGCTGTATGATGGGTAGTCGAAATGCATGGAGAAAGAATGTATAGAGGGAGGACTATCGTCCCTCTATCTCCCTTATCTTCACACCTTTTCCCACAGTTCTCTTTCCCACCCGGCCACCGTCGCCCTTTTGCTATTTTCTTGCTTTCTTCATTTGTTGTGGTGCTGATGGCAATCCCTGAGGTCCGGTCTCGCAGCTGTCGGGGTACGTACGACAGGCTTGCCACTTTTAGTTTGCACATTCGGAGGATAGAAGCTTTTCAGTCATTTCGGCTGTTCTGACCCATTCAAGGACAGCTCTTATCCAGGGACGTCCCTAGCTGGTATGTACCATTCAAGGACGTCCACGGCTGGATCACACCAGTCGTGAATGGTATGATTTTTTGGTTGGTGTACGCTAATTGTACCAGTCAAGGACGTCCACAGGCAGTGTAGAGAAAATATGTTAATTGTGTTAGCTTCTACCCACCATGTCCCTTCAGAAAATAGCTTTGACACATGCTCGGGTCGCTCCGAGAGAAAGAATCTTTTCTAAAGTTTAGAGAAATCACGCTATAAAAATCAAGTTCGAATTATTAGTTACTGTACAGTGATATTGTAGTGCCTGGTGGGTTGTAGTGCGAGTACTCACCTGGAGGTCACAACTTCCACGCACCTGAACTTTCCCACTGGTTCTGCTATTACTTCCTTGTACTAACCATGGACGTCCCTGCCTAGTATATATACTTAGCTCGTACCATACAGGGACATCTGCTTTCTCTATTCTACCCGGGACGTCTCTCGCTGGTACATACTAGCCAGGGACGTCCCTGGATAAGAGCCGTCACTGGCTGGATCAGAGAGCCTCATTCCCGAAGTACTGAGTGAGGCGCATTATTTCTTCAACCGCATATAAAACTCCGCATTTCCCCGCGGCAAAAGGTGAATGAGATTGTTACAGGAAACACGAACACTGCTCCTAAGTTAAGGAATAAGGATAATACGAGTGATGGGTTGTGACGCGAGTACGGTCGGGTAATGAGGGAACAAGCATAGAAAGGTACCGAGGGGTGTGGGGGCACCGGGTGCAACCACACTAGTATTAGGCTATTGTGAGGGCACGCTTACTATTGGGTGTCTCACCCGGAACGGAATAGAAGCGGGGCTTATGGCTGCAGGCCATTCTACTTAGGGAAGTAGCTCTAGGACAATAGCATGATACAGCTCGGTTACTGGCAATTGCGGGGTTTATGGTTACGTGTCAGAATTGGAATGGAGGAACGGAACTATGCGGGGGCGCTTTTCTACTGGGGTTATCTTCGGGTTGATTATCTTATTCTATTATCGTTATCTCTTTAGTATTAGAAAGCGGGCCTTGGCATAGGCTCCAATATGTATAAATAGGGAGGATCCTGCCTCGTCTTAGTGGCATCATCAGTCACTCAGTGAGCGGAATCCGGTTTACAATATTACAAGTTTAAAAGCTACAGAACTATCGCTTAGCACTGGCATTTCCCCAAACAGAGATGCTGTCCATCCGGCGCCGAAGTTGTCGTGCCCACCTTTGTGTCGTGGACCTCCGTACCAGAGTTGGTGGGTGAGAAAGATATGCTGTGTTCCATTGTGTGTTAGGTTTCGTTCTGGTGTCGGGACCGTCATCACTGCCATTGTTGGTCAGCTGACCAGCATCAATTCACAGGTAAGTTCGGTGCAGAACCTGTCGTGGGTACGTAACAAAGTATCCACAAAACATATTGTGGCTACCGCTGGTTAACAAACTATCCTCGTTCGGGTGATGAGTGTCTACTAGGAGTGGGTATGCATCAATTAGCACATATTCCACATAAGGTTTTGGGAGAGGGCATATGTAAATGTGCCCACGGTACGTCTGTGGGAAATATCTCGTTTTGGACTTTTCTTTCCCCTTTCATGTACTGCCTTTTCCTATGCCTTTTCCCGCTGTCAATCCCGTTCACATCACTTTTACTGTGTCTTCCACACTATAGACATCCGCGCCCCGGCTCCCATTTACCTGCCTTTTATATGCCATTTACTGTCGCTTTCTATTTTACATTCTTTGCACCGTTTTTCTCTCTTTTATCCTCCCTTTTCGATCCCCTTTACATCCATTTGCAATATCAACACATATGCTCCTGGCCCTACTAGTGTTCTCAATCGATCATCATCATCAATTCAACTAGTATAGTTGATGTATTCCTATCTATGTCAGCCTAAGGGCAGAAGTTCAACCTTATCTAGGGAACAATATTAATAGACATCGACTACATATTCTTTGTATTTTTTGGCGTGCCTACAAGTATTATTGAATTACAATGCATGAAGTGTTGCGTAAACCTACATGTACTTTTATTTAATCACGCATCTGTATTTATGTAACCACACACCTGTTTATTTATGTAATCGCATCCACATGAGCTATAAAATTGATGCATTTACTGATCCTTTTCCCACACAACCCTACATAGAAATTTAATTATTTTTACCATACATTATTTAAACCTTCGCCACAAAAAAACCTATGCATTTACTGATTCTCTTCACAACTAAAAATTGATGCACCCGTCAATGCATTTCCACTCGTAGTAGAGAGTGCAAAACCATTTGTGGCTGCCAGGTAAGGAAAGCCTAACCCATGCGCCAAGTCGCTGATTTTATCGGCGACCATGGGACTTTCCCCAGTTGGGTTGCCTTGACTCTTGACCTGACAACCACTAAAGAATTCGACGTTCGCGTTTTTCACAACTAATAAAGGAGACTGGTATGTAGTGGCGCGCTGTCCCTTCTGCTTTATCGCCGAATTAACGAGAACATAGTGGCGAATAAACACACGCTCATTTTTGGCACTGCCTTTGACTTTGCAATTTCGGATGAGATTAAAAAATGATTTTATTGTTGTTTGTTATTTGTGTGGGCCATGCAGCTTCGGAATACGAGCCATTTGTCGGGCTGGGGAGAGTGGCTGGTAGGGTCAAGATTTTGAATGGTGTTCGCACTTTCGAAGTTTTTTGCATGGTTGGAGAATATGATTGGAAATTGCTGCATACTTCCACTCGGATGTTTGAACTTGTGCACGCTTACACTCGGATGTCCCTTTTTATTCTTTTATTTTCTACCATCCCTTTTCTTTTCCTTTTGTTCTTTTCCTTTTTAGTTCTCTCATCTCCTCTTTCCCTTTCCTTTTTGTTTTTTTCTTCTTTTTTTCTGAGGGGGGAGAGGGGGCAATACATGTGAAGGAACCCCGCGATATCATTGGTGGGAATATGATGGGAATATTCTGGGAGGAAAGGATTGGAGACCGCTTTAAACGCGATGAAATGTTCACCATGATCCGCCTTCCTTTTATCAGCTAGCGCAAGTAAGTTTGACGTTCGATCCACGATCTGGCAGAGCAATACGAATATATTCTGACACATCGCACAGAACAAGATCCCTATCCCACAAGGAGAACCCGTCGTAAGATTAGAGCTGCGGAAGGTTTCATAGGTGCTTGGCTTCGAAGGTAGTTTTGATGAAACACTTTGATTGTCATCGAAGAAAAAATACTAATTTTCATGTCTTTCACACTCATTCTTCTTTCGTCTAGCCGTAGAAACATCCTCGGTCATTCCATTCATCATCACTATAAGTAGGTTTCATATTAAATACGCGGGCCCAACACGCAGATAATTAAAAGTGAATGGATAGCGCAATGAAAATCTGAAAGGAGGAAAAAAAGAAAACAAATAAGAAGCAGTGTGCTTCCTCTCAACTGTAGCCAGACCTTTCATCTCCGCCACCACCGATGCCCGCCACGAGACCTACCAGACATTCATCCTGCACACCAGAGAATAGAAGAGATCAAAAAGAACCGGGACTGCGTGGCTTGGTGGATGACTTTTGGATCGGTCAGAACATTCCAACTATTCTTACCCTAAGCATACCTCCACGATGTTACCCAGGAAATGTGGGTCAAAAAGACACGAGCGGTCCTTACCATGGGATGTGGTTACCTCGCGCACGAAGTGGGCGGCGAAAAGCAACCATCCTATAACGCTCCCTCGTGGAAATTTCAGTAGCACGATTAGGTGGTGAAGAGGAAACGAAGGCTCTATAGAGATTTCGGCATGTCCCTACAGTATTGTCTCTCGCTCACATAATTGCACTGTACAGTATTAGCGCCATCAGTGCCAGTGAATAATAGATCTCTTGAAATAGTACGCTCAGCACATTTCATAGTATTGGAGGATTCTCATTTGTCATCATGAGTCACGGGTTCTGACTCATTCTTTCTCTGGTATTTATTAGTCATGTCTTTCTATTACTTATACGGTTATGATTCACTATGTTTTGTGTTACCTTTCTTTAGTATAAATATGGGGCATTCCCCCCTCTCTAGTTAGTTGGAATAACACGCTCAATTACTACACTTCTCTACATACATTTTCTCTAAGATCGTGTTGGCCACGCTCAGTTTTCAAATTTCGAGCTCAAATCCTAAGTTCTTGGCAGTGGGGAAGACCCACCTATACTTGGGTAAACGCGTGCAGTGTTCTTTCTCTCATTAAGATCTCTAGCGTACGAGATAAAACTCAAGACTCCACTGAACGTTAATAGAGTTCAGTATAGAACAGGTGGGTCTTCCCCACTGCCAAGAACTCAGAATTTGAGCTCGAAATTTGAAAACTGAGCGTGGCCAACACGATCTAATGCAGTCTGCCCACGAAAGTGAGGGATCTGGTTGTTACTAGCTTGCCTTGGCATTTCATTCACAAATAAGCTAGCGCGGACGGTGGATCGCAGGTGTTCACCAACTGCCTACAACGCCTCGAAGATTGCCACGCAAGATTCTTGGCGATGCCCTAATCCTATGAATAAGGGTTAAAACAAGAACTTCCTCCTTTCTTCAAAATGTTCATCTCACCTTTTGCTCTCCCGAATTATTTCCGCCCTCGAGAACCCCCTCCAAGCCCTAGCCCCAGGGACAACAGTGCAGGACTTGAGGCACTGTCAAGGACTGAGGCCTAGGTGCCTCGAGGATACTATTACGTCTCGCATCGAGGGTCCCGCTGGGACAAGCTGCATGATCCCTGTCATTATTCCTATTAACATTCCACTTAAGCTCGACATCTCTCCACGTGCCCGACATGTGGCGAGTCCAGCGTGACTTCCAATAACACCCGCAGAAATAGAGAGTAGCGGGGAAAGAACGATGCAAGATGAGGACGTCCGTACCATTTCGACCGCACCCAGGCCTCTGGCCCTTACCGGAACTCACCGCTAGCAGACTAGTAGCAGTGTTACAAGGTCTCTATCTCTTGAACGCGTATTCAAAAAAAATGGATTGGAGCAAAAAAGGGGGGGAAATCAGCAATACACGATACCGAAGACCTTAGTTTCCCTAGGAGGGTCATCTGTGTATCTCTAGCGTCGAGAATAAGTATGCGTTTCTCATCGAGAAATTCTAGTTTCCTTTTGCTCTCGTGAATAATCATCATCTGCTAAAGGTACCTCGAGGCAAATATGCCGGATCTGAGGATAGGGAGGACAGATGTCAACTAAACAACGCACCTCGAGGACACCATGATATATGACCAACATCATCATCGTGGGCAACCTTTCTCCCCCATTATGTTTATGATCATCACTGGAAGTAAGTTAGACATACGGACAACGGCCCAACACGCAGAGGATCTAGGATGAATTCTAAAGCAACGCGGACAAATAGGAAGAAATGGAGAGCGCAATGTAAAATAAGAAAATAAAAAGATTGAGGACAACTGTACGTACGCTCTTTCGATCGTGCTCAGATATTTTGCTCCTGCACTTCATTATCGCATGCTGGGTCAGTCCCCGAGGTAGTCATGAGGCATAACAATAAAGCAACAGCGAAAGAAAAATCGGATTGGCTTGGGGAAAAACGTTGAGCAGACGCAAAACTCCTGAAGGCCTCGTACCCAAACTGCGGAAGGTCTCTATGGTGCATCTGGGTTTCCCTGGCGATCGTTCCCGAGCTCTTGAGAGTGGCTCGGAAGGAAGTTATGATACCTATGTTTCGAAAGGCTGTTCTTTTTTTTTTTTTTTTAATTCATTAATTGTATGCAGACCGTAGTCCCTGACAATATTACACTACCCCAGAACTTCCCAATCACTTCCTCCGCCTCTCATAACGCAAACCAAAATCAAACACAAATAACAAAACAAACATAACTATCAAACAAGTAACTTATAACATAAGAAAAGTAACTTCTGAACAATTTATAACTTCATGGGCTGTCCCGCAAACCGCCCCAGCCCATTTCCATTTCTCTGGCTTCTTCTTCCCTTTTTCGTCTCTTCCTCCTCTGTCGTGTCGCCATTTCGTAAATTAAAGGCTATTCTTAATGGTTAGACTAATTTCTTGAATGGAAAGTTGCCTTCATCTCACCCGCTCTCAGGAAAGGAATGCAAAGGATTTAGTTATCGGTTTGAGTATATCCGATTTCACGATGACATGCACAACCATCACTCAAACCGTTGAGTGGAGCGGCCCGTTTACGAGATACACGCACTATGGCAAGTTCTCTCCCATGGGAGCACTATCTGTTACACGCCTAATGGAAAAGCCTGCATATCCATCGAAACATTCAAGTTGGTATCTGTTCTGTCCGATCCGTAAGTCATCCTATCCAGCAGAACATACGAATTGGGTACCCTATCGGCCAGGAAACTATTATATCGTATAGACCTCAAAATAGTGCCCGAATCATAAGGAAACACCCCACCCATAAGTCAGCGTGCTCTGCAATTGAGAGCGCCCGCACCCTCCTCCACCTGCGCACGCTAAAGTTTCCAGTGCGAGAGTGCACTCACTAGAGAAAATGTATGTAGAGAAGTGTAGTAATTGAGCGTGTTATTCCAACTAACTAGAGGGGGAATACCCCATATTTATACTAAAGAAAGGTAACACAAAACATAGTAAATCATAACCGTATGAGTAATAGAAAAACATGACTAATAAATAGAAGAGAGAAAATGAGTCAGAACCCGTGACTCATAATGACAAATGAGAATCCTCCAATACTATGAAATGTGCTGAGCGTACTATTTCAAGACTCACTTCAGCCCGGGAAATTAAGCCTACGTCTTTTTCCAAAAAATAACCGAATACCTGACATCTTATCAGTCCAGTCTTTTGTGGTTTATGTGCACCCGGGTATCAAAAGAGTCGGTACCCAACCCGACCCGGCCTCGGAATATTTGCACCCAACCCGGCCCAACCCATAGGTCTTTTACCCGGGTAAGCCCGCCTTTTATATGGGTATAATTCCGGAGGTATACTATTCCTTTCACGTAATTCGGAGATATTTAAGAATTACCATAGTGGGAATTTGAAATATATAACTTTTTTTAATGATGAAGTACCTTTTTCTCACCCATGCAATCCGCTGTGGACCTGGCTATCTTGCTTTGTGGGTCGCTGCTGAACGGGATCCGAATCCTCTGGTGAGCGGGGTGACCTTTTGAGTGTAATCCGATAAAACAGGTACCTGGGGGATAGGGCGTCCGAATCATACTTCCTGGTGGATAGGACGCTCTTACGACTCGGTCAGAACATACAGAAGGTCCCAGTGGATAGAGAGAAATCCTGAGTAAACGCACCGCACAGCATCAAGGATTCTCTTTCCGGGACCTAGCCTACCACATTAGTCTTACCTTCGGAGGTCGAGATGACCCTTAATCTCGGGCCTCATTTCGCCAGTGCGCAGATGGACTGATTGTCACGGGTATTATACAGCCACTGCACATACATCGGAGCTTTTGGTAAGCAGGTATTATTCGCCTCCTAGGGGGGGGGGGGGGGGGTTGGAGGTATTTCGTTCTTATTGAATCAATGTCAGTTCACGCTTACAGAGTTGACCATTAGTGTGATAGTTTTCTTAGCTGGCCAATAGCTAGGCCCATCCCTCGGCTGACGGCTATTTTTTCATCCATTCACGGAAACGTTGTGCTGAGCATATTAAGAAGCTGGTCGCCGGTCGTATTCGCGTACAACCGCCCTGTCGACTGTATTCATTTGTTCAATAGCGATAGAGAAAGTTCTCCTAGGTTCTTCAGCAAGCTCGCGTCATATGGGCGAAAAGATCTATCGTAAGTTTGCCTACAGCCTGGGTGCACTGTGAATATTCTTTTTCACAGTTGTCACAGTGTAACAAATTATACCACCTCATTTTTCAAGCGATAAAAAGGAAAAAGCAATTTTCCATGTAGAGACCAATGTGCAGGCAGACAGATCCTAGAGATACAGGAAATCCTATCGCCCCCGAGTTGCACGAGAGATAGTTTCACGTTACCACAGCGACCTTCCCTAGTCTCACCATCGATTCGTCTATACTACACTAGGTTAGACTCAGCTGCTTATCCGCAGGATTAGGTTGTTACTATGGCAACCACACTTGTCGAGAAGGTAACTGGCATGCCTGCGAGCACCATTCCTAGGCACTTAACTCATGTGTAGATAACATAAAATGACATTATACGTGGAATAGTTATTTTCTTTTTCTTCTTTTTTCATTTTATCGGATCATTTTCAAGTTCAATCATTCTCACTGTTTACTTTTATAATAGAGCGTATTTGCCAACCGTCAATTTCAAGAATTTACAAATTGTAGGGCTCCGAAGTGGCAACCGGGGCTGTTAATTTTGAATTTCGGTGGGGCAGCGTGCTGTGAGATCTACCAGGAGGATCACAAGTACCCAGTTTTGTTACTACCGAAGCTGGTATCGTGGGTATGAATTTTCAGTTCCAACAGAGTATTTCACAGGTAGCGTGATGGATTGTCTGGTTTTCGGGGTTTATTCTGTCATAGTGTTAACCGGATCGATTTTGGCCACTGAGGGGGGCTGTCGGTTTTGCCTCCCGAAACTGTCAAGTTTGCAGTGTCGATAGTTGAAATTGACCGTTGGCAAATACGCTCTAATGCATGTCTTAACAATATATCTCTATCGAAATCAAATTGTAACCGTGTCATAATTTCTTCCTTAAAATCACAAAATCATTTCTAGCAGCTCTTGAAATTCAACGTGTCTCCATCCTTTCCCTAAACCACAGCTTCTCCTTCATATTCATGTTTGGTTATATCCCCACGTACAACAACCGTATCTATACCGAGGTCAACTATGATGCATGCAGTTGCCGAATAGGGACACAAACATACCGTTTAGGGTGACAGGAAGAAGGAGAAGAAAGAATCTGAGATTAATAGATGTGGAAAACAACCGGGTCGAGAGACTCATTCATGTCGACAATGAAATCCACAATCACCAAAAGGATGAACATGATAAGGATGCTGGCGATGAGTGTCAACACTCCCTTAGTCCAGCCTTTGTCCTTGCGTGCTTCCATCTTGTAGTTCTCTTTGATCCTAAACCATGCTTATTAGTTCCTTCTCGGGTACACTCAAAGACAAAAGGATAAAATACTCTTCATCAGACTCATCACCATCGCTGGAGGAGCTGGAGGAACTATCCTCACAGAAGTTACCCGCAAATGTAGCCTTGATTTCAGCGCGCTTCTGATCTTTGGTGAGTTGTACCTGGGACACTGAACGTCCGCGGCGGACAGTGATGCTTCCCTGTTCAATAGCCTGGAGAAAGCGTTGCTCAGGGGTGTGAGGCTCGACAGTGCGAGGCGCGATTGTGGCAGTGAGACGCCACTCAGGCGGGTCAGCGTTGATGAGTGTGGCGTCACCATTGAGACGGGCGTACAGCCAGGCGATGATGGCGTTCTGGACGGGGTAGTCCTTGCGAACCTATGTCATTGTTAGCAGCTGTGATGAATTATGGCGGTCATGGATCATTGTTTATGATGAAGTGACAAGGGCATAGCGTCTCATAGGGGTAATACAAAGTGAGGAAAGAGCAAGAAGAATTTGTAGAGACGGAACGAAGGGAAGGGGAAGGTGTGGATGGGAAGAAAGGCACTATTACAACAGGGAGCTTCATGGCACAAAAGACGGAGAAGATAAGGGAAACGGAAGCAAGAGGAACAAACCCAATACGGAGGCCATGGACCATCACTTGTAGAGTAGGAGATGAGATAAGCATCATGTTTTTCTCCCACAATCCCGTTCAATTGAACGGTTCTCATATTGGACCTGGCCCCAGTGCCGTAGGTCGCAGCCATTTGTTGACCCCGCGGGTAGGCACGATGGCGCTGAAGCTGTTGGGTAGTAGACATTGTGATTCTACTATATAGTGTTAGCAATAAGAGTTTGGCGTGATACAACGGGGACGTACAAGATAAAAAAAGCCTATTATTGGGTATGGTTGTGTTTAGATTTTTGTGTTGTGTTGGTGGAGAAGAGGTGTTGGTGGGTGGAATAGCTTCTAGTTATAGGGCGTCAGAGGGCAAGAGGTGCCTGTATTGGGAGATAGCTACAGGTTAGATGTTGGTGTATGTCACGTGAGAGCATGCGTTGGGCAATCAGATTGGAAACATTCAGATATAGGGTAGAAAAAAAAGAGAGAAAAAAAGACCCCCGCCATAAAAAAGAAGAAAAATGAATGAAAAATGAAAAAAGAAAGCATTCCATCTAGGCCAATGTCAAGATCATCGAAAGATCATGCTTTGTAAATATCCCCGTCTCATCCGAAAGGTTCTTTGTATTTCGATTGACCGTCACCTCTACTATCTTACATAATATCCTTCACCACATCCGACCTCCAAACGATGGTATCTCTACCCTTCTTAGAGTCTGACTATGGAGAATATTTTGAATAACATAATTATTATGAAAGTTTATTTCTTTCCTGCGATAATCTACGTCCTTGCAGATACCCTTCCTTTGCCAGTTACATCTTCACCATGGGTAGAAAGGCAAATTACGCACAGAGATCTCGAGAACGCAAAACCCACCTGCTGCCAGAGATTTCACTTGTTGCAAATAGAAAGACTGACTTTGGATCATCAAAAAGATGAAACAAAAAGCCGAAAATCTGAAAACCTAGAAGCCCTCCAACCTCAATTTCCATTACTGCACCCTGCGGAAGGAGCTAGATAGGACCTGAGTGCAGTAAGAACAGACTTCAATTCCATTCGGACGCCTAGGATTCGAAAGAAATTCACCGTTAGATACAGTCAACTGGAAAAGTCTTGATTCACTTTTCGCCTACGCTAGCCTTTTTTTAAAAACAAGGTAAAAGCGCGAGTATTTGCGGGGGACCGCATCATACCCTAAAGACTCGTTTAAACCGAATGCTTCACATCTAAGAGGTAATTGAATCAGAATAGTCCATGAAAGAGGTTAAATCGCCTCAAAGTGCTATACCTCATTTGGCACGTTGACCAAAGAAAAAGGAAATAAGTATTTCGCACGGTCTTGGCAGTCTATCGGTAAGCACGACCTTTCTTACCAGTGTCCTTTAAACTATAAAAAAAAGATTCGAGACTTTGGCAGTTGCCTGTAAACCAGCGGTCAAACGGCTTTTTCAAAGGCGAATATTATTGAGCATGCATGCCCGCCTTTCCTATCACAGCATCAGTAATTACTCCCAACTAGCTTTCCCAGTACATGTTACGGTTATGATCAGCCGTGTAGGAAGGAAATGGGGTCGGTTTGTGTATTTATGTGCTACAGAAATCTCACCAGAAGTTGATCCATCAAATATCTCCTGAATAGAATGACCCGGGTAGAGACACGTAACTGTGGAATCCTAGCATGGTGGACGCGCGAGAGGGCGATTGATATCCTCGGCGGTACGCCTTGAGAACAATCAATTGGGTTGTGAGTAGCCCCAGCCTGGAGAATTTGTGGGCTTCCGGGCCGTGAATGGGCATCGCAAAATGCTGCTTACCGGATCTCGACCTTATAAAAAATCGAGAACGAATACATGCTATACTAAGTCTCTGAGATCTAACGTGGACGCTGGGGAGATTCATAGAGTTTCAATAAATCTGACTGCTTAGCGTTCCATGGATAAAGTGATTTCCTTCTTCTCTCTTTCCATCAACCCATGGCTCGTCGAAATAATTCTGGAATTACAACTACAAATTTAGGTGGAGTCTCTCAATATTCGGAAGACATTAGACAGAATTCGAAAAGATGAAGTATGGAGAGTCTACACTTCCTCCCTAGCACGCAAAATGAGAGTTCATAATATCTGGACCACACCCCGATACTACAAGCTCGCCCATGATGTATGCAAAGCCAGGGACTGCGGTATAGCGCGCCTCAAGAGCTTTGAAGTTTGATCGAAGTACCCCCTGAAGAGGGTGGCTGATATAATAGTTCTTTACTTGGCTCATCTTTACTGGTCTTGAGCCCACTCAGTTTCGGAAAGAAGCATGAGAACGTGATAAGAAAATGTTGGAATTCGGAAACTAGAGCTTTGCCTCCCCCACACGTAGTCTATATCCCTCCTTATGTACGGGCTCCCAGGCGTTGTGGCATCCTTTCCTATTTGACCAAATGTTCATTCCACTTGAACAGCAGTTAGAACCGGAGAAGAAAAATTAAAAAATTGCAACAAAGCCATACAAGGTTGACTTCACCCAAGTTCTACACATGTAGAAAGACCGCCCGGCACTCCAGAAAGCATTTCTCCCCTCGTCCCGTCAGTGTCCGAAGAGTGCTCCTGATGTGTTGGCCTCTAGCCAAACCAGGCAGCTACCGGGCAAAGAGGCCGTTTAAATTCCTCATCTTCCAGCCCAAAGCCCCCTATTCATGCAGCGAAGTGTAGGTAACTAGCCTTGTCTGCGGTTATTAGACGTGAAGAAGGAGGAAGGGTCACGATATGAAGTGACAGAAACATGTAGAGAGTAGTGTGGCTAGTGTGTGGCTTGAGGCAAGAGGCAACTGTGTATATAACTAAAGGAGATGTGGCGAGATGACACGAGGTCACGTGTCAGGACACAACTCTTGTAAAAGGGGATAGGAAGCGGGGAACCGGTCTATCTCTTCTAATCATCAGTACACTTTATGATTAAGACTTATACGCACACTTCAAGGAGCTTGTGCGGCTGCGGGAGCTGTCGACCACGGCGCTCTCAACTACAACGCGCGATTTTTTGTCGCATGAATTTGGAAGCTAGCTAACGTTTGTGGGTTATCCGAGAGGGGGAGTATCCGAATAGATGTCCTTTGCGATGAACTGATGCTTCTGCACTGAAGGAGTTAAGTAGGACAGATCATTTTCGCGGAATCGGGGGCGGAATCGGGGGTGGAGTTGAGAAAAGCTAGGGTGACGGGATTTTCTCGCGTGGGAAAAGACACAATATAGTTAGGTGCCTTGCGACTAGAGAGAAAAGCAAGCCCAAAAGGCACAAGGCCAAAGCGGGTTGCAACGCCTGAACCATCACTTTTCCCACTTGCAAGCGGCAATATGTAATGCAAAGTGATATAAAATGAGATTAGAGTGATCTACCCTACCGTGATGACTTGGAATAAATGTTTCTAGAGTTCCTTTACAAAAATATATATTTTTTGGTGAGGGCAAATATTGAATTTCGCCCAACCAAAAGTTGACTGTTGCTGATGCCGGCATGGGTTTATGACTTTTCAATCCATACCAAAACGGACAGATTTGATTTTTTTTCTAGTCATACCCGGGCGTGGGCAATGTATGTGGGCAAGTAAGAGGAATAATACACAGTGTTAGCGGAAATTGCTTCAGTCACAACTGATCACCCGCATCATAGAAACTCACTCGGTGGTTCATCAACCATCACTCGTTTCATGAATTGTCACTTGCATCATGAATTATCACTCGTTTCCAAAGATATCTGCTGCTCTTGCCCTTTCGGGGTGGGAGATTGGTCTCCAGGTTCTGTCCTCCTTGGATTTGAGCTTTCGCATGGGCCTTATTTCGTAGGATTTTATTCCTAGAGCTCTTGTTCATTGTCGGATTTTCTTACTATTTTCTTTTGTTCCTTGAGTGGAACCAGTTCTTGGAACTATATTTTCATATCTTGTCAGAAAACAATTAATACTTCATTCACATCCTTCCGCTACAAAACGTCAATATCGCCCTTTCGCATGAACAATAATCACGATAAGAATAATTCGTCTTACTCGCATGAAACCCGAAGGTTTGTGGCAGGATTATCTACGCCGTATTCAGGAATTTTACCTGGGGAGAACTTCCAAATCCCATCTTGCTCGAGAACCAGACACATCCGTGGGGCTTTTCTTATGCTTTTATTCGTTCTTACATCATAAATTAACCGTTTCACATGCAATGGGCGAGAGTATATTATAGTATGAGCTCTACTTTATTCAAGCGATGGAGTCCGACGCAGGAAATGATCTCAAATATCCTTATTCCCAAAGGAAAATATTCGTCAATGTTCTATTTTCTCATCCTTCCGGCCACGAAAAAATAACAGACAGCACAGAGCACTCCCGGTGAAAGCAAAAGCTGTAGCTACTGTGTTCATCATACGGATGCTCTATTGGCAGTCTTCCGCTCCATACCTATCCTTCTGCGATGATGATTTTATTGTCTTCTGCCGTGGGGTGTACAATGCAGAGCTATGAGAAAAGGGAAAAGAGGACAGGTATAGAGAGGTTATCTGACAAGTACTTTTCTCGATTGCAAGACAGCAGTCCTTCCCGAGTTGTTCCACGATCTACTCCAGGCAACGGGACTTCTTGGTCCAGACTGTCAGATGCTTCTGACAAAATGTGTCACTTACAAGTATTTCTCCATTACTGTGTGATCGCCAGGGGTAGGAGTGGCACTTTGAGCTACAGTCAATCGCGAAAGACCATAGCCCATGTAGCAGAAGCCCTTGGGAAGCAATGGTCGTCCTTGGCCATGGGCTTAGAGTGGGAGTACTGCGCTTGGAGGAGCAGGCTCGCCTTCTTAGATCGGTGTGATAGCAGTAGCGAGATAGGAGGGCAGTTAAGACTGCGAGCCGTACGAGGATCAGTCATGGGAGGATCGATGCCAATGTGATAGGAGGCCTTGCGAGGCATCGCATACGAATGATCGAGCTGAGTGGGGGCAGGCTTTTTAATGGGCGGCCACATATACGGGCCGGACCGGTCCAAATATACGGGCGGTGGGCCGGGCTTGGAGTTTTCTCTGCTGGGCTGGGCCGGTCCAGATGGGTTTTGGGACCGGTCAAGGGGAATAATATATTGGCTAGTTTATGACTGGATTTCTCCACTCATTATGAGGTAAATCCTGAATGCAACAATTTTATAATACCTTTTTTCCTCTTTCGACTTCGATGAATATCATTGGGGGGCCCATATATTTATATTTCCGTCACCGGTCCTCATGGTATATGGGCCAGTCGGTCCGGGCCCAACCTTTGGTGGGCTGGGCCGGGCTGGGCCAAGGTCAAATATGGACCGGTCCAGCCCATTAAAAAGCCTGAGTGGGGGGGTTCGAAATCAGAGAAATGTTGAGTCGCGATAGAGAGGGTTTGTACGGATTCTTCACAGGACAGGTCAGAGAGACAAGGCTAAGCCTGGGTGAGTGATGGCTGATCGTGTAGTAGTTCCTGAGCAATGGCTGCCGGAGAGTTCATGGCAAGTAACAAGGCTATCAGGTGGGGAGATTTGTAATAGTTGAAGCAATTCTTCCTTTTTTCTTTTTGGCGGCCGTCAATTTTGGAGCAGACTACACTGGACAGAGCATGCTATGTACGAATGTAATTTATGACTATATAGGGCGTTGAATTGATTTTACTACGTGGCAAGGATTATGCCTTACAGAATTATTGGAAACATTTTGATGCCCCAGATCTCCCCCCTTCGCTTTGGTCGTCACCCGCGTTTTAAAGATCTGTGCTGGCTCACGAGAGGGAAAATAAAACACACCGCCATGCAGGTATATTCATAAGAATTTGGCTTGGATTGGCGTAACAAGTTGAAAATAAACCTATGAACTACTTCCAACACACTCCCAATGCAATCCCAGACACCATGACATATCTTGACAAAGTCTAAAAAAATTCGGAAAGGTCAGCGACCTGTTCGTCGTTTGTAGAGAGAACGATAGTTGACTTACAGATAGATAGCTAGGTTATAATAAGGAAGACAAATGATGGAGGAGAAGAAAGAAATCTAAGAAAGGTTAACTTAGGTATGGAAAGGGAACGATTTGAGAATGTTGGCAGAAAACTCACAGCACATAATTCAAGTGACATAAGGAAAGAGATGCACAAGGAGTCATGAAATAATATCTCTGTATATAAGACAGGTCAGTTCACCAGTGCGGTTAGATTAAAGCACAACAGAGGCAGCGGAGAACATACGGAACGAGGATGAATTGGGTCGAGATGTCAAATGTATCAATCCAGATGATGGGAGGGGGGGTGCCTTTAAATCATCCGTTAGAAACAATCGTTTAGCTTTCGCCTCAATAGTTGTGAAAAAAAGTTACTGTGTTTTTATTGAATGACCTCTCTACAAGTTCCTCCCAGTGTCAGAGATCTGGGGGCTTAGAAGCTCGGATACCCTCTCACGGATTTGCTCGATCTTGTCGGCCGCCACATCGATGCACTCGTCGTAGACCTGGACCATTCTCTCAATCTTTGGAAGTACACGCAACAAGTCGTCGGTGGTGTTCAACTGCATCTCTTCAGTACGATTTGGAAAGAGACGGTCGATGAGGTTGAATAGGCGCGGAGCTGAGGTAACCTGACCCTGCTCGATAGATGCGGACAACTCCTGGAAAATGTAGTTTCTTTCAGCGGCATTGGAATTCTTTCTGCGGCGGAGGTGGTTAACTTGGATTCCGAGATCAGTGATTTCTGCGATCTTGGACGCGACGGAGGGTTCTGCGGCGGGTGAGGTTTTGGGAGACATGGTTGTTGATTTTTTGGTGATCCTTGTTTAATCGGGGATGGATGGTATCGAAGAGAGGTAGGAGAGACAGATATAAATATAAGTACGGAAGGTGAAATTTTGGAAAAAGCGCTGCATGGGTGGAAATTGAACTTTGAGGTGTGTGCTCTATAGTATCTAGTAGGCTGGGAGTGGTACCTTGGGGGTAAGGAGAGAGTATTTCAACAGTCACTGACAGATGTGATTACTCGGTTCAACAGCCAGCATTTAGCTATATACATTCGACTATTATAGCATTTGTGGTAAGGTAGCGCATGGACTAACCAAAAACAGGACAGGTACATCTGCGATCTGGCCGGTGCTAAAGGTCTGGGCGGTACCTCAAACTGCGTTGGAAGTACAACGGTCTGTTAGGACAGGCTACTGCTACATATGGGGCGTGCTACTAACACATGTAAGCCAGATTACTTGACACTCTTGCCTTTACGATTGCGAGGCCCAACCATTTCTCCACCGCGTCTTTAATCCAAACTTCAAAATCTTTTCATTTACCACGAAACAAACCTTTTACTCATCACACCTCGGGGTTCATATTCTACAGCACATCGACTATATCACCACACTACCATCTCCCTCATCACGGCGAAATACCTCGTTTTCAGTCACTAACCTCGATCCCGGCAAAGCATGGACAAAACCCTAGGGTACAATTTCGAAATGGTAAACTACCATTAATGCGAGGTGACCTATGTTACCCGCGTTTGGGGATGAAATTGGCAAACAATTGTAGATCTAATTGGATGAACAATCCTACCATCATGGTATAAATTACAGATATGTTAACACTCCATCAAAACAAAATACTGGAGGGATAAACCGGGGTTAAATCTACATCATTTCGAACATATACTATAAGCTGTACCATTTAGGCCATGAGGGAAGATACCAGTTCTCTGTTTCATCGGCCTATCAATTAGGATAGTGGGAGGAAAAGATAATTTACCCTTTCCCTCAGATTACTTTCAACGTCCGCTAAGTCCTAAAGTAGAAGGCTGAACCTTGTTTAGTCTAAGACCGATAAAAAAACCAAATAGGGAAAGAGTAACCTGTATCTCTCATAGTTCCGGTAAATTACCACTAAAGAGCAAAAGAGTACGACTTTACCTTTCCGGGCCGATTACTACACTCCCGAATCGGATGAATTAGGCACCTTACACTAGAAAGATTGTACCGTAGGGAAAACTCTCACAGTACACCTAGCTGATATTCGAATCGAATAACAACAACACCAAAAGACTTACTGTACACTGTAAGTCAGATCTCACGCAACATACATGATATGATCATGATCATTTAAGTACCTATACCGTTGACCCTAACCCTGGCGAGAGGCCAAATCGGAAGTCGACAATCATTACTTCTGATCTCCCCGGGCGCTGTTCTTGCACCATGGTACTACCGATGTCCATGAAAAGCATCTTAATCCGGAGGCCTGGATCACCGGCCTCACAGATATTGCCCCAACATTGCTCGATGCGCGGCATCAGGGCTCTCTGTATGCTCTACCGCCATCAGGACACACACTTGGGATGGAACGTGTGGCGACAATCCCGAACCACTCTTGACCAATCTGTAGAGCGGATGCTGACTTAGGCGGAGGTTGAAGCGCAGAACCTGATCGTATTTAACTCTTTTCGGCATAGCTGTGACTAGACTAAATAAGAATCCAATCAACAAAGTACGGGAAATCGGACACTAGGAGGCTTGAATGGTGGGGAGGAGAATTGGGAGAATCACGAGGAAGAGTCGAGATTCATGCTTGAAGCCGGAGGGTCAATGAGATTATGAAGACGGATTGTTGAAGGGATAAGTGGGGAGGAGGATAGGATCTGGTGCAATTAGGGCAGAGCGTTGGGTGATCATTAATTGAAGGTTCTCGGGGGTATATTACAACTTTCAACCGTCGTGATCCTATGTGTTCGCTTCATTCGGAGATATTAGAGGAGTAAGGTTATCTTATGTCATGACTTCTGTACCGCTTCTCTAGGATATTTCTGACATCTATGATACATATCGGTGGATAGATGCTCCCTGTATACAGGAATTATGCAGGTTGGTCAGCTGGATCGAACCTGACTGGACAAATATGTTTATCGTGATTTTTCTGTTTTCTGTTGCATTACTAGATCCATAGACATGTGAAACTCACTGCCTATTCGAAATCGAAACCTTCCTGATTACGCGTCTCCGAGCTGATCGTATTCAATGATAGCTCCATACCAGCCCGATGATATAGGACCACGGATCAAATGAAAGCAGGGGGACATGCTTCAGTATTTCTCATGCATATGCGTCATGAATTCAAAGAAAGAAAGCTGTCTTCTAAACTGAAAAGGCGGGGAACCCTGTGCGGGCGCGTCGGGGGGGTGGTATGCGAGTCGTTCGCTGGCCAGTATGAGCGGGCGAGAAACATCATAGTTCATGTACGGGGGCGATGAGGAAGGACCCGACTTTAGTGTCCTCAACAGTGCTGTAGGAGTTCTCATTAGAGAATGAGGTTGTCCGTGTTCTGGCGATGCTTGAGAATAGGACCTTCGGAAAAAGACTGACTATGGTAAGTACTAAGTGTGTCCTGAATCTCGTGCACGTATAAACACTGCCCTTTTTTTTTTACGATTCTTTTTAGTTCTACCGCCTGAGCTTATCGCTACCGACTATTGCCCGCGTGACCCTTAGCCATCGTCCTGAGAAATTGCACCTGCGACTATTGATAATATCTATGCGGGACGGGGTGCTCATTGTAAATTAAAATTGAGTAACGGCGCAGTCTTATAAATATAAACCTTCCCCACCTCCCCCTGGCAAACCACCATCCCCAGCTCACAACACAAAACCCGAGAATATTTAGAGGCTTGAATAATCAAACGACTTTCCATATCTTCATCCTTTCTCGTATTTCTTAAACACACAAACACGAACCCCTCAAACTCTTCGAAACTTTGGGCGGTCAAAACCTCTCTTCATGCAAAACCAAAACACACAGAGAACGTCTTTCCTCCTGATGGGTCGTGTCTTTCGCCATCCCTACCACTTCCGCATGTGGATTCGTTATCGCACCATCGAACGCTTCATGGCGCACATGCCTCGCAACCGTGGCGATCTCTGGATGGCCGATAACTGTGCTCTTGTCATTATCCGCCTCGACGCTCTCATGATCCACCTCAAAGCCAAGATCGCTTGCTGTAAGCAGGAACTCAAGTCCGGGAGGTGTGGACCTCCGCATGGTTTTCTGCGCGGGTTTAACATTCAGGAAATCATCCTCCGTTCTAAAATGGAACTGGACGGGCACCGCCATTTGAAATACCATCTCTTCTATCAGCAAATGATGATGCAACTCGTAAGTCATGATCTTGTCCTTTTTTCTTTCACCTGTAATGCAATAACTAACAGCCCCGTTCAGTCGACGGCTGAATATGAAGCCCTTCCAGAGTACCCACTTAGCGATGACTCAGAGAGCGACAACGAGGAGGACAATGATAGGGAGACGGAGGATGATGAAATGGTTGGGGCGGACAATGAGAACGAAGAGGGAAATGATGAAGAGCAGAGTGATGATGAGGAGATGGATGACGCTGAAATAGATGAGGAGGAAAATGATAGTGAACAGAGTTATCATGAGGAGATTGATAACGATGATAGTGGTGATTACGAGCCGATGGATGAGGACGAAAGTGATGAAGAGGAGTAGCCATGCTACTCTCTCCAATGATCGTCCATCGCTAAACAACCAAACACATCACGTACCAGCAGCATTTTCGACTGAAGCTTTAGAAGACTGGTGGGGAAGCCTGACGTTATGGGTGGTGGGGGAGTCATTATGAAAGCATATCGTGGAGAGATTTCTCATTTCTTTTGTGTCTTTCTGTGGGGTCTACTGTTGAAATCCGCTTGTGTCATTCATGGGGTCTTCGGTAGTTTAAGGTTTAAAAGTCTTTGTTTTAAGAAATCACGAAGTTTATGAGAGCTTCTACTGGTCCATGTGAGTTTAAACGTGATAAAAATCGACACGTTATCTTTGCCAATACTGCGCCAGATGTTGTTGAATTAGATGTCGTGAAAACATTTCCTAAGAAGAAACTGAATCGTCAAAAGTACGTAATGTCTAGCAGAAACATTCTGATTTTTGTAGCTACGTATATGTAAAATCATAAAGCTCTATACAACAGAAATTCTCCGAGGTTTTATTGTGGCAGACCAAACGCGATGGCCAGAAAAAGGTCCATAAAAAATTACATATAAAAAAAGAAGGATCGAAAACAATATAATATCGAGAATGACTGGCAGAGTTACTTAGAATAAGTGCATTGCGAAAGGTTGAAAAGATTTATATAGAAAAACAGAAAGTAATTTTAACAATGCACGAATCACAGGTCCGGAACACTCGACCTTCTGGGAAACAAGAAAATTAAGGCGAAAAATAGGCTACGAAAGAAACTGAGCCTCAAATAATGACAGAGGAGGCAGCTCGGGAGTGTGTTTTCGATTGCCGTACACTGACCAGTGATAGTATAAGTGGATTACTATCAATATCTCGTAACTGTGAAAAGCTTAGTTGAAGCGCCAATGAAATTATGCGGTTTGATGTATAGTTGTAGGCCAGCCGTGACGGTCAGGGGCGGCGTCGCAACGGCTTCGACCCGCCCGAACCATCACCCGCGCCATCACGACTACCACCACAGCAACCCCAATTGATCCCTTGGAGAGCCGGTTTTTTTTATAGTTGTTAAATAGTAGATAAATAAAAATAATTTGACATTTAATATCTTGTGTACCAACCCTTTGCCTTTATAACAGCCTCAATTCTCCTAGGCATACTTTCAACCAGCCTACCAAATAACTCATCAGGTAACAGTTCCCAGCAATGAATAAGAGCTTCCTCCATGAGGGGCTTAATTACTTGAGGTGATCTAGTATCATATACTAAATGGGGGTAATGCTGATGGTAGAGTCTCTTGAGGTGTACCCAAACATGCTCAATGAGGTTCAAATCAGGTGAATAGGCAGGCCAGTCCTCAAGAACTTCAACCCCATGCTGCTCCAACCATTGAGTTGTAAGGTCGGCGGTATGTACCCTAGCATTGTCATGCATGAAGATTGGTCTGATACCCTTCTCCTGTAGCTCTGCCAAAAAATCCAGGAGACAGAACTCAAGAGTCCTGACATATGCCTCTGCATTTGTCCTCCCCCCTTCACCCACCATAACCCCATTACAGGTCCCCTTCAATTCCCCGGCAAAGCATGCCTACATCATCTTTGACACCCCTCCTGACTTCCTAACACCTTTAACACACTCGGGAAGCCATTTTTCCTTTGCAGTTCTGAATGCCCAAGAGACATATGGATCTGCATATTTCTCAACACTGCACTCATCACTCCACACCACCCTCCTCCACCTTCTGATATCCCAATGTCTGTATGCAATGCACCACCGTAGCCTTCTTCTTGCATCATATGGGGTCAGCTTGGGTCTCTCAGCCATGATGTGCTTGTGGACACCAAATGTAGCTAGCCTCCTCTTGATTGTGCTAGCTGAAATTTGCACTGCGAATTCCTGGCGGAGTTGCTCATATGTGATTGTCCTCTCACGTCTACTGCAGATGAGAAGCTGTCTATCATCTCTAACAGTAGTGATTTTGGGTCTCTCATGCCTGGGTGTGGATTTAACCTGACCAGTCTTCTCATACCTTGCCATGGCATTGGCAAGGGTTGACTTGGGCAGTTTGAGGATTTTGGTAATTGTGGAATAGGGGGCCCCAAGACGCTTCATTCCAATTCCCTGCCATAGCACCCCCTCTGGCCACTCCCTCCTAGCTGTTTTGCGGGGTTTGTCCGGCATTGGTTGTCTTGTCGCGCGATGTTCTCGCGCGACGTTGCGCGACGTCGTTGCCCTGGGTTGGTTGCATCGCGCGCGCCTGACCATCACGACTGGCAATGCGCTGTACATCGGTGGTTTCTACAATATCACTATCGATTCCCGCATCTCATGCTAGCTAGCATAATGCTAGTCTATATGCGTAATGTCACTAACTCCCATCAGAAATCATTTCTCGTTGCCTGCAAAGTCCTTCTAAATTTCCGTGCCATCCGTTTTGAAAACGACAGTAATTTCTGAAGTGTTGAATTTTTCAGCGTAGCGGCTCTAGTCCAACCAGCGGAGTTGTCTATCTGGTGAGATCTCCAGTCGGCGCCGTCCAACTGGCTGGGATTTCCCGATGGCCCGCTATTTTGTGACTCCCTGGATCGCTAGTCAGCTAGGTGAGATAAGTAAAATTATGTCCGTTCAGTGAGGTAGTTGGTCTATCACGGGTGAATCCAGTAAGGATACGGTATTTTTACGCATGATAGTTAGGATTTCAATTTATTTCGGAAGTTTTACATAGTTCTGTATTGTTACAGTACCTATTATATTTTTTTATGCTATTGTACCAGGCTTTGCAGTCTCTAAGTAAAACTACGCCGGTTTCGGCCTTTCAACTGTTTGGTTTAACTATTCAGTACAGCTAATATAGAGGTAAAGGAAGGGATTACAGATCACCGATGGAGTCTATTCCTCATATTAATCAAGGACTTTGACTATACATGAACATCTCGCTGAATGGTACCTATCTCACCCAGCTGACTAGCGCTCCAGGGAGTCACAAAATAGCGGCCCATTGGGAAATCTCGGCCAGTTAGACGGCGCCAACTAGAGATCTCGGCGGATAGACAACTTCGCTGGTTGGACTATATAGACGCACATTCCTCCTTGCGCCTGTAGCGGCGATGGCAGCGGTGATGGCAACGACATTGCATTGTGACACGAGGCGCTTAAACATACAAGGATAAGCTCGTGTGTTGTGAAAACAAGCTTTGGACGATCCGCTGAAGGACTTGGCGGTAACTGCATATGCGAGGTCGATCCTTTCCTTTTGAAGCAGGATCTCTCAGCGAGCCTATGTCGGACGAAAGAGTGGCCTATTTATCTTAGTCCGTATGTTTATTAGTTTAATTCATAACAAGTACCTAAAGAGCTGACGATGTTGAAGCAGTACTTGTAGTGAGATTGGATGCGTACTGTGAATGAGAAAAGATACTCTAACCTAGTGTTTTCTTCTCAATTAACATGATAGCTCTCGAGGTAGAAAGTTGTCCCAACAAATCGAAGGCTTCCACAACTGAGTATCCTAACTTCTAGACAATGCCTACGATTCCTCATTGACAAGTTCCGTCCTGTAGAAATATTCTCCTAGTGTTAGTAGAGTATCGATCCGTGAGATGAGTTTGTGAGCGCGAGCTATCCCCAGCGCAGCAAAATGAGAGATTTTGACTGAGAATCGTACATACCATGAAATCGCCGGTTTATATTTATCCTGTCTCCTTGCACAAGCGGAAGCGATGGAAACTATCACGCATGGAATGCGCATTATCATCATGCCATTATAGTCATTCGCCGACGAGTTCTTTGGCCGGGTTGAACCTTCGTCGCAGCTCCTTCCCTGTCAGTCCGATGTCCTGAATCTCCTATAGCACTGATGTTTATCGCGTGAATGTCTTGATCATAAACTTAGCCAGTGCAAGTAAAATAAGGTTTCGAGTTTTGGCCTTGAAAGTCCTGGTGTGTTTGAACGGGGGGCGACCGGTCCGAAAGTTTTCATTCGCGTGTGAAGCAGAGTGCTGTGCAGGGCGTTGTGAGGAAGTTAGATCCTGATCTCCAGATTTGACGACGCGACGATGTAACAAAACTTACCCAAAATCACCCCCCACCGGGTGCTCAGCCTAGAAGATCGCTTTAAAGCTCACCTGGTATCTATTCGTTGGCCTCAACTCCTTCTCTGGGTTTAAACGGAAGCGCGCGAAGCTTTTGTCGGGCGAATAGGTAAAAAGAATCACATAATCACAATGAGACCGACAGCGGTGCATTCACAATCATTATTAAAACTTCCTTCTATACCCTGATCACCTCCTTCACTTAACTCTATTCATTGGAAATTGTTGCGCTGGTTGAAGATGATGTCGCAGATATTTTCACTCTCACTTGGCATCGCTGCCATGGGTGATAGTTCCAATCCGCCACATATGGGCGAAAACGATTTTACAGATTAAGTCCATTTCACCCAACCGAAGCTTATAACATGGGACAGATTGGTGACGCCTTGCTGTTTAGGTGTCATCGGCCTTGCGATCGTCATCATTAACCATCACTATAGTGCTTAGTCATTACCCGGCCTGCTCATCCTAGCTCAAACCTTGATTGCGGCAAGCCGCATGGATTGATTCATTGATTACTTCATACGGCAAGCCGCATGAAATTGAGAGGGGGAAACCTTTCTATGAAGTTCGCTGCTATGCCACAGAACTAAGGTGCAAAACCTTTTTTGGCTTCCACAACGCGGATTTCAATTTTTTTTTTTTATCTTTTTTTTACACACAGCAAATCGAAGTGACGCGCGATATGTGTACAGCTACTCTTCGGTTTTGACACGTATACTATTCAGTTTCTTCGATCTCTTTACCTAATTATTTTTTAAGCCGAGTAGCTCTTTCGATCTAATATTCTGGTACAGTCAGGAGGCCCGTAATTGTATTTCCTACTGCAATGAATCGTACGAAAGTCGGGCATCCATCAAAATTGAACAACGATCAAAATGACGTTCCAGAACAGCTATGAAAGAAGCAGAAAGTGTGACGGAGTGAAATGAGACAGTTGATTCGCGATAGTGCTACCTATGGTCATGTAGGATAATCCGGTGGTTGGAAGAAGTGAGGAAAGGTTTTCACCATGGTCGGGGTGGTAAAGCGCAGGTCAAGGGCTAGAGAAAGAAATATTCTCCGTATTTTAACTCACTAAATTCATAATTCAAGGAAAGAATGGAATGAAAAGAATTTTTTGATCCTCGTGATCGCATCGAGATTTAGGGATGACTTCGGGACATTAACACTTGCACGAATAAACAGATCACACGAATCGAACGAATGCTGTTAAAAATTTAATTCCATACCCAGAAAACAAATGTGACAATGAAATAAAATGATAACCATCACGACTGTCCAAGAAGCATAGTTTGACCCCATAGGCTCCTCCGCGTTATCTATTCCCAAATCCAATGACTGCACGTTTTAAAACGGTACACTCCACCATAATTCCCTATCAATCGAGAAATGCAGCAGGAAGATATTTGAACGATATGACAAACTCACTGAGGCGAACTAGTTAGTATGATGTTTTCAGTGGGGGTATACGTAGGGATAGTGACGGCGACATACATGGGTAAAGAAAGTGGAAGATAGTGAAGCATGATGTGATATTTCTGACCCATGAGTACCAAATGAAAACTCTAACTCTGCCACGAGAAAAGTCAGTACTGAATCGAAGAAAGGAAAGGAGTAAGAAGGAGGAGAAGAAGAAGAAGAAGATGAAGAAGAAGAAGAACTTACAAGAAAACAAATCTCAAAGAATGATCGCAACTATTTTATGAGGGAGACTTCTGACACATAAGTAGCGAGTAAAAGCCCTAGCTCTGCAGGGGAAAGAAATGTTAGTATTTAATCCGAAAGAGAGATGTAAGTATAAGAGGAGGAAGAGGAAGAGGAAGGAGAGGAAGAGGAGGAAGAACCCACATAGAAACAGATCTTAAAGAATGATCGCAACGAACCTATGAAAGGAGATCTAGATCCAAAGAACAGGCTCAAGAAATTCATGGCCATTCTCATCCACGTTTCCTAGAAAGGATAATTAGCAAAGAAATTCACAGATGTAGGCCAGGGTCCCAATATAGGTGAACTAACCGTAAACTACTTCAGTAGAGACCCTAAGATGCTCCCCGGGCATATGAACCGGGGCCAGCGGCGCTAAATCAACAACCCTATATCTGAGGTCCCTGTTTGAACGGTTCTCAAGCCTCAGCGAGTCGACGACCGCATCCGCGATGCTCGGAAGTTGCGCGTTGAACACCTCTTGAACTGCTGGTCTAGCTTCACCAGTAAGCCAACGAAGGCGGACAGTGTTAAGAGTATGGAGCGGAATTGTTGGGGTAACGGCTTCGACATTCGTAATGCAGGTGTCGGTGGTCATGAACTCATTCAAATTCCCTGAAACACACGATTGAATTAGTGAGGCCACCAAAACGAAATCATAACTAGGAAGGGAGAAAAACGGACCATGACCGGGCACATGAACTGGTGCCGGCGGAGCCAAATCGATCTCTCTAAACCTTTGATCATAACCCATGAAGTTCTCAAGCCTCAACGAGTCGACGAGGGCGTTCGCAATGTCCTCTCTAGTAAGCTGCACCCTGGAGACCGAGGCTGGAAGCACAGTATCCAACACTTCCTCAACCGTCGGTCCTGATGTCATCGCAACAGGCCGAAGACGCATATTGCCATGAACCGTGATAGAAGCAGCGGTTTGAACATTGGTAATGGGACGCTCAGTGATCATTGTCGAAATGGGAGTTTTAAGAGAGTTACGACGAGTCTTGGTTGAGAACTTGCGAACAACCTTAGCAACGACGGCGTGGCACTGACGCTTGATGTAGCGGATGAAGCGTTCGAAGAAAGAAACCTCAGGCTGATTCCTGTTGGGGTTGTGCCAGTAGTCCTCAGGGGAGATGGCAGAATCAGGGCTGACGGAGAGCTCGGGATATTCGAGGTCGTCTGGATCAGTCTCACCAGAGCGGGAGAGAGAGAGGCTTTCAGGAAGAGTGGAGGAGGCAGATGTCTGTTGGGCGTCGTGAGCGGCATCGAGATCATCGTCGGTGGAGAACCCCATGGAGGATGGAGATGTCTGTTGGGAGTAGTGAGCGGCCTCGAGATCATCGTTGGTGGAGAAGCCAGTGGAGTTGATTGCTTGGAGGCCTGCTGCATAGGAGGGACCATTCATTCTCAGCGTTGCATGGAATGAAGCAGATATCCTGTGCGATTCGTTGGCTTGTGAAAACATCTTTGAGTTAAAAGGAATTTACTGAACGGGTTGGGGATTTTTGGTTGTTATTCCCGTTGTGAATTCTTTGGTTTCTGTGAGATGTGTAGGTGTGTTGGTTGAGACGACCCAGAGATATAGGGTAGGAAGATAAGTTGAAAGTGTGCTTTGTTTGGAAGAAAGTCCCGCGCATGCTCAGTGGATCACATGTGGAGTTGTGTAAACCTGCCTTTGCGAGTAGTAACGGGTAGTATTCTTCTTCTTTCTCGACCGCCGTATGCACCACGACAGAAGGCCTTTCTCATCGTAATCTGTTATACCAGCCTATTTCAATCTTTACATTTCCCACTAACCTCTCGTCTCACACCGCGCTTTTTATCACGATTCACAGAAGACGCTGCTCTTTCGCGGCTTCGCTGAAAAGCGCGCGGCCAGAGCTATGAAGTCATCCACCCCATCATCTCATAGGGGACGCTCACGCTTCCCCGCCTGCTGCCTCCTCTCTAAATATCTGTCTCCATTGTCACCATCCCTAGTCTTGAATCGGTACCCCTCGCGGCCTCGTCCCTGCTTTGAGAAAGATCGTGAGGTACAAGAAGGTTTGGAATTGACTCCTCCCCTACTCCATCGCAGGTACATCCCCACCGATCGCACGGCTACCATCAATCCGTCTCTCCTTCGGCGACAGATCATCGCCATAACTTATCCCTCCCCGCTGAGACTGTCTTGAGCTCCTGAGCTTCCTTGCTTAAGATCTAGGGCTAGCCCTAACCCCCTGTCAGTGAGGCATAGTGAATCATTTCTCCGTAAGATTTACAGACCGCAATTCCACTCCGGCCGCGTGTGGAGTGGAATGTGGCTGAATCACCCTATCTACGCTCTTCGCATCCCCAAACCTCAATCTCAAAAGATACTTCGCTGGGTAGATTGAATCATGGCTCATCACTCACGATGGGGGTTAGGGTTAGGTCTCCCTCTGTATGCGGGATAGACACTGGCTCAGTTTATCCTCAAGCCCGGGGTGGAAGATATAGTGAAAATCCTGACAAGACGCGAAACGGCGGGAGTGAAATTAGGTTCTCCAAAGATATGTCACTCTCAGAGCGCAAAGGACGATGACCACACTAACATAGGCGCTCAAAAACCTCGTATGGGACCAATAAGGGTACCCAAGCGGCGGGCACTAAACCCTCTTTCTTTTATTACCATACCGTCTCCCCAGTAATATTTAACGCGCCTTGAGCAGTGGTTGGTGGTTGATCCTTTTCGTACTCGTTGAATGCCTCGTTTCGTGATGGAGATTAGGAAATCAACGATAGAGAATTCGCAGGATCATTTTTGTAGAGTAAAAAAGAAATAGAAATCAATATCAATGTCTGTTACGTATCTAGACCCTGGATTGCGACCTCAACTTTCTCTCTGGTACTCAGATTGCGCCCATCTTTCCTCTGCCTCTTTAGACCGTCCATTCTCGCGATGTACTCGTTTTTCTGTCTCGGCCTTTTATCTCCGCCTAACTATGTGAACAATCACGCAAAGCAGTTTTCGTCTCTGCTCCTCCGCTCCATATGGCGTCGCTGTGTCTAGAACATCGCTTCCTCTCTACCGCGGTTTCCCTCATACCTCTTACATCGTACGCTGCTCTCGTCCTCGTCTACGACCCCGTTTCCAGCAGTCGGCCATGGAACCTCATGGCAGGTTCCCTCTCACATGTCCACGCGTTGGAATGGTCTAGTCTCCCAATCGCATCCCCATGATGGCTACCTTGTCGCGGTTAAGCCCGGGTTGCAATTTTGGTATTTAAACAAGTCGCGGAAACGGGGCTTGGCTTCATTCTCTGTGACTGGCAATATGCGCAATAGCCAGTAGAAATCCATGGACATGAGCCCCCCCGCCTAAGGGACGGTTCTGATTGGGAGGGACATCTTAGGCAGCCGCTTTAGAAGCCCATAGATCGTAAAAGGAGCTGTCATGGAAAATTTGGAACCTGTTAGACGCAGCGGCTGCTAAAAAACGCCAAGGTACGACATCCAGAGTCGGTGAATGAGATCCCTTCATCGATCACATAAAAGCCTTCCACCTCGCGATCTTCTCTTCCTGAATTATCCTCCCATTGTCTTCTCCAGCACGTTCACAACCTTGACTGAAAGAAAGTTGGTTAAACAATTATCGTGTATCTGTTTCTTGACAGAGCATCAACCATCCTCCAGTCTAGTTTGATAAACGTCTTCGCTGTTCTCTCTATCTTGTAAGATTAGCGGTTTATTCCTCTTTTTCCTGTCGATCACGATCATCCTCACCTTTTTTTTTCAACCACCACCACTTCTTTCTCTATCCCCTCTATTATACTCTCTTATTCAAAGTTATCCTATTTCTCTATTGTTACCATAGCCAAAATGGTTTACACTAGACCTAAACCTAAACCCATCCCGCGTGTCACCCGTGCCGGTGCTCGCAAAGCCGCTGAAGAAGAAGCTAGAGCCGCTGCCCAAGAAGAAGAGTGTGAAGAGGAGTCCGAAGAGGAGTCCGACGAGGAACAGTCATCAGTTTCAATCTCCGATGTAGGTGAAGATGACGAGGGTTCTGTCGACCAAGATGGTATGCATGATGTCATCTACGTTGGGGGCCGCTCTACAAGCCCGGTCTATGTTTCCTCAGATGATGAAGATGAAATCGAGACTGTGTCAAGCGTTCAAAAGGAGGTTGAAATTCCTGAGTTCTCAGATTGTAAGTTACACTCTTCCATCCGCTGCAATTTTTTCTCCTGCTTTTTCTTGTTCCTCCTCCACGATACTAATTATTTTCCCCTCTTGTGTACAGTGCAAGAACAACTCCATCGTTCATCAGATGTCCAAGAAACCGAGAGTGTGTCGATGGTTGAAGAAGTTGAACGTTTTGACCATTTCAGCTGTGAGTTACACTCTTCCATCCACTGCAATTGTTTCTCCTCCTTTTTCTTGTTCCTCCTCCATGATACTAATTATGTTCCCCTCTTGTGCACAGTGCTAGAAACACGGATCTGTTCGTCGCATGTTCAAGAAGAGACCCATGGTGTGTCGAGTGTTGGGGAGTGGGTTAAAGCTCTCGAGATTGAGAGTAAGTTACATTTTTCCATCCGCTGCCGTTTCTTCTCCTTCTTTTTCTTGTACCCTGCCCAGGATACTAATTATGATTCCCTCTTCTGTACAGTTCAAGAACAATTCCCTCATGAGATCCCAGAGCAGCAACTGAGCTTTGCACCCGTTGCTCCTCAGCCGCAGCCACGTCGTGAAGTTACTCCAGAGGAAGAGGATATGCTCCATCTTCCTGTTAACTTCACTGGTGCCAAGTTGCGTTCGCGTGAAGAAGTTGAGGCGAGCCTTCTCGACCATGGTGTCGGTTGGGAGTTTAGTAGTGGTAGTGACATGATCGATGCTGCCGATGATGTGCATAGCGAAGGGGATGAGTTGTCTGCTATTGTTGCTTATCATGCCGGACTGGATGGTGATTTCAACATGTTTGAGAGTGGAATGGATGGTGATGTGGGTATTGGTGATGATGGGATGAATGATTGTGCAGATATCGTTAGCGATACCGGGATAGATGATGGTACGGAGGTGCCTGGAAGTATTCGGGGTGATGGGGCAGCGTCAGGCTTGGATCTACATGACTATAGTTTCCTTCTCGACGCTGCTTCTGAGGTGATCCCTGGTTATCCTCACACAGCCGAAGAGTCTTCCAACCAGATCTTCGGTCCGACAGTTGTCGAGGGACATGGTAATGCTTATGTTGATCCATTTACCTTCGACTTCTCAAATATGGTGGCTCCTTTTGGTCACGAAGAAAGTGAGTATCCCCTTTACCTCTCTGAAGTGTTCTCTTTTCGTGCCTCAATTGATCCTAACATTCCCTCTTCTGAAACAGATACCCAGCCGTCCAATGCCTATTCCTGGACGGACTTCAATGAACCTCAAGCGTTGGACACTTCTGGAGAGCACAATTCTCATATGTCACCTCCCAACATTGCGACCACCTGGGCTTTTAGCTCATCGCTTGTTGACCCCGCGCTTGACGCACCTCCAGACGACCCAGTGGCGATCGAAACACAATCAACGGAGCTGTCTCAGAACACTCTAGCCGATGTCACTGGTGATGAACTCCAGCCCGCACGCGCGTCAACTCGTAGGACTACCACCCCCTCTACTCGCAAGACCCGCGCGCGCAAGCCCCGCAAACCTAAGGCTATCGCAGCCTCCAAGCAACAACGTGTCGAATCAGTACCAGAGATCGTGGGACATGAGGCATTGTCTCCCTCACATCCTGACTATACAACTTTCACTGCGATACAGACATTTCTTGGACAGCAGGAAGGAGGGGACTCGACTGACGTTCAGATGTCGGGTCTTTCGGACAACACATTTTCAGTCGTTGTTCCGGCACTCCCAACTGTTGTGGCTGGAGCTTCATCATCGTCGACAACCACCGCAACCGTTAATAACAAGAAACGTGTTCGCACCAAAACATACGTCCGTGCTCCGAGAACCAAGGCAGCAAAGGCTCACAGGCATACTGTACTCCTTACAGCCAACGAAGAACTGGACGAATGCCTTGCCGATGCTCAGAGACGAGCAGCGATTGATCCTTGCACCATCCCACCGACCGACGGTCCTGTCGAGTTCAGACAGGGCCCGGTTATCCAAGATATTTCGGGGAGCCGCTCAGAAGGTACCATTCTCGTCACCTGGGCCAATAAGGGTGACATGCCTGTCCACATCGAATTAGCATATCTCGAACGTGTCAAAGCGATCAGCAAAAACACGAATGGTGCATCGGGTGCCCGCAAAGCTCGGGTCGATGGAACCATGCTGAACATTCACAACCTTCCAGAGTTGCCGCGGTGGATCTGCAGTGTGTGCGATGCGGAGTTTCCGACTCACTGGAAAAAGAAACTCCACTCCAAGACCCATCCCGAAGCGCATTCTAAGTGCGAGCATTGCGGAAAGAACTACTCCAGACAACACACCCTCCTCAGGCATCTTAATGTTTCGCATCCTCACGCGATCAAGTTCAGATGTGCGTGCCTCAAGGTTTTTAGTAAAGGCAAGGCCTTGATTAAACACCAGAAAAAGTGCGATATCCACATCGCATCGATTAATTCCAACCACACCAATTCGGAGGTCGAGCAAACTGGAGAGAGCAGTGCGAGTCAAGAGCGTACCAACAACGACGAAGACGTGGTGATGGGCAACACTGGCGAGAACGAAGGTCAGGGAATGGTGGATCGTGGTGAAGATGAGGAGGGGTGGGCGGAGAACGGATCGGTTTACAAGGGCAAGCAGGTTTACCGTTATTGATCTGGCGGAGATGGTATGGGGGAGTACTTCTTGACGTATAGATTCTGTAACGGTTTTACGATGGCATCTGTTGTTGTACTCATGAGACAACAGAGCAAAGTGTTGTGTTGTTCAAATATAAGAATCACCACTCAATTAGTATTTTCCGTGATGCTGTACTTGTAACTTGAACTGTGAAATGAATGCCAGCGAATCGTAGACCTCGACGTATCGTATTAGGTTACCGCCAGCTGACTGTGGATCGGTAAGTAAACGTAAGTTCGTCGAAAGGTCATAACCCGTGGGCTGAAAATAATAAAGGATTTACCAATAATTTAAGAATAATTGCCATCAGGTTGTAGCATTAGGCGTTGCGTATTAATTGACAAAGCTGTGTAACCATCGGTTAGATTGTAATTGGTCGTGGTGCATGTTTGATGATTAATCAGCGGTCTATATAACCCATGTTATAGTAATATTCTGTACTACATACCTCCAATCATGGATGAGGTGGTGAAGGTGGTACAAAACATGTTAGCATACTACACATAAATGTGCCATCGGCAGTGAGCACAAGCGCCGCTATCCGTGGATTGCTTTATATAACATCTCCATTGTCAAGACTCTTACCCGACCAATGTCGTTGGGGATCGAAGTAGTTGAACTTCGGAATTTTTGAAATTTTTCTTACCTCTCCAAAGTATCAGATACCTCTAATCATTTATTCACTCATGATTCTTTTGGTCTGTGAAAAGAAATCTTTTTTCCACGCGGGTTTGGCCAATAACCGGGAGTACAGAATTGCAGTTTCTGCAAAATACTCTTTATCTTTACACCATCCTAATCAATGGGTCTGGAATTATTCTTTCCAAAAAAAAAACCCCACTGAATTCGTGATTTTCAGACCGAGTTGCTAATATTGTAGAGTTATTTCTGGAGCAATGACAAACCTTTCGATAAAAAATAGCGACCTTTCAGCCAACCTGGTGCACTGCTCGCCTGACCTATCCGCGATCGAACCTGATCCGCCACCGTACCAGAAGCAACTCTACTAGCAACGTGGAATTGAATGTCTGGCATATTGGTGTAAATCAATACCAGAGACAATAAATTCTTATCCTTTCTTTTTTTTTCTCTCTTTTTTTTTGTCTCTACGTGATCCATATTGCCAGACGTTGGCAGTACTCATCTTGTGGATATCGAATTGCCGCTCATCTGGTTTTTTTTTTTACCGAGTTGCGAGGGTGATTTCCTGCCGACTCGCTATTGATAAGCGGCAACTTAATTCTGGCCGTTTAGAAACTAGATGTAGAGCTTCCAGGGCACGTCCGCTGGGCTACGCCGGCAATAGCAAGTTATGTTGGGTCTCATCGAGTGTAGGGTCAGTAAATGTGACCTAATGATGCGACTGATTTTTTCCGCCACGTATAAACCACAGAACGCGCAGGTGAACGTAGAAAGTGGTTCTCCCTTTGTGACCCACCTGTTTTGACCTGGCCCACGCGTCCTAACACCTTAGTCACATCGCTCATCCACCAATTGTCCTGTTTGATCAGCGTACCCCGAGCCTCAGCAACAACAATCCATGGAATCTCATTCACCGTCGGTTCACGCAGCGGGGTTCTAAGGCCTACGGAGCGCGGCGCATCTGCAGCATCTGCTGTCCGAGCAGGGGAGCCCTCAAAGTCGGGGTGGGGGGGACTGTCGAGTGTCTAGTCGCGGTGTATGTCCGACAGTCACCAATCATCGGTTATATCGCTATACCCCGAACCTCACCAACAGAAACGCTTGATCATGACCACTGGCTAGTTCATTTACAAGGGGGAGTCCTAAGGAGATCTGGAGTATGTCCATGGAGTCTCCTGCCCGGGAACGCAGGTTTAACAGGACGATCCACCCGCAGTTTCCGTCCACCGTCCACATCACTCTCGTACCCGGCGTCACATCAAGAACGAACACTTGGACTTGACCGCCTATTCGCTCCTCGACAGGAGGAGGCCTAAGGGCTACTACAGCATCTCTATTGAACATGCTGGCTTGGAAGGCTCATTTATCGGGAGCACTATTGACGACTGCCTCAGAGTGTCCGTCCGCCCGCCACCACCGCCGCCCACCGCTCCCTCACCAAACGCGTAAGGTGTACCTTGAGCGCCTGTCGGTGTAAGCACAGGAGTCATGAGCCCATGGAGGGCCGCCGCACCAGTTGCAAGTCGTCAGCAAGGAACGCATAGTAATCGGGAGCACCGTTGACGATCTGCTCGCAGTGTCCGCCTACTATCCACCATCGTACCGTGAACCTCATCAGTATGGAACGCAAGATCGTAGCCGCCGGTCGATTCACCCACAGGAATCTGAATCTTAAGCAGTACGGTATTATCAGCAGTAAGGCTCCTGCCAGAGAGAGCCTGTCCATAGGGGGAGCCGATGACTATTTATCGTGTTAGTTCCAGCGGAATGTGATTGAACGTACAAATGTTTCAGCCCTGCTAACAACTGCGTCTTAGGTTCTCGCAGAGAACGAAAGAACTCGGACCAAAAGGGTCGCATATCGACTGGTGTATCGGCCCAGGCTACGTGGCAGTTCCTGTCTGTAAATGAAACCGCATAACGACATGTGTTTATGCCCGAGCTATGTGGTGGGTCATGTCTAGCAGTGGATATTGTGGCCTCTCTGTCCGGTCTCGTGTATGGAGAGACCAGTTCATCGAGAAAGCTATTGATTATCCACACTCCGTGTCCACCCATCAGCCATCACCGTGAACCGACTCTCCCCAACACCAAACGCTGACCTCGACTATCTGTTGATCGCGTAACTACTGAAGGCCATTGACGAACGGTATAGTGCACCGAACCTATCTGCCTCGGAATCGAGAATAGTTTCTAATAAAGCTTCTAGACTCGGTTGACGGATCACTCTCAAGAATGGCCTGAATATTTAGGGATGACGCTCAATCTCTCTCCTCGCCCATTGCCACATCGGTCATTGAAGCATGATTGTAATCAGCTTCCAACTATCCACCCCGTTCCGCGGACTCACAGGAGAACTTTCGACGACATGAACGACACCATCCTCCAGAATCAAGTTGACTGACAGGCCACTGTCTCTGCACTGCCGAGAAATCTAATGATTGAGTTGTACTGGAGCTATACCGCTCCATGGTAGAACTGGGTCATCCAAAAATGTTGAATATGGCGGCCGTCAACTGAGGACGCTGTTCCCTACTGGAAAGCTCGGTTTCTGAAATTGATTTATTGCTACCGCTGGCCACGAACCTCTCCGATGTTTGTACCCCCTCTAAAAGCAACGATCATAGTACTGACGTATGACAGAGGAGGGATCCTGCCTACCTGTTGATATCGCGGTATTTGAAGCCTCCGTACGGGTGAAAAATTGGAGAGCTCTCTATGCCCTCTCCGCGCCGTTGTCATTTCAGTTTTAGCCGTTATCCACATCGAACGATGTGTTCGAAGATAGACGACCGCTCCTAGAATTTACGAGAGCAATTGCCACATGTAGATGTGAAGGGCTGACAGAAGAAAATATCTCCGATATATTCAAGAGTTGGCGGATAAGTGCGGTGGACGGAGAGACCAGAGTAGCGCCGCCAGTAAGTCTCTTTCGAGGGGATGCCTGTTCATCGGAGGAACTGACGATAATTGATTTATTTAGTTTCAGCGGGATATGATTGCACGTACGGATAGGAAGGTGCTGCTATTAAATGCCTTTCATATTTTTGTCAAGGTCCGGAGGGGGACAGTCGCACAAAACAAGTCTCATATCGACAGCTTTATCCGCCAGAGCTACCTGGCGAGCAATGACTGGAAGTGTTGCTATACCATTTGGATTGAGTGTCTTTCCCGGGAAGGACTGCTTATCGATAGCACTATTGTGGATCCACTCACAGCGTCTGCCCCCAATCAATCGCTGTACACAGAGCTACACCGAAGACACATGCGGCCCTGACCACCTCTTGGTCAACGCTTCCGATCTGAAACCTATCGATCGACTGCTGAAGCATCAACATGCAATAAAGATCACCAGTAGGCGCCATACCAGGGAAAGCCTACTCATCGCGGAGACTGGCGATTATTGATGTTGCGTGCTCCAGTGTGACGTAATCGAATGTAAAATTTCAAGGTCCAATTAACAAAGTCTTGTTATTCCTCGTCTGGAGCAAAAGAAATCGGGCCGAACTCGGGCGAATACGACAGGCGCACCGGCCCGAGCCACGTGGACGTTCGTGTCTGGACATGAAGTCGGATAGGAACAGATGTCTCTATCCAAGCTACGTGGCTTGTATTGTCGAAGAAGGAGTAATCCCTGGGCTACGAGGCGAGGACCATCAGGGAGGAAGCGATGTCCCATCTCCCTTAGATCTCGTGTCCGGCAAGGATGCGATTGAAAATATGTCCGAGCTACGTGGCGTGAAACTGGGCTTTCTTTTTCTTCGTTTTTTTCCTTCTTCTTTTTTTCCTTCTTCTTTGCGATCACGGGATCGACCTCCGGCCACCATACATTCGCCGAGAAAAACGTGACGTCAGCGAGTTATGGATCACAATACGGATAGACTTACCACGGGAGGAGCCAGCTCACTGCCGAGGGCAAGAGGTCACGTTTTGATCTCGGTCAGTCCTGTTAGGACAGCTAAATATATTTATTTAGCATATAATAAGTCAGACCGTTATCGAGGGTTTCCTAACGTCAGGAGGTTAGCGACTTGTTTATACCAGATGACGATGACAAAACTTCTCACCAATGAAAAAAAAGATGGACAATGACGGGCGGGGTATGACCAGGAGAATGGAAATCGGAACGAGAAAAACCTCGGAAAAACGAACCTTGACCTGCTGGTTGTGAAGAAGTAGTGCTCCCGGGCGCGCCACGCATACTCTGACAGGCGATGTTAAGAGAGGAAAGCACGTTTTACGGAGAGAGTAGGGGTCAACTCATCTTTTAATACTGGAACTTTCACCTCCTGACCACGCCACCCATCGGTGTGCTGTACCTATTCCGGCGATTG